TCCCGAGGGGGGCGCCAAATTGAAAGTATGTCCCCGGGCGCCGGGAAGGGTCGCTACGCCTCTGGTCTAGAGATCTAGATTCTAGTTCTAGATCTAGTTTCTTTTATTTTACAGTGTAGTTGAGTGGAATTAATTACTAAATTACTAAATAGGCTATTTACTTTAAGACAGGTAGACTAGAATATGTTCAATATCAATGTATATATAGAATCTAGATTATTCTAGATCTAGCGAAGTTTAGTGTAGTCTTGTTGTAGAACTTAAGAACTAAATCTAGAGTGTAGGCAACTGTAGTAATTTAGATCTAGAATCTAGTACTGTGTGACGTCATTTTAGGGGGTGGGGGTCTGGCTTTTTGTGACGATGTGTAGGGGGAGGGGGAGGTAAAAATCGTCAAAAAAATGCGTGACGTCATTTATAGATGACCCCCATGGAGAAGATCCACACAGAAACAGTTTAAGGAAAGGGGCCTAACATTCAAACAGGTAGAGGTACCAACATGATTTTAGAGATTATGTAGATATACATATATATATATATATATAGGGGGAGGGGTAGAGAGAGAGAGGGTTCATCTGTAAATTGCATCACACATTTTATGATGATTTTTACCTCCCCCTCATAAAGGAGGGCAGTAAAAAGAAGAATGTATGATAGCTGGGTAATCCTAATTTATATAATCAGATTATTGTGGTAAATAAAAGTCAACATATCTAGCCTAACAAAATGCCATGAATTTAAAATATATATTATGACTTAGAGAAAGTTTGGTGAAATGGAAATATCTGCAAATTTGATTTATTGATGATGTGTAACTTGTTTATATTATTCCTTTGGAGCTGATATTAATAAAAAGTTAATGAAATTATAGAGTTTTATCCAATTGATGTTTCTAAAGCCTTGCATGAGCTTAATTTAAATATATTTAGCTGCCCAGGCAAAGAACCTAATGAATTTTCCAGAATTGGCTTGTCGTTTGACCGATGGTAAGAAAGAGAATCACCCAGGATCTTCGCTGATAAGAAAATCTGAAGACATACCTTATTCTTCTATATCTAAATGTGATTTGTCTAATGAAAATATTTATTCAGTGACAATTGCTAAAGATATTTTACCATTATTTCAAACATCATCTTCTGAAATGTTGTTTTCTATCTCTAAACCTTCCACAATTTCTTCAAGTTTCAAGAGATATTTTAACATCATTGCCTACTTCCCACAGTTCTTATGTTCAAAATTTGCAATTTTCTGAGAAACAAAGTAATAATAAATTTGTACCCAGTGTTTTAGTTTCAGCTCCATTAAAATTTAATAAACCAATCAATTTCAAAATTAAATGTTTCTTATCCCATATGAAAGTAGTCTGTTTTATTTAAGAAAAATCACCTTTAAAAAAATTTAATGTTTGAATGTCAATAAATTGTTGACATGGACTGGTTTGCAGGTAAGCTTTTATACTTAGTGTACAATAAAGATTCAGTTTTGATGTCAATATAGTTGCTTCTGAAAGAATTAAACTATAAACAATAGCATTTATATTAATATCTCAATGGCAGTTCAGTATACTTTCATCATTGTTTTCAAATAACAAAACAGAACTACAATTTTAAAATTGAAAAAAAAAAATGAAAATAATTTCATAAATGGATGGTTTTTTAATTACTTAAAACAGAAGATGCATCAATACAGCATTACAATGTATATGATTAATATTTCTTTTCATGGACAATCATCATTTAAATTCTTCATTAAAAGTTAAATTCAGCTTCCTTGTGTCTAAAAATCCACATCCATGCTGTTCCATTTACCTAGAAATTAAATAAATAATATTTTTAACAACTTTCTGTAATATGAAAAAATTAATCATTGATTAAAACAGACAGCCAATATAGCAGTTGAATTAAAATTCACCTGTTTCTGTGACATTTGCATGTAAAATTAGAGTGTTCAGAGGTATATACCCAGCCACCTTTAATTTCCCTATCTTGAGCCAGGTACTCATGAGAGCTGGTACTCATGAGACTTAGGACATCATACCAGGACTAAAACCATGGATCTTTTAGGATAGAAATGTGAAAGCTACTGTCTGATAGTCCCACTATCAAGCCATACATATTAATACTTACAGTATATAATCTTAGTAGCAACATATTCTTTAAGAATTAGAACACTGAATCGATTTCAAACTTGGGCTTAAGCTGAAAAATGGCTTATTATAAAAAAAAAATTCAGCTCACCTTTAGTTCAAGATCAGCACCAATAGCCACAGTAAAGTGTGAGAAAATTGCTTGCCAAGTACCTAGGGAATTTAAATATAATAAATTATTAAGTTTATCCATATATTATATTAAAATAATTATTTAACTAATATGAGATATTAATATATATATATATATATATATATATATATATATATATATATATATATATATATATATATATATATATATATATATATATATATATATATATATATATATATATATATATATTTATAAAAGGTTTAATTTATTGTAAAGGTTCAGTTTTCTATCTACTTAGCTTGTCTTAAAAACTAAAATATCTGGTTTACAGTTAACCATATCTTAACTATTACAAAACTATTAGTTTCATTTTCATTACTTGTAACTAAAAATTGTAGTCAATAGATCTAAAACTTAATTCTATTAACAGCTAACTGTAACCATATTGACTCTGACCAATTTATTAATTTTTGTACCCTGTAATTCATTAATAATTAGGCTTATACTAAAAGGCCGAAAGTTATCAATTGTAGATTTTATAGTCCCTGGTCTAGACTAACAAGACTAGCCTACAAGTCTAATAGTACTAATACACATGATCTAGTTTATAAGTTTACTACTAGGCAACTTGCTAGAAGACTAGTACTTAACCAAACTTTAACTTGCTAAAAATAAAAGGGCCTAATACAATAATAGATGGCCTAGTAATACTTTTTTTTTACTGTGCTACTTACACTGCTTTTGGTACTATTACTATGACTAACTAACTACTAACTAAACTCTATTGTAGCTTGATGGAGATCTATCATCTTGCTCTTCTAGTAGTCTACACTACTTACTACTTAGAAAAGTAGTAGCACTACTGTAACAATTTCAAAATAAATGTAATCTATATAGATCTATTACTAGATCTACTCATTGCAACACTGTAGTCTGATAAGTCTGTAAGCCCTAAATGTATCTAGACCTAGATTCTAGTCTAATTTAGTTTCAGTCTAGTTATTAGTACCTACACTCTACAATAGTCTACAGTACTCTACACTACACTCTACTACTACTCTAATCACTCTACGTCTACTGGCTACTGATCTAGATCTAGTAAATAGCTAGAGTAGATCTAGTCTAGATATAAAAAAATTAATTTAAAATTAAAAACAAGTTAGCCTTACTAGGCATTACTAGCTCTTACTAAACTTAACTAGGGTAGGTTTTACCTAAACTAGATCTAATCTAGATCTAGAATCTATCTAGATTTAGATCTAGATCTACTAGATTCTCTAGATCTAGATCTAGATTTTAGATCTAGGGCCTACCATACTAGAACTAGATCTACCATCTGCAACTAGAATCTAGATCTAGATCTAGTAATACTATCTATCTAGCCATCTATCTACAAGCTACTTCTAATAACTAATATATATTATCTAGATCTAGAATCTAGATTCGATTAATAAGTAAGTCGTAGACTCGTAGGCTGAGTGAGACTGGAAGTCATCCTCATTTTCCTGTTGTTTTAGTTTTTACCGTCATCCTTTTCTTAATATTTTTAATATTTTATCTAGATGACTAAAATACTAGATCTAGAATCTAGATCTAATATATTCTAATTCATGAACTTATACTCTTAGAACTAGATTAAAGCAATGTAGATCTTAGTAGGTAGATTCTAGAATCTAGATCTAGATCTAGGTCTGGGAATCTTGTCTCGTAGCAAAGACTGAGTAGAGTCAGAGTAATGTCCCCTAGCGGCCTAGCCTTGGACAAACTATCAACAAAAGAAATAAAATCAATATACTTACCGCCACAAAACTTTTATATTCAAAAATGCATACACATGTGTTTGTTCCCATCCATATGAACAAAACAGCGTTGAAAGTTTTTACAGTTGTTGCATTTCTGGAACGTTTGATGATTTTGAAATCTTGAAGCGGGACCTACTAACAAATAGCCGCCATGTTTTTTGTTATCAATGGGAAACCCTGTTCACAACAATTGATTTAGTTCGAAAACTTTTATCTCTCCCTGGCTAACCAGACACGAATTAACGCGAGAAAGAACGATAAACTTACAAGTTCTATAGCCCGAGTTCCCATCCCCTGTTATTTTATATAAGAATATTCGAGAAAGTTTAGGGGAGATCACTCCCGGTTTATTTAAATATCTTTTTATTGAGTGGAGAGGGTGGGTGTTCCGTGTTTCACATGGTAGTAATTGGTTAACTCCCGATGCCCAATGAGGCATCAGAAAATGACCCACACATTTTCTTTGAGGCGCAGCTTTCAGTTTCACATTTTTTTCTGGGAACTGATTCGGAACTAAAGTTATACAGTAGCCTAAATGATTACTGGTGTAAATGCTTGAGATATTTGAAAAATTTCACATCCGCAATCTTAGAATCCTGTTTTTTTTTTTAAATTAAAAAATATAAGTTTTTAAACGTTTTCAAGTATCTTGTGTCACAGTAATGGATGTAGGCTACCCATGAGCAAATAAATCATAGTGTAGGGCTGATATTTCCCCAAATGAAGGCCTTACTAAAATATTTGCAATTTTTTTAAAAATCTCATTTTTATTTTTAATTGTAATCTTCCTTTACATATTTAAAAATCATGTTAAACACAGAAACAGAGCAATAAAATTAACAGCTATGTAGAAATGGATGGCGTAGATTGGTTGCAACAAAACTAAGAAGAGATTTTGCTATTTCATTCATGTCACTTTCCTCACACAAGTATCAACAAAACCATGAAATATTTTTAAAAACCTTTTTATTGTTTATAGATCAAAAAGCAAGCAGCAAAATAAAATAAAAATATTAATAATCATCATAATTTCAAATAAAATAAACACAACAAAAATAAACAATAAATTAAAAAGTAACACCGGACTAAATCTATAAACCAAAAATAAAACAAGTTGAAATTAACATGGGAAGAAACTTCAGCTGTTTTTTTTACAAAAGCTGTTGCCTAAATAAAATATTGAGGGTTATTAACTTTTAGCACTAAATAAATGAACGCCCTAAGCTTCATGCAAAGGAAAATATCAAGCTGTGATAAGAAAGTTGTAAAAAAATTTAAGTCACGCTGGTTGGTGCTTAAGTTTTATTATGTCATGTCACACACTCAAAATGTATGTAAATGCCACACTATAGTTTAATGTCACACACTAGAAGCTAGGTATATGTCAATGCTAGAGGCTAGGTGAATGTCAAATGTTCGTATTGGCTTAAATGTCACACACTAGATTGTAGGCCTCACTAAATAGTACATGCCAGAAAATGCTTATTTGACATTTTAGGTAAAATGTTTATAATATCACTCACAATAATGTACCTAGATGTCAATTAATAGAATATATCAAGATGTCATATGCTAGAATAAACCTATATGTCATTTAATTTCAGACTAAATTTACACACCTGTGAGCCAAAATGCATGATTACAAACAAATCTCTATACACTATGTGTTTATTACGGCATGTGAGAATAGAAGGAAATAGAGATACATTTGTTTGTTATATTTAAAATAATCCACAATGGAATTGAATAAGTGACTAAAAGAAATGTTAAATTTTAATACTTTACTTATTATAAAGATAAAATAAACAGGTAAATATTTTATGATGACAAAAAGGCGCAAAAAACATACCATACGAAAAAAGCAGTTGCGGCTTAATGGAAAAGATAATGAGATCAGATGAATCGGATATCATGTAAAGGAATTATATAACAGTGGATAATATCTTGCTGTGTAGGAGATGATGATGTGAATTTGGCAATTTATTAAAAGGCAAAGAGTCAACCTATGCAACTGCCATTTTTGTTTTACATGGGTGTTAAATTTGTTGCAAGAAAATAATAATTTAGAAAAAGGAAACACCCATCATTAAAGTAAGAACCCTTGTAGTGATAAAGAAAGTGTAAAAAGTTTTAGTTTGTTATATATAGAAAAAACCTGGCTAAACAAACTGTCTAAAGTTATGCTGCTGGCTTAAGACATGTACTAAAACCTCTTCAAAAGAGAACCACAGAAAATGATAATTTCCACTTTTGTTTGTGATTATAAACATGAAGTAGGGATCTTAGAGAAATCTCTAGATAGACATCACATAATGAGCCTGATTAAAGTTTTTAGTAAATTTAATTTGTATTTAACACAAAAAAAACAAAAAAAAAACCGTTACATGAGATAATATTTCACCATTTCAGGGTTTAGCCTACTCTTATTTAAATCTAATTTCATAACAAAGTTTTAGTTTCTTTGCATATTATTTTTTGGATAGATATTTATGTAATTATTTATGCTCTGATTTAATCAATGAAAACAATTAAACACTTAATGTTAAAAGACAAAAAGTAATTTTATAATTCATCCTTCTTTATGATGAGTTAATGACAAAGGTCATAAGCACTTATGGATAATCAATAATAGAATAGAATATTTAAAAATATATAAACTAAATAAAAGGCATGGTATGCTTGTATAATGATTGACTGCTTAGTTAACCTTACAACACATTGAAACAAGCTATTGTTTCTTGCCATGGAGTATTTTAAGACCTGTTTAGCATCAAACTAATTTTTAGATTTAAATGAGCAAATACAATCTAAACCAGTAAGGAAAGAATTAACAAAGGTTAATAAAGAAAAAATGTAAAACAATCGTAAATCAATGAATTGAAATTTTTGAATGTAATACATCTACAGTGAACACAAGAAAAATATATTGCAAGTTAACAACTCTTTGGACAAAATAAAACAATTAAAACATGACAAAAATTTAATTGTATAATGAACAACCAAACCCTAAGTAGGAAATTATTTACATTGCAACTTTAACAAAATATAACTCCTAATTTACAACACAACTGAGCTACAAATGTAGGAATAAAAGGGTTCACAAGGTGAACAGTATCATGTTCACAAGTCTTGCTAGAGTAGCATTGCACAGATAGTTTGACCAGTAGAGTAATGACCAGTAGAGGGCGTGGTTTGCAAAGAACAGGAGTGACTAAGATAAAGGACTGACCAACAGAGATAGACTTCCACCTAGCCTGACCATAGCTTTCACAGTTGGAGTTACGAGCTGAATAGACAACTAATTACATATATATAGACAACTAATTACATTATATATATATATATATATATATATATATATATATATATATATATATAGTTATACACTTATTAACAATTTAAAAAGGAACACAAAATGAACAAACAATTTAACGCAAATTCAAATTAGTGAATTATTAGACTCAGACACATACTACAACCTTTTATTTATAGACTTTGTAAAAGTGTACAAATAGGTTAAAGTTGTACATAAATGGGGTAGCCTGTGGGAAATGTGTACAAGACAGCTGGAGTTTTAAAGAGGGAAACATAACAAAGTAACAAGTGTATAGGAGGTCTTTTTATATATTCCTGATAGAAGACAAGAAAAGGTATAGATTTATTTTATATACAACATTTTATATTATTCAAGTATAGGAGAAAAAAATAGAGATATTAAAATCTTGTTAAAAAAGAAACTTACCATAACATATAGGGTTATACATATTTTAAAACTGATCATTACACTTAGTAAAAACCTGTTCAGTTATTGCTGTAAGAGAATGCAAACAGACTATGTACAATGTTTTTGTTTAGCGCAGTAAGTCATGTCACTATGGTTACAAGAGTACAAACAAGTGCCCTGCCTACTAAAACAGCAACTGTCTTGAATTCTAATGGTCAGCTGGTCAGTCCTCTGTTGGTTTTTTTTTTTAATTTAAACTCCACTTTCCACACGCTCAGATTCCATTGTTTCGATGATCTTTGTTAGAATGATCTGGAAAGATGACATTTTACATTGTAACAAGATAACACCAAGTTGAATTTTACATTGTAACAAGATAACACCAAGTTGACATTTTACACTGTAACAAGATAACACCAAGTTGACATTTTACATTGTAACAAGATAACACCAAGTTGACATTTTACATTGTAACAAGATAACACCAAGTTGACATTTTACACTGTAACAAGATAACACCAAGTTGACATTTTACATTGTAACAAGATAACACCAAGTTGACATTTTACATTGTAACAAGATAACATCAAGTTGACATTTGACACTGTTACATAACAGTACGATCTGGAAAGATTTTCTAACAACCCCTATAATGACCCCAATCATTGCACTTAGATTATCCAGGCACCACTTTTACAATGACCCATGTCATTATTACCCATTTTTCATCATTTAGGTAATTTAATAAGTCCAGATAAATGGGGATACTACAGGTGATTTAAGGTGTGTATAATACAGGTGATTTAAGGTGTTTGTAATACTGGTGATTTAAGGTGTTTGTAATACTGGTGATTTAAGGTGTTTGTAATACAGGTGATTTAAGGTGTTTGTACTACAGGTGATTTTAGATGTGTATACTACAGATGATTTAAGGTGTATATACTACAGGTGATTTAAGGTGTTTGTACTACAGATGATTTAAGGTGTATATACTACAGGTGATTTAAGGTGTTTGTACTACAGGTAAAATAGGTGCTTACCTGTGCGGCTGCAGCATCAGCTATAATCAGGTCCTTCTTTGTGACATTGCTACCAAACAGTTTCTTCTTTTCCTTATCCTAGAAAACATTTGAACAATGTTGAACTCATGTTGTTAACTAAATCATATTGTTAATAAAAGAAAACTTCAGTAGTAAATAAGGATAATTAACAATTTCAGCCTGTTACCTAGATAGATTGTTCTGTTATTGCAAGTTTTTATTTTGTTATCTCATGATTTTAAAGTTCAACCCAAGACAGTAAGTAGTCTGTAAATCACCTAATGTGTTTGACATGCCTACTTGACTAAAACTATGCATATTACATATTCTTGAGATTTGTATAGATTTTTTTAGTAAGTATTTGAATTTAGACCTAGGTAACAACACTAAATATCCCCTGCTTTTCAAAAATAATATTTGAAAGTTAAGTTCCCTTTCAAACCAGAATTAGCCTCTTTTGTTGACCTCAGTTTATGAAAGGCCAGTATGGTAAGCACTATGCCAGACATAATAATTACCTAAACAAGCATCCAGCCATCATTAGATTACATTTGTAATTAGCCATCATTAGATTAAGCTTACCTAAACCCAGATTACATTTGTAATTAGCCATCATTAGATTAAGCTTACCTAAACCCAGATTACATTTGTAATTAGCCATCATTAGATTAAGCTTACCTAAACCCAGATTACATTTTTAATTAGCAATCATTAGATAAAGCTAACCTAAACCCAGATTACCTTGTAATTAGATTAAGCGAACTTAAATCCAGGTTACCTTGTAATTAGATAAAGCTAACCTAAACCCAGATTACCTTGTAATTAGATAAAGCTAACCTAAACCCAGATTACCTTGTAATTAGATTAAGCGAACTTAAATCCAGGTTACCTTGTAATTAGATAAAGCTAACCTAAACCCAGATTACATTTGTAATTAGATAAAGCTAACCTAAACCCAGGTTACCTTGTAATTAGATAAAGCTAACTTAAATCCAGGTTACCTTGAGTAAAATTTCAATCCCTTTAGCAGACAGCTTGGGGGCAGCTTTCAGCTCCTGGAAGGTGAAGACCCACTCAGTGTCCCAGGACCCAAACAGCTCACCTCGTTTGGCCAGCATGATGCGCCTGAAAGTACATGTCATACAATGTCAAACCACATGTCATACAATCTCAAACCACATGTCATACAATGTCAAACCACATGTCATACAATGTCAAACCACATGTCATACAATGTCAACTCTCAAACCACATGTCATACTATGTCAAACCACATGTCATACAATGTCAAACCACATGTCATACAATGTCAACTCTCAAACCACATGACATACAATGTCAACTCTCAAAGCTAATGTCAACTCTCAAACCACATGTCATACTATTCAACTCTCAAACCACATGTCATACAATATCAACTCTCAAAGTTAATGTCAACTCTCAAACCACATGTCATACTATTCAACTCTCAAACCACATGTCATACAATGTCAGCTCTCAAAACACATGTCATACAATGTCAACTATGAAACCACATGTCATACAATGTCAACTCTCAAACCACATGTCATACAATGTCAACTCTCAAAACACATGTCATACAATGTCAACTCTCAAACCACAAGTCATATAATGTCAACTCTCAAAGCACAAGTCATATAACAATAATAAAAGTGACATTTAAAATTCAAAATGAAACAATTTAAGAATTAATTCCCAAAAGTAATCATGTAAAATAAAGAAAATAATCACCCTGCTTTCCTGAAAACAAAAATAAGTCTGGGAAAACCCCCTTACTTGTCAGTAATGATGAAAACAATTTTTCCATCTTCCTTCATCTTGTAGTGCTGCACGTACTCGTCAGAGTCGACATATTTGCCCTTGTCTGTCTCCAGCAACAGGTTGTAGCCCTCAGCCTCCTCCTGGATGTACGGGCGGATGATCCCATCTTTGTTGAATCTTCGGGGTGGGCGCAGGCGGTGAATCTCATCACTCATGTCTGTGATTCTGGTGGGGGAAATAGCAGGTCAGTGGTATTGGCTATGGAGTGGTCAGTAGTGTGTTCACTAGGGAATGGTCAAGTGGTCAGTAGTGTGTTCACTAGGGAATAGTTATATTGTACTGTCAGTGAGTGATGTGTTATTTATGGAATGTTAAAGTGGTCAGTTGTATGTTCACTGTGGAATGGGTCAAGTGGTCAGTTGTGTGTTAACTTCACAATGGTCAAGATAAGATTGGCCTACCTTCGAATTCCTTCTAAGGAACTGCTAGCAAAGTCTACCACTCCAGAGGTCGGCCGAGTCACAACACCGACTAAACCTTTCCCAACACCTGACAATACAAGTTGGTCAGTAAACGCTTGTCATAGGACACCAGTACAAGGTGCGTGGTGTTGTTTGTGTGGTGTGGTGTAAAGCTGACTCACCTTTAAAGAAACCAGTCTAGTAGAACACCAGCACAAGGTGTGTGGTGTTGTGTGAGTGACTTGAGTGTGGTGTTGTGTAAAATCAACTCACCTTTAAAGAAACCAGTCTAGTAGAACACCAGCACAAGGTGTGTGGTGTTGTGTGAGTGACTTGAGTGTGGTGTTGTGTAAAATCAACTCACCTTTAAAGAAACCAGTCTAGTAGAACACCAGCACAAGGTGTGTGGTGTTGTGTGAGTGACGTGAGTGTGGTGTTGTGTAAAATCAGCTCACCTTTAAAGAAACCAGTCTAGTAGAACACCAGCACAAGGTGTGTGGTGTTGTGTGAGTGACGTGAGTGTGGTGTTGTGTAAAATCAGCTCACCTTTAAAGAAACCAGTCTAGTAGAACACCAGTACAAGGTGTGTGGTGTTGTGTGAGTGACGTGAGTGTGGTGTTGTGTGAGTGACGAGAGTGTGGTGTTGTGTGAGTGACGTGAGTGTGGTGTTGTGTAAAATCAACTCACCTTTAAAGAAACCAGTCTAGTAGAACACCAGTACAAGGTGTGTGGTGTTGTGTGAGTGACGTGAGTGTGGTGTTGTGTAAAATCAACTCACCTTTAAAGAAACCAGTCTAGTAGAACACCAGTACAAGGTGTGTGGTGTTGTGTGAGTGACATGAGTGTGGTGTTGTGTGAGTGACGTGAGTGTGGTGTTGTGTGAGTGACGTGAGTGTGGTGTTGTGTGAGTGACGTGAGTGTGGTGTTGTGTGAGTGACGTGAGTGTGGTGTTGTGTGAGTGACGTGAGTGTGGTATTGTGTGAGTGACGTGAGTGTGGTGTGGTGTAAAATCAACTCACCTTTAAAGAAACCAGTGAAACCTTCTTGCTTGGCTCCCTCCACAGGTTTCCTCACAATGCCAGTGACTCCATCAAACACACCCTGAAAATGTTAACTAGCATGTAGACTGGAAACACCAACTTTGTTTTTTTTCTCTTTGGTGTGGTAGTACTTCAGCTTTATCACTGAACATTTAACTGTTCATATAACACCATCTCAAATAATAAATAACTAAGAGAGATGGAAATGGAAGCAGTTTCCATAATAATTGAAAAAAGATGGCGATGGATGGGGCACGTCTTAAGAATGAATCCAGAAGACATCACAGGAATGAAACCTCATGGAAAAAGAAAGCAAGATAGCCAAGGTAGACGTGGCGGCACACAGTGGGCAAGCATTTGGCAGAGGGGGGGGGGGGGACTGCCAGGAAAATTGCTGGTGACTAACAAAAGAGGAGGTAGCTTTCTGTGGCGACACCATGTCTCTTGGGCACAACAAGGAAAAGATGATAACTGGGGCAGATATAGTAGGATTATCTATCTGTAGGATGACAGCTATGGAAGCCTTTTTTATTTTACCAAACGTAAGCCAGGTGCACATGAGAACTTGATAGACAATGAGATGGCTTACAGACTCAAGCCCCAGGAGCTTTAGATTACCACTTCACCACATTACCCTCTTAACTAGAAAAGATATGACCATAACAAGCTGCTTGTTGAAAGTAAACTGGACAGCTTACCATAACAAGCTGCTTGTTGAAAGTAAACTGGACAGCTTACAATAACAAGCTGCTAGTTGAAAGTAAACTGGACAGCTTACCATAACGAGGCCCTTGTTGAAAGTAAAAAGATCATTGGACAGCTTACCATAACGAGGCCTTTGTTGAAAGTAAAAAGATCACTGGACAGCTTACCATAACGAGGCCCTTGTTGAAAGTAAAAAGATCACCATAACGAGGCCCTTGTTGAAAGTAAAAAGATCACTAGACAGCTTACCATAACGAGGCCTTTGTTGAAAGTAAAAAGATCACTGGACAGCTTAGCATAACGAGGCCTTTGTTGAAAGTAAAAAGATCACTGGACAGCTTAGCATAACGCGGCCCTTGTTGAAAGTAAAAAGATCACCATAACGAGGCCCTTGTTGAAAGTAAAAAGATCACTAGACAGCTTACCATAACGAGGCCCTTGTTGAAAGTAAAAAGATCACCATAACGAGGCCCTTGTTGAAAGTAAAAAGATCACTAGACAGCTTACCATAACGAGGCCCTTGTTAAAAGTAAAAGATCACTGGACAGCTTACCATAACGAGGCCCTTGTTAAAAGTAAAAAGATCACTGGACAGCTTACCATAACGAGGCCCTTGTTAAAAGTAAAAAGATCACTGGACAGCTTACCATAACGAGGCCCTTGTTGAAAGTAAAAAGATCACCATACGAGGCCCTTGTTGAAAGTAAAAAGATCACTAGACAGCTTACCATAATGAGGCCCTTGTTGAAAGTAAAAAGATCACAGGACAGCTTACCATAACGAGGCCCTTGTTGAAAGTATAAAGATCACTGGACAGCTTACCATAACGAGGCCCTTGTTGAAAGTAAAAAGATCACAGGACAGCTTACCATAATGAGGCCCTTGTTGAAAGTAAAAAGATCACAGGACAGCTTACCATAACGAGGCCCTTGTTGAAAGTAAAAAGATCACCATAACGAGGCCCTTGTTGAAAGTAAAAAGATCACTAGACAGCTTACCATAATGAGGCCTTTGTTGAAAGTAAAAAGATCACAGGACAGCTTACCATAACGAGGCCCTTGTTGAAAGTAAAAAGATCACTGGACAGCTTACCATAACGAGGCCCTTGTTGAATGTAAAAAGATCACCATAACGAGGCCCTTGTTGAAAGTAAAAAGATCACAGGACAGCTTACCATAACGAGGCCCTTGTTGAAAGTAAAAAGATCACCATAACGAGGCCCTTGTTGAAAGTAAAAAGATCACAGGACAGCTTACCATAACGAGGCCCTTGTTGAAAGTAAAAAGATCACCATAACGAGGCCCTTGTTGAAAGTAAAAAGATCACTAGACAGCTTACCATAAGGAGGCCCTTGTTGAAAGTAAAAAGACCACTGGACAGCTTACCATAACGAGGCCCTTGTTGAAAGTAAAAAGATCACAGGACAGCTTACCATAATGAGGCCCTTGTTGAAAGTAAAAAGATCACAGGACAGCTTACCATAACGAGGCCCTTGTTGAAAGTAAAAAGATCACCATAACGAGGCCCTTGTTGAAAGTAAAAAGATCACTAGACAGCTTACCATAATGAGGCCCTTGTTGAAAGTAAAAAGATCACAGGACAGCTTACCATAACGAGGCCCTTGTTGAAAGTAAAAAGATCACTGGACAGCTTACCATAACAAGCTGCTTGTTGAAAGTAAAAAGATCACTGGACAGCTTACCATAACGAGGCCCTTGTTGAAAGTAAAAAGATCACTGGACAGCTTACCATAACGAGGCCCTTGTTGAAAGTAAAAAGATCACCATAACGAGGCCCTTGTTGAAAGTAAAAAGATCACCATAACGAGGCCCTTGTTGAAAGTAAAAAGATCACCATAACGAGGCCCTTGTTGAAAGTAAAAAGATCACTGGACAGCTTACCATAACGAGGCCCTTGCCGCCCCTGGCGAAGCCCTCTCTGGCAGTGGCTGGTCTCTTGTTGAGCTGCTCCCTCCTCTTCTTCTGGTAGTCTTCGTCCAGTGTGAGGGCGGCCAGACCTTTACCCAGGGTGCCTGTGATCCTGGACACTGCACCAGCAGTTCCACCTGGGGTAGAAGAAAATTTCAGACTGTCAACATAGTAAAATTTAAAGGGGCTAGAGGGTAGTAAAATCAAAAGACTATTTTCTAGGGATAAGACAATTAACTGAACACAAAACACGGATATCTACTAGCACACAAGAAACTGTGCCAACCATAGAATTTTACAGAGCAGGATGATTTAGTGCAACCTACCAACAGCAATTAACTGATGACAATACACAAATATCTACCAGCACACAAGAAACTGCCAACCATAAAATTTCACACAGCAGGTTGATTTAGTGCGACTTACCAACAGCAATTAACTGATGACAATAAACCAATATCTACCAGCACACAAGAAACTGTGCCAACCATAAAATTTCACACAGCAGGTTGATTTAGTGTGACTTACCAAAAGCAATTAACTGATGACAATACACAAATATCTACCAGCACACAAGAAACTGCCAACCATAAAATTTCACAGTTCAGGTTGATTTAGTGTGACTTACCAACAGCATGACCGAACAAACTGCGCACACCAAGTGCCAAGCCTTCAGCAAACTCTTCAGGTCCCTGAATAGCTCCCTAAACAACACAAATGTAATTATATAAATCTATTCAGTTATTGTAACTTTCGAGTATGCAATTATATAACAAAATAAATTTGAATAATTAAGAATTTAATTATATCAGCATTATACAATTATTTTTCAATTAATATCTTTTACAACATATCAATTTAAGTTATAAACATATATTTTTAAATGTAAACATAAGAAAGGAACATGTGGGTATGTGATTTTATTAATTTTTTGGATAAATTATATCAAACTTATTTATTAATCAGCAGTGTTTCTTCCAGACTTTTTTCTCCAGGGGGGGGGGGGGGGGGGGGGGAAAGGGGCACTAGAAATTTTCGGGGGGGGGGGGGGGTGACTTTCTTCAATGGGGGGCGGACACTGTTAAAAGTATATATTTTCTATATAAATTATTTAAATTTCATTTCGTTCGGGGGGGGGGGGGGGGGGGGGGGTGGGGGGGGGCACAGACGGACACAAAGCCCCTCCCCCGAAGAGATGCCTGGAATAAACTCTGTTAATCAGTCTAAATTTATTCAAAATATTTTACTGTCTGAGTTTATAAGGTAATTTGAGGGAAAAGGTTAACATATGAAAAGGTCTGTAAGCTAACCTGATAGGGTTCATAGAAAAGGTCTGTAAGCTAACCTGATAGGGTTCATAGAAAAGGTCTGTAAGCTAACCTGATAGGGTTCATAGAAAAGGTCTGTAAGCTAACCTGATAGGGTTCATAGAAAAGGTCTGTAAGCTAACCTGATAGGGTTCATAGAAAAGGTCTGTAAGCTAACCTGATAGGGTTCATAGAAAAGGTCTGCAAGCTAACCTGATAGGGTTCATAGAAAAGGTCTGTAAGCTAACCTGATAGGGTTCATAGAAAAGGTCTGTAAGCTAACCTGATAGGGTTCATAGAAAAGGTCCTCAATGCCTTCACTTAGTCCACGCAGAAGTCCAAAAGGATTGCCTAGAACATCCAGCCCTAGTACCAGAACATACATCTGTTTAACAGCCTGTTAGGACAGAACATTCAAGTTTACAAAGCTACAATAAAATACATTCCATTTTTATTATGTTCTGTCCCATCTTTCAATAAATTATTGAAAGGTAGGACAGAACATTCAAGTTTACAAAGCTACAACAAAATACATTCCATTTTTATTATGTTCTGTCCCATCTTTCAATAAATTATTGAAAGGTGGGACAGAACATTCAAGTTTACAAAGTTACAACAAAATACATTCCATTTTTATTATGTTCTGTCCCATCTTTCAATAAGGACTAGAGGAAACAAACTACTGACACCAGTCAAGTTGACTTGTTTCATGTATATTTATAATACTTTCCAATTATAGAGTCCTGAGTTTCCTGCCAACTCAGGGCCCCCATGTGTTGGGCTAACACAGGGACCCCAACAGCTAAAGGGCCCCCATATGTCAAGAGAACCCATGTTTTCAGAACTCAGACTGATTGTATTCCATTTTAGTCACAGACAATTTAGCCATTGTAGGGTGCAACAGAGGCCTAATAGGTTCAGTTTAAAAAGTAAAGCTTTGTCCAGTCAAAGACTGACCAGAGAATGCCCTTACCTGTCCACTGTAATGACGAACAAACTCTGAGGTCAGCTGAGTTTTAGTGTAGAAAGAATGGTTCCTCTCAAAGAAACCAAGTCTGAAGAAAGATAAAATAATACAAATTTCCATTAAATTGGTTTTAGCAAGCTTTAAAAGTTCTTTATTAAAAAAAATTGAATTATTTTGTTTAAAGAATAAATAGACAAAGGTTGAAAAAAAAAAACAAGAAATTTAAGTCAAATAAAGGAGGTCATTCTTTATAGTGGTACATTTCTTAACACAATCTTCTTTTATCTTGATGCTACAAATCAATAACACAAGACAATTATCCTTTCTATCAACAATGAGTTACATGTACATGCAGAGTCCTGTTATGGCTATTTTTCCTGTACTACACATAACCTACAACATCTTATTTCAAGATGACCCTAGCATGGATACTTGAAGTAGACCCTAGCATGGCTACTTACTTCAAGATGACCCTAGCATGGCTACTTACTTCAAGATGACCCTAGCATGGCTACTTACTTCAAGATGACCCTAGCACCTAGCATGGCTACTTACTTCAAGATGACCCTAGCATGGCTACTTACTTCAAGATGACCCTAGCATGGCTACTTACTTCAAGATGACCCTAGCATGGCTACTTACTTCAAGATGACCCTAGCATGGCTACTTACTTCAAGATGACCCTAGCATGGCTACTTACTTCAAGATGACCCTAGCATGGCTACTTACTTCAAGATGACCCTAGCATGGATACTTGAAGTAGACCCTAGCATGGCTACTTACTTCAAGATGACCCTAGCATGGCTACTTACTTCAAGATGACCCTAGCATGGCTACTTACTTCAAGATGACCCTAGCATGGCTACTTACTTCAAGATGACCCTAGCATGGCTACTTACTTCAAGATGACCCTAGCACCTAGCATGGCTACTTACTTCAAGATGACCCTAGCATGGCTACTTACTTCAAGATGACCCTAGCATGGCTACTTACTTAAAGATGACCCTAGCACCTAGCATGGCTACTTACTTCAAGATGACCCTAGCATGTCTACTTACTTAAAGATGACCCTAGCATGTCTACTTACTTAAAGATGACCCTAGCATGTCTACTTACTTAAAGACAACATCTTGGACATCTGTCAGCACCACGCCCACACTCTGTAGGAAAACCCCCAAAATGTTGGCCTGATAGCTGTTGCTTTGTGATCCCCCTTGGATTGAAAAACTGATGTGAATCTGTAGACAAAAATTGTAAGGTGCCAATCAATAAACACTCATGCTGTGCTAACTATCAAGCTAAGATTTAAATAAAACCTCATTTGGTTTACAAAAAACATTGCAATTATGTATTCTTAACTGAAATAAAAAAGAAAGCCAATCTCACAAGCTTTACTGGTTTTAGTTGTGTTTTGTATACCACCAACAAGCAAATTTAGCATTATTTAACCAGACCGAACTTGAACCAGAAAAATTCTATCTTCAGCACAAGCCAAATCAATATGTCATAACACATTGATCATGGGGGTAGCAGTTATTTTTATCTACCTTCTTGGTCAAGGGATGGTCAAAATAGTGTGCCAGCAACTCACAGGTAAGACGACAGCTAAAATATTTACCTTGATGGGAGACACATGGACTGTGCCTGTATAGATACACCAGCAGCTCAAAAATAAATTTACCTTGATGAGAGACACGTGGACTGTGCCTGTATAGATACACCTGCAGCTTATAAAATATTTACCTTGATGGGAGACACATGGAAGTAGTCATAGAAACTGACTCTCTGTGCCTGTATAGATACACCTGCAGCTTATAAAATATTTACCTTGATGAGAGACACGTGGACTGTGCCTGTATAGATACACCTGCAGCTTATAAAATATTTACCTTGATGGGAGACACATGGAAGTAGTCATAGAAACTGACTCTCTGTGCCTGTATAGAAACACCAGCTACTTCCTTGAGGTTCATTTTTGTACAGTCAATGTCCGTTTTGAAGTAAATTTCCTGAGATTGATTCAACAAAACATATTTATTATAACAATAAAATTAATGAGGGCTACAAAGCAACCACGGCTCTAGACATGAAACATTCAGGGAACCACTGCTCTAATCTGTAAGGTTCCACCCAAACATTCTGGGAACCACTGTCTAGACATGAATCTGTCAGGTCCCATCTAAACATTCTAGGAACCACTGTCTAGACATGAATCTGTCAGGTCCCATCTAAACATTCTAGGAACCACTGTCTAGACATGAATCTGTCAGGTCCCATCTAAACATTCTGTGAACAACTGCTCTAGTCTGTCAGGTCCCATCTAAACTTTCTGGGAACCACTGCTCTAATCTGTCAGGTTCTACCCCCCTCCCCCCCCCCCAAACATTCTGAGAACCACTGCTCTAGTCTGTCAGGTTCCACCCAAACATTCTGGGAACCACTGCTCTAATCTGTCAGGTCCCATCTAAACATTCTGGGAACCACTGTTCTACTCTGTCAGGTTCCATACCCCAAATATTCTGGGAACCACTGTTCTACTCTGTCAGGTTCCATACCCCAAACATTCTGGGAACCACTGCTCTAGCCTGTCAGGTTCATCCCCCAAACATTTTGGGAACCACTGCTCTAATCTGTCAGGTTCATCCCCCAAACATTCTGGGAACCACTGCTCTAGCCTGTCAGGTCCCATCTAAACATTCTGGGAACCACTGCTCTAGCCTGTCAGGTTCATCCCCCAAACATTCTGTGAACCACTGCTCTAATCTATCAGGTTCCACCCAAACATTCTGGGAACCACTGCTCTAGCCTGTCAGGTTCATCCCCCAAACATTCTGGGAACCACTGCTCTAATCTATCAGGTTCATCCCCCAAACATTTTGGGAACCACTGCTCTGGTCAAATAGCCTGTATTCAGTCTGTACTATGGACTAGCCTCACCTCTTGATCTCTCTTGGGCTGTGCGTCTGAAGAAAAGAGATCCAGGATCTCCATCAGAAAACCTTGATCAACTTTCAGGTTCATTTCTTGGATTAAAACTTTGAAATACCTTTGGGAAATTAACATTTAAAAAATTTAGCAGTTTAAAACTTTGAAATACCTTTGGGAAATTAACATTTTTAAAAAATTTAGCAAAGTTTAAAACTTTGAAATACCTTTGGAAAATTAACATTTAAAAAATTTAGCAAAGTTTAAAACTTTGAAATACCTTTGGGAAATTAACATTTTAAAAATTTAGCAAAGTTTAAAACTTTGAAATTTTTTTTGGAAATTAACATGTACACTTATTAACTAATTGTTTAAAAAAAAGTAAAAACTCAAAATGAATTATAAAACCAAAAATCTTAAATTTGCTTACTGGTTTTAGTAAGTGCAGAGGGTAATATGTGAATATATTTTACAATGATGGAGCTGTAACAGAGGCGTAGTGACCCTTTCCCGCGCCCAGGGACAAACTTTTGATTTGCACCTCCCTCAAACTTTCGACTTGCACCCCCACCCTCAAACTTTCGATTTGCACCCCCCCCCCCCCCCACTCAAACTTTCAATTTGTTTTTCCAACCCATTTTGGCGCCCCCCTAAGGTCGGCGCCCGAGGTCATATGCCCACCCCCCTCGCTACGCTTCTGAGCAGTAATGAACTTACTTGATTTGTACCAGGTTGCTGTGTTCATGTATTCTGTTCATTAAACTCACTTCAATGAAAGGTTTGGGAACTGAAACATCAGGCAAAGTGGGATAGTGAGATGGGATGTTATAAATGAGGGATAATTAGGAGGAATATAAATATGACATAGTGATGTATTATAGACATGTGAGTTAGTGGAACAGTCTTGTGAACCATTATACAAAGTGAATTTAAACATATGGTTGAGCAAGTATGGTGACATGATGTAACGGCCATACGGGAGAACCTATATTTGTCTCAGAGTCCTAGGCTTAAAAACTGTATGTTGTTTCACCCAGCCCAGGTGGGTACCTGACTCCAATTGATGCCAACCTAACACCACATCACATGTCATACAGAGGTCAAACAAAAAGATGACCATACTTTAACATAAAGTGCTAAATTTACAAAAAAATTATAACTTTGCTAAAGCACTTTAGAAAAACAATACAGTCAAGCAGATATAAATGCAATAAGATTGTAAGGGTTGAGACTTACCACTATCAGCAGCAACAGATTTAGGAGGTGGCAGGGGAGATAACACAGTAGGGAACACAGCATGGCGGAGCTGGTTATCAAACTGCGGAGATATGGTTCAAATTTTGTCATCAGTTGGGTTCAAACACACAGGTAAGTAGTTACAGGTAAGTATTGGTTAAAACACATAGTAAGTTCTTAGAGAGACATACAAGTACATGACTAAATTTGACTTCAACAGCTTAAGTATTACACAGACCATAAAATAAAAAATGGAGAGGCAACAAAAGCAGATCAATTCTACTTCATCTGCCATGCTGACAAACAAACCTACCACTTTAACTACTACAAAAAAGATCAAACCACCACTTTAACTACTACAAAAAAGATCAAACCTACCACTTTAACTACTACAAAAAAAATCAAACCTACCACTTTAACTACTACAAAAAGAAATAAATAGAGCCAGAACTGACCTGGAGTCTGTTGATTTTAGCATGGAACTGCATGGAGTGGGGCGAGGTCCTGACCTGCACCCAGATGCCATTCTCAAAACTTCTGCGCAGTCCACAAGCTTTAGGCTTGATCAGCATCATGTTGGTAAAGTCAACCTACAAGAGAAACCAAGTGTTAACAGTAAAAGCAAAATATAACTTTCTACACACAGACACAACAATGAAGCCTAATTATTCAATACTAGCACAAAAAAACCTTCCTACACACAGACAAACAAGTAAACTCTACTTCACTTGCCCCATAGACAATCAGGTTTGAAAGGGAAACTTTTTACACACAGACAAAACAATGAAGCCTAAATATTCAATACTAGCACAACAAACCTTTCTACACACAGATAAAACAATGAAGCCTAAATATTCAATACTAGCACAACAAACTTTTCTACACACAGACAAAACAATCAAGCCTAAATATTCAATACTAGCACAACAAACTTTTCTACACACAGACAAAACAATCAAGCCTAAATATTCAATACTAGCACAACAAACTTTTCTACACACAGACAAAACAATCAAGCCTAATTATTCAATACTAGCACAACAAACTTTTCTACACACAGACAAAACAATCAAGCCTAAATATTCAATACTAGCACAACAAACTTTTCTACACACAGACAAAACAATGAAGCCTAAATATTCAATACTAGCACAACAAACCTTTCTACACACAGATAAAACAATGAAGCCTAAATATTCAATACTAGCACAACAAACTTTTCTACACACAGACAAAACAATCAAGCCTAATTATTCAATACTAGCACAACAAACTTTTCTACACACAGACAAAACAATCAAGCCTAATTATTCAATACTAGCACAACAAACCTTTCTAAAAACAGACAAAACAATCAAGCCTAAATATTCAATACTAGCACAAGAAAACCTTTCTACACACAGACAAAACAATCAAGCCTAATTATTCAATGTAATATTCTAAGGGTTACATTAATGACAAACAAAGCTGATTATGATTGATATTTTAAATGCTTTAAAGCACTTTCATTGAATAGCCCAAGATACTGGTTTTTATTAAATGTAAGGGAAGCAACGCTAATATTCTGCATTTCAACAGTTATGTCCCCTGACCTCCAGCTTGTTTTCTAACATGGCCACAGCCTCTCTAGATTTGCCCATCTCAACATCCATCAGATACTTCTGGTATGCTGTCTCCAGGACTATGGTGTCTTTAAGCTTCATGGCCTTGTATTTCTTCTTTTTCTCTTCCCAGATAACACCAGAGCTGTGGGCACAAGGGGGACAGCAGATAGTGAGATGGTCAGCTGGTGGTTAGGGCTGGGATTTGTGTGTAGGCTTGGAGGGGAGGGTGGGTTGTGTTGAAACTAGGAATAATGTTGGAGTCTGGGTGGGATAGACATCAGTAGGACTGAGGTGGTGTGACAGTGATGTGGTGAGAAATGTGGTGAGACTTGTGTGGTGAGATGGTGATGTGGTGAGACTTGTGTGGTGAGACAGTGGTGTGGTGAGACTTGTGTGGTGAGACGGTGATGTGGTGAGACTTGTGTGGTGAGACAGTGGTGTGGTGAGACTTGTGTGGAGAGACAGTGATGTGGTGAGACTTGTGTGGTGAGACTGTGGTGTGGTGAGACAGTGATGTGGTGAGACAGTGATGTGGTGAGACAGTGATGTGGTGAGACAGTGATGTGGTGAGACAGTGATGTGATGAGACAGTGGTGTATTGAGACTTGTGTGGTGAGACAGTGATGTGGTGAGACTTGTGTGGTGAGACAGTGGTGTGGTGAGACAGTGATGTGGTGAGACAGTGGTGTGGTGAGACAGTGATGTGGTGAGACTTGTGTGGTGAGACAGTGATGTGGTGACACTTGTGTGGTGAGACAGTGATGTGGTGAGACTTGTGTGGTGAGACGGTGGTGTGGTGAGACTTGTGTGGTGAGATGGTGATGTGGTGAGACTTGTGTGGTGAGACAGTGGTGTGGTGAGACAATGGTGTGGTGAGACTTGTGTGGAGAGACAGTGATGTGGTGAGACTTGTGTGGTGAGACTGTGGTGTGGTGAGACAGTGATGTGGTGAGACAGTGATGTGGTGAGACAGTGATGTGGTGAGACAGTGATGTGATGAGACAGTGGTGTATTGAGACTTGTGTGGTGAGACAGTGATGTGGTGAGACTTGTGTGGTGAGACAGTGGTGTGGTGAGACAGTGATGTGGTGAGACAGTGGTGTGGTGAGACAGTGATGTGGTGAGACTTGTGTGGTGAGACAGTGATGTGGTGACACTTGTGTGGTGAGACAGTGATGTGGTGAGACTTGTGTGGTGAGACGGTGGTGTGGTGAGACTTGTGTGGTGAGATGGTGATGTGGTGAGACTTGTGTGGTGAGACAGTGGTGTGGTGAGACAATGGTGTGGTGAGACTTGTGTGGAGAGACAGTGATGTGGTGAGACTTGTGTGGTGAGACTGTGGTGTGGTGAGACAGTGATGTGGTTAGATGTGTGGTGAGACAGTGATGTGGTGTGACAGTGGTGTGGTGAGACTTGTGTGGTGAGACAGTGGTGTGGTGAGACAGTGGTGAGACAGTGATGTGGTGAGACAGTGATGTGGTGAGACAGTGGTGTGTTGAGACAGTGATGTGGTGAGACAGTGATGTGTTGAGACAGTGATGAGGTGAGACAGTGGTGTGGTTAGATGTGTGATGAGACAGTGATGAGGTGAGACAGTGGTGTATTGAGGCTTGTGTGGTGAGACAGTGGTGTGGTGAGACAGAGATGTGGTGAGACTTGTGTGGTGAGAGAGTGATGTGGTGAGACTTGTGTGGTGAGACAGAGATGAGGTGAGACAGTGATGTGGCGAGACAGTGATGAGGTGAGACTTGTGTGGTGAGACAGAGATGTGGTGAGACTTGTGTGGTGAGAGAGTGATGTGGTGAGACTTGTGTGGTGAGACAGAGATGAGGTGAGACAGTGATGTGGCGAGACAGTGATGAGGTGAGACTTGTGTGGTGAGACAGTGATGTATTGAGACTTGTGTGGTGAGACAGTGATGAGACAGTGATGTGGTGAGACTTGTGTGGTGAAACAGTGATGTGGTGAGACTTGTGTGGTGAGACAGTGATGTGGTGAGACAGTGATGTATTGAGACTTGTGTGGTGAGACAGTGATGAGACAGTGATGTAGTTAGACTTGTGTGGTGAGACTGTGGTGTAGTGAAACTGAAGGGTGAGAGTGTGGTGAGACAGTGATGTGGTGAGACTTTAATGTTTGCATATGTACCTGGTTATGCCCATATAGGCCACCTCCACCATCTTCTTGTTGTTGATAAGAGAAAATCCCATGTCGTGAATCTTCAGGTTTATCTCCTGGTCAGCTTGCTCTAGTTCACCAGCCTGGAACAGGTCAGTGGGACTTTGGGTCAAGGTCACTACAAGGTCATCCTCACTAAGTTATTAGTCATTATCAGAACCAATTAGGTCAAGGTCCATTACAGCTTAAGTCGTTTTCATTAGTTTTTGGTCATTATTAGTAGCTTTTAGGTCATTAGAAGTATTATAAAGGTCAAGGTCATTAACTAGTCATTCTCAATAATTTTAACAAACTGAAGTTATTCTCATAACATTGACAGTTCCCAACCTCTTGCGCCAAAGTGGCCAGGGCCAGATCTTGTGTAAACATGGCCACTCTTTGAAGGCCATCCAGGAAAGAAACAAAATAAACCTTGACATCATTCTCGGCAAAGAATTCTTCAATATGATCCTGAAATGTTCAAATTTATATCATGTGATCCTGAAATGTTTTTTTTTTTTAAATGTATGATATAATCTTGAGTTAAGCTTTATCTAGTCTAGAAATAGTTGTTGTTTATAGTCCATTTTCAATCATGATATTTTGACTATTTATTTTAGAGATACAAGATTTGCCTCTATAAGACTTGTATGGTCAAGTAAAAGATGTAGCAAGTGTAGAAGAAGAACAAATTTGTTTGAGATAAAGGACAAGCAGCCAAGAATGTGTTTACCCTGTCCAAACTATTTTTTGCATCTTTCTTGTTGCCACAGGTCCAGAGAATCTCCCTGTTTCCTGTTGGGTTGTTCCACGTGTACAGCTGTGTGGTCTGTGGTTCAAGGGTCATCTCCACTTCTTTAGAGCCACTGGTAGGTGAAACAAAATCTCATTAAGTGACCTCAGCGACACAAGTTAAGATTGGTCATCTTTAGAGCCACTGGTAGATAAACAAAACCTCATTAAGTGACCTCAGCGACACAAGTTAAGATTGGTCAGCAGCACCCAGACAAGCAACATTTACTATTAGGTGCTAAAAGAGCATAGCTGAGTTCAGGGAGTCAGGTGACTAATCCAAAATAAACATACTACACCACCACCACACACCACAAACTTCACCACCAACAAACACACACCACCGCCACACACCACAAACTTCACCACCAACAAACACACACCACCGCCACACACTTTACCACCAACAAACACCAAAAATTGAATCTCCAAAACCACAAACTTCACCACCAAACACACACCACTAACTACACACCATAAACTTCATCATCAATATACATTAAAAACTTCACCACCAACACACACCACAAACTTCATCATCAATATACATTAAAAACTTCACCACCAACACACACAAAATTGACAACCATCCCACATCACAAACTTCACTACCACATTAACAAGCACCACAAATTTTACAACTTAAACAACCACAGGTGAACATACACATACAACAGCAACATGCACCAGCTACTAACATGAAGAATGAAACCCACCTTTGTCTGACCAGGATATTGCACTGGGATGTGTGGTTGACAAACATAACTGTGGCCATACCTTTCATGTATATCTTCAGTGTGGTGATCATGGAGGACTCACTGACCTGACACTCTGCTTGTATGCCACCATACTACGTCAGAGAGAACGTAACATACTCAACACATACAAAACATAATCCATATCAGAATTATACCACAGTAATAAAATCATTCAATGTACAATAATGCACCTCTATAATAGATTTACCAAGAACTATAATAAACCTAAAATCAAATATAGGTCTCATAATTATATCAACTTAATAATATTCACAGAAAAAAAGAGAGCAGGAATATATAATAAATTTTAGCTTGAAAACCAAGCCAAACATATTGCACTCTTTAGTTAGTTATTCTATTAAAAGGCATAACATACATGCCCCTAAGTATACCAATTAGTGTATTACCTAGAGAAACTATACCAATAACTATAACCTTAATGTCCTCACCAATAGAAAATATACTATTCAGAAATTTACTCATACAGACAGCATTTCTATAGAAAGTATACATCTATAAAATGTAAACTTTAAGAGAGTATACTCATCCAGACAGTATTTACCTAAACACAGTATACATAAATAATAACTATCCAACTGTAGAAAAATTACACCTAAAAAGTATACCCATTAGAAAGTTTACACCTACAGAAAGTACACACCTACAGAAAGTATACTTCTATAAAAGTATGTGCATAAAGTAGACAGCTACAGAAAGTATACTTGTAAGAAGTATATGTATCAAGTAGACAGCTACAGAAAGTATACCCTTACAGATTGCACACACCAAGATCAAGTATACTAGTCAGACAGTCCAGCCCTACATAAAGTGTACTTGTCAGACAGTCCAGCCCTACATAAAGTGTACTAGTCAGACAGTCCAGCCCTACATAAAGTGTACTAGTCAGACAGTCCAGCCCTACATAAAGTGTACTTGTCAGACAGTCCAGCCCTACATAAAGTGTACTAGTCAGACAGTCCAGCCCTACATAAAGTGTACTAGTCAGACAGTCCAGCCCTACATAAAGTGTACTAGTCAGACAGTCCAGCCCTACATAAAGTGTACTTGTCAGACAGTCCAGCCCTACATAAAGTGTACTAGTCAGACAGTCCAGCCCTACATAAAGTGTACTAGTCAGACAGTCCAGCCCTACATAAAGTGTACTAGTCAGACAGTCCAGCCCTACATAAAGTGTACTAGTCAGACAGTCCAGCCCTACATAAAGTGTACTAGTCAGACAGTCCAGCCCTACATAAAGTGTACTTGTCAGACAGTCCAGCCCTACATAAAGTGTACTAGTCAGACAGTCCAGCCCTACATAAAGTGTACTAGTCAGACAGTCCAGCCCTACATAAAGTGTACTTGTGAGAAAACCTTACAGATTGCACACACCAAGATCAAGTTTACTTTTGAGACAGTCCAGCCCTACATAAAGTGTACTTGTGAGAAAACCTTACAGATTGCACACACCAAGATCAAGTTTACTTTTGAGACAGTCCAGCCCTACATAAAGTGTACTTGTGAGAAAACCTTACAGATTGCACACACCTAGATCAAGTATACTAGTCAGACAGTCCAGCCCTACATAAAGTGTACTTGTGAGAAAACCTTACAGATTGCACACACCAAGATCAAGTTTACTTTTGAGACAGTCCAGCCCTACATAAAGTGTACTTGTGAGAAAACCTTACAGATTGCACACACCAAGATCAAGTTTACTTTTGAGACAGTCCAGCCCTACATAAAGTGTACTTGTGAGAAAACCTTACAGATTGCACACACCTAGATCAAGTATACTTGTCAGACAGTCCAGCCCTACATAAAGTGTACTTGTGAGAAAACCTTACAGATTGCACACACCTAGATCAAGTATACTAGTCAGACAGTCCAGCCCTACATAAAGTGTACTTGTGAGAAAACCTACTGTACCTTATCCTCCAGTTTGAGCAGGGTAGAGTGAGCCTTGTTGAGGAAGAAGGGGGCGGTGAAGAGCTCCCCATCCTCTGGCTTCACCTGGATCTTCATCTCCTTGCCTGATGACTTGGGGTAGAAGGCTTTGCACTGTTTAAACAGGAACAGTCAGTGTGATTGGTAGGGAGATAGAATGGAGGGGGCGAGGGGGGGAACTACTCCCTATAGATATTATTTGACTAAAATGTTTTTAACACATTTTTAAAAATGTTTTTAAAAAAGTACTTTAATTTTCATCCAAGGTTAACCATTAAACAATTGTGATGATTTATTAATTAAAGTATCAGTATAGATTAAATTAAAAAAATGTAATGCAGAAAGTTAAAAAAAAAATAAAATGAATTAGCTCTAGACTGACCTCTTCAGGCTGAACCACAGTTATAACATCAAAGCCAACTTCCTGGATACACAGTGGAATGGTGGCCAGGTTGAGGAACAGGTAGAATGGGGTGAAGGTCACTATCTTTGTTAGACCTGATGAGGTCAACTGGATGCTCAGGCCAACCTGTGGCAGAAACAGGGGTCAAAGTTCACTTCATCAATTTAATCAACTTAATCAAGTTAATCAGCGGTGAACTTAATGAAGTTAATTGGTGGTGAACTTAATTAGTTAATCCGTGGTGAACTTAATGAAGTTATTTAGAGACTATATTAAGGAACAAGAGATATAATTGGAGGTGAACTTATCAAAGTGATGTCAACAAAGATGAACTTTTAAATGTACATATTCAAAAAGGTGTTAAACTAAGGGATATTATCAAAGGTGAACTATCTAAGGGATATTATAGGAGGTGAACTTATCTAAGGGATATTATCAGAGGTGATGATATTATAGGAGGTGAACTTATCTAAGGGATATTACAGGAGGTGAATTTATCTAAGGGATATTATCAGAGGGGAATTTATCTAAGGGATTTTATCAGAGGTGAATTTATCTAAGGGATATTATCAGAGGAGAATTTATCGAAGGGATATTATGGTAGGTGAATTTATCTAAGGAATATTATCGGGGGTGAACTTATCTAAGGGATATTATCAGAGGTGAACTTATCTAAAGGATATTATCAGAGGTAAATTTATCTAAGGGATATTATCGGAGGTGAATTTATCTAAGGGATATTATCAGAGGTGAATTTATCTAAGGAAAATTATCGGAGGTGAACTTATCTAAGGGATATTACTTGAGGTGATGATATTATAGGAGGTGAACTTATCTAAGGGATATTATAGGAGGTGAACTTATCTAAGGGATATTATAGGAGGTGAACTTATCTAAGGGATATTACAAGAGGTGATGATATTATAGGAGGTGAACTTATCTAAGGGGTATTATCAGAGGTGAACTTATCTAAGGGATATCAAACACAATTGTCAATGTAATCAGAGTTGCAAATAACCAATGATCAACTGAGAGCTCAAGTGAAGAGAACAAAGTCTTACCTCTGACACATTGCCAGCAGCCTTGTGCTTACAGCTGACACTACCCCCTGTGCCCACAGTGTCCAGAGAAAACTTGTCTGACCACTCGCTGTCCGCCACCTTCAGCATAACCTGTTGGTGAAATGACATGTTGAATCCACTGACACCAGTAGTGTTAAACCCAACACCACACCCACAGTGTTAAACCCAACACCACACCCACAGTGTTAAACCCTACACCACAATTATCATTTGGTTCAACCTGTTTCTTTATTTCATCATATCCACTCTATCACAATAACACATACTAGCTAAACTTAGGCATTCCAACCATATTACTTTAAGAATGATAGAAACACTCATTCAATGCACTCTATCACAACAATAACACAGTGATACTATCTTTAGATTACATTTTAAATTTAACTCTCTGTTAACAAGTCACTGTAAAAAAATTCATCTTAGGTAAACTGCTGCTTATATGTAACCAGGGAAAGTGGAACGATATTTGTCACAGTTGTTTTATTGATGAAAAAAAAAAAAAAAATATATATATATATATATATATATATATATATATATATATATATATATATATATATATATACATATATATATATGTATATATGTATATATATATATATATATACACACATATAAATATATACAAAAACAGATCTCTATATTTGGTGCAGCACTACCTCAGCTGGCCTAAGTGGTGTATGGAGCCAATCTATAGACCACATTATCAAACACAGTCTTTGATGTGACCATACTAAAATAACTTCTAGAACTAAACTCTTGCTACTTTCAACTAAAGCGGCTTCATAACTAGCATTAAATGTAACAAAATAGAAAACTGGAAAGGAATTTTCAAACCATTAACAGAAAATCTATATTTAAATTGTGCATTTCAACTACATCTGCAAGCACATAAATTGTATGAAAATGTTGCTTAAATAGCAAAACTAAAAATATAGGGGAAGAAAAAAACTGGACAGTGTGAGACAAACATGATTTGCCAGTTAATGCTTGTGATTAAAAAGCTACAGTTTAACATCAGTGATAGCTAACATTAAGTTTAGATAGAAAAGCAATTACCATAATTTCATACACATTTTATAAATTTATAAAACATAAACCATGCATTATTTTAAGGTAAAACCCACTGAGAATAGGTAGGCTATTAAAACCAAAAAAAACAAGGGAGATCAAACTAAACCCATTCAAGGGAGGTTACAGAAAAATAGAAATTAAGAAAAAAATATATGTACAACATATCTGAAACCAAAGAAACCAAATGAGTAGTGAAACCCAAGAAAAATGTTGCCATGCTAGCTAGTGAAAGCATAAGACCATGCCACTACAGTCAAGTATTTTTACTTTGCCAGGTTTTTTCAACTCCTTCACTTTCTCTTTCTTTTTCTCACCAGTGGACTCCTAGAGCAGAGTGTCAAATAAAAAGGTGGATATCTAGGCACAGCGGGGGCATAGAAACATGTATAACATCTTGGTAGTAGTAGCATCAGGTATAAAATGTTGGTTCAAATAGTATAAGATTTAAGATTGGGGTAGAAGTAGCATCAGATTTAAGATGGAGATGGGGGGGGGGGGGGTTACAATTTGTATCAGATAGCAGTCACTGAACGTTTCATTATTTGGTCATGTACAACACCTGGTATTTAGAGTACGGTAGACATAAGAGGTGAAGTAAAGAAGAAAAATTTAGAAAAAATATACAAGTAAGTAATATTTATATGTAAACAGATTACATACAACCTACTAAACCCACATACAAGCTAGTAATCATCAAGGACAACCTTTTATAGAAACCAAGAAACATCCCCAACCAAAATTACCCTAAACAAACAATATACTTTGAAGCCCTTTAATAGTTAATCATTACCAAAGCCAAGGCTCACAGACCAGCAAATACACATTCTACTGCCAGATTACATTGCCCCTTACACTTCTTTTTGTATCCTCCCCCACCCCCACACTTCTTGTATGTAAACATTGCATATTCATATTTTATCAAAACTAGCACAGAAAATCAAAATAGAACTCACACCAGATAAAACAAACATTTAAAATGCATATTTAAGTAGAACTGCCATGATTAACTGAAACGCTAATGTAATTAATTTAAAACGTATACTAAATAGAACATTGCAGAAATCAATTTAAAACTGTATTCTCACGTAGAACATGAAACAAATCAACTGGAAACTTTGTTCAAGTAGAACACTGAACCAAATCTACTTCCTTGTTACGGTGAGTTTTTTTTTTGGTATAGGTAACACAACAGAGTAGAGAGGACTTTACGTGGCTGAAACGTGTTTGGTCAGCACCTCCTGCCTGAGAAAGCAAGTTTTTTGCACCATCTATCTGCATCAGGTTTATATATGAACATGACCCTGATGACAGGTCATTATAAGGTTTATAACCACATGCCATCAGTTGACATCAGGTGATGACTAGGTATATGATGTCATTAAATGAAAACATGACATGTTAAACAGTGTAGATGAGACAAGTTTGATGTCATGAGTAGGTTTCTATCATGTCATCTGTGTAAACACATATAGCTTGTCATTAGAAGACTGCAGTTGATATACAGGTATAATGTCATCAGTTACTGGCTACACAGATGACTTATGTGTATCGCAATAATTGAAAACTGCATTATCTTCCAGTCATTGCAGAACAGCGTGGTCGGATGGTAGAGCTTACAATAGCTAACACAAAAGTCTTGATTTTGAATCTGGGTTTGAGTATGTAAGTCCCTGAATCCACCCAGCTCTGATGGGTACCTGACCTTTCATATGCAGAGGCCATGGAAATAGATGAACTCTACTTCATCTGCCACATGTTCCTTAGGCGCTACATGGTAAAAGATGATAATGCCTTTATGTCATCTTAGTAGCCAAATATCACACCAGTTGTGTTTCTATGCTGTTCATCACATCCTAACTCAGTTACAAGGTAGAGCAATGTAAACAGAACTATGGTAAATAAAAGGGGAAATAACTGCAGTTAATAAAGGGATAAAATCTACCCATCTTACTAATAAATAGACATGTTGCTTAACATCAGCTGCATTATAAACTTTATAAAAGCTCCTTGTCTTAGTTTAATTGATGCCAATTGTCAGATTTTCCCCCAATGTTTTCCTATTCCAATACAGTGGTTAGGTTGGCAACTCTTGTGAGCGTTTCAGTGCTAAAAACTCAAGTAAATCAGATGAAAGGAGGGGAGGCTAACTAAAGGGACACAACCCACCTTTCTTTTGTTGCTGCCAAACAGGGGCTTGTCCCGGAAATAAAACAACATGATGCTGTCGTCAGTTCCCTGCTGCACAAAGGGAGCCTCCTTGTCATCTTCCTGTAGAGATCAATCACATCTAGTTAACATTTCTTTATAGACTAATGTCAGGTGACTTTAAGCTTGAGGGTAACAGCTGATAGCAAAATGTAAAGGGAATTTTACCTTTAGAGCAATAGTTCTGGTGGACAGGTTGATGATCCAGTAGGGGCAGTAGATGGTCATGTCAAAAGATCCATTCTTTTCTTTACAGTGAAGGCCGAGGTCCTGTTGGGGGACAGAGGGTTAAACATGGGGTCTGTCTTTAATCAAATCTTCTATATGCCACCAATAAGACAGCCATCCACAACATACAAAGCTTAACAGTCAACAATCCACTCTACTTGCCATAAATAATCAACCGCCACAACACATCCAGTTTAAACACAATTGACCATGGTAAACCGCCCCAACCAACCATAAGGGAACACAACTGACCATGATCAACTGCCCAACCCACCTAAATAAAACACAACTGACCATGATCAACTGCCCAACCCACCTAAATAAAACACAACTGACCATGGTCAACCACCCCCACCCACCCATAAGAAACACAACTGACCATGGTCAACCACCCCCACCCACCCATAAAAAACACAACTGACCATGGCCAACCACCCCCCACCCACCCATAAAAAACACAACTGACCATGATCAACCACCCCCCACCCACCCATAGGAAACACAACTGACCATGGTCAACCACCCCAACCCACCCATAGGAAACACAACTGACCATGGCCAACCACCCCAACCCACCCATAGGAAACACAACTGACCATGATCAACCACCCCCCACCCACCCATAGGAAACACAACTGACCATGGTCAACCACCCCAACCCACCCATAGGAAACACAACTGACCATGGCCAACCACCCCAACCCACCCATATAAAACACAACTGACCATGGTCAACCACCCCAACCCACCCATAGGAAACACAACTGACCATGGCCAACCACCCCAACCCACCCATATAAAACACAACTGACCATGGTCAACCACCCCAACCCACCCATAGGAAACACAACTGACCATGGCCAACCACCCCAACCCACCCATATAAAACACAACTGACCATGGTCAACCACCCCAACCCACCCATAGGAAACACAACTGACCATGGCCAACCACCCCAACCCACCCATATAAAACACAACTGACCATGGTCAACCACCCCAACCCACCCATAGGAAACACAACTGACCATGGCCAACCACCCCAACCCACCCATAGGAAACACAACTGACCATGGTCAACCACCCCAACCCACCCATAGGAAACACAACTGACCATGGCCAACCACCCCAACCCACCCATATAAAACACAACTGACCATGGTCAACCACCCCAACCCACCCATATAAAACACAACTGACCATGGTCAACCACCCCAACCCACCCATATAAAACACAACTGACCATGGCCAACCATTCCAACCCACCCACATAAAACACAACTGACCATGGTCAACCACCCCAACCCACCCATAGGAAACACAACTGACCATGGCCAACCACCCCAACCCACCCATATAAAACACAACTGACCATGGTCAACCACCCCAACCCACCCATAGGAAACACAACTGACCATGGCCAACCACCCCAACCCACCCATAGGAAACACAACTGACCATGGCCAACCACCCCAACCCACCCATAGGAAACACAACTGAACATGGCCAACCATTCCAACCCACCCATATAAAACACAACTGACCATGGTCAACCACCCCAACCCACCCATAGGAAACACAACTGACCATGGCCAACCACCCCAACCCACCCATATAAAACACAACTGACCATGGTCAACCACCCCAACCCACCCATATAAAACACAACTGACCATGGTCAACCACCCCAACCCACCCATATAAAACACAACTGACCATGGCCAACCACCCCAACCCACCCACATAAAACACAACTGACCATATAAATCTTGTTGTCATTATCTGAGCTCTCAAATGTCCAGACACTCAGCTCTGGCACGTCCAGTTTGATGATCTTTTTCCCTTTCCAGGTAAAACCACGGTAGTTGGGGATCTGCAGGAGACACGCGACTCCATCACAACTACATCAACAAATGTTGTTATAGCAGGAGACACAACTACATCAACAAATGTTGTTAGAGCAGGACACACACAACTACATCAACAAATGTTATAGCAGGAGACACAACTACATCAACAAATGTTGTTAGAGCAGGACACACAACTACATCAACAAATGTTGTTATAGCAGGAGACACAACTACATCAACAAATGTTGTTATAGCAGGACACACACAACTACATCAACAAATGTTGTTAGAGCAGGACACACAACTACATCAACAAATGTTATAGCAGGAGACACAACTACATCAACAAATGTTGTTATAGCAGGACACACACAACTACATCAACAAATGTTGTTATAGCAGGACACACACAACTACATCAACAAATGTTGTTATAGCAGGACACACAACCACATCAACATATGTTATAGCAGGAGACACAACTACATCAACAAATGTTATAGCAGGAGACACAACTACATCAACAAATGTTATAGCAGGAGACACAACTACATCAACAAATGTTATAGCAGGAGACACAACTACATCAACAAATGTTATAGCAGGACACACAACTACATCAACAAATGTTGTTATAGCAGGACACACAACCACATCAACAAATGTTATAGCAGGAGACACACAACTACATCAACAAATGTTATAGCAGGAGACACAACTACATCAACAAATGTTGTTATAGCAGGACACACACAACTACATCAACAAATGTTGTTATAGCAGGACACACACAACTACATCAACAAATGTTATAGCAGGAGACACACAATGACATCAACAAATGTTGTTATAGCAGGAGACACACAACTACATCAACAAATGTTGTTATAGCAGGACACACAACCACATCAACATATGTTATAGCAGGAGACACACAATGACATCAACAAATGTTGTTATAGCAGGAGACACACAACTACTTCAACAAATGTTATTGCAGGAGACACACAACTACATCAACAAATGTTGTTATAGCAGGACACACAACTACATCAACAAATGTTATAGCAGGAGACACACAACTACATCAACAAATGTTATAGCAGGACACACACAACTACATCAACAAATGTTGTTATAGCAGGAGACACACAACTACATCAACAAATGTTGTTATAGCAGGAGACACAACTACATCAACACATGTTGTTATAGCAGGACACACACAACTACATCAACAAATGTTATAGCAGGAGACACACAACTACATCAACAAATGTTATAGCAGGAGACACACAACTACATCAACAAATGTTATAGCAGGAGACACAACTACATCAACATATGTTGTTATAGCAGGAGACACAACTACATCAACAAATGTTATAGCAGGACACACACAACTACATCAACAAATGTTGTTATAGCAGGACACACACAACTACATCAACAAATGTTGTTAGAGCAGGAGACACAACTACATCAACAAATGTTGTTATAGCAGGACACACACAACTACATCAACAAATGTTGTTATAGCAGGACACACACAACTACATCAACAAATGTTATAGCAGGACACACAACCACATCAACAAATGTTGTTAGAGCAGGAGACACAACTACATCAACAAATGTTGTTATAGCAGGACACACAACCACATCAACATATGTTATAGCAGGAGACACAACTACATCAACAAATGTTGTTAGAGCAGGACACACACAACTACATCAACAAATGTTGTTATAGCAGGAGACACAACTACATCAACAAATGTTGTTATAGCAGGACACACACAACTACATCAACAAATGTTATAGCAGGACACACAACCACATCAACAAATGTTGTTATAGCAGGACACACAACCACATCAACATATGTTATAGCAGGAGACACAACTACATCAACAAATGTTATAGCAGGAGACACAACTACATCAACAAATGTTATAGCAGGAGACACAACTACATCAACAAATGTTGTTAGAGCAGGACACACACAACTACATCAACAAATGTTGTTATAGCAGGAGACACAACTACATCAACAAATGTTGTTATAGCAGGACACACACAACTACATCAACAAATGTTATAGCAGGACACACAACCACATCAACAAATGATGTTATAGCAGGACACACAACCACATCAACAAATGTTATAGCAGGAGACACAACTACATCAACAAATGTTATAGCAGGAGACACAACTACATCAACAAATGTTATAGCAGGAGACACAACTACATCAACAAATGTTGTTATAGCAGGACACACACAACTACATCAACAAATGTTATAGCAGGAGACACACAATGACATCAACAAATGTTGTTATAGCAGGAGACACACAACTACATCAACAAATGTTGTTATAGCAGGACACACAACCACATCAACATATGTTATAGCAGGAGACACACAATGACATCAACAAATGTTGTTATAGCAGGAGACACACAACTACATCAACAAATGTTGTTATAGCAGGAGACACACAACTACATCAACAAATGTTGTTATAGCAGGACACACACAACTACATCAAAAAATGTTGTTATAGCAGGAGACACAACTACATCAACAAATGTTATTGCAGGAGACACACAACTACATCAACAAATGTTGTTATAGCAGGACACACAACTACATCAACAAATGTTATAGCAGGAGACACACAACTACATCAACAAATGTTATAGCAGGACACACACAACTACATCAACAAATGTTGTTATAGCAGGAGACACACAACTACATCAACAAATGTTGTTATAGCAGGAGACACAACTACATCAACACATGTTGTTATAGCAGGACACACACAACTACATCAACAAATGTTATAGCAGGAGACACACAACTACATCAACAAATGTTATAGCAGGAGACACACAACTACATCAACAAATGTTGTTATAGCAGGACACACACAACTACATCAACAAATGTTATAGCAGGACACACACAACTACATCAACAAATGTTATTGCAGGAGACACAACTACATCAACAAATGTTGTTATAGCAGGACACACACAAACACATCAACATATGTTATAGCAGGAGACACAACTACATCAACAAATGTTATAGCAGGAGACACAACTACATCAACAAATGTTGTTATAGCAGGACACACACAACCACATCAACATATGTTGTTATAGCAGGAGACACAACTACATCAACAAATGTTATAGCAGGAGACACAACTACATCAACAAATGTTGTTATAGCAGGACACACACAACTACATCAACAAATGTTGTTAGAGCAGGACACACACAACTACATCAACAAATGTTGTTATAGCAGGACACACAACTACATCAACAAATGTTATAGCAGGAGACACAACTACATCAACAAATGTTATAGCAGGAGACACAACTACATCAACAAATGTTGTTATAGCAGGACACACACAACTACATCAACAAATGTTATAGCAGGACACACAAACACATCAACAAATGTTGTTATAGCAGGACACACACAACTACATCAACAAATGTTGTTACAGCAGGACACACACAACTACATCAACAAATGCTGTTATAGCAGGACACACACAACTACATCAACAAATGTTGTTATAGCAGGACACACACAACTACTTCAACAAATGTTATAGCAGGACACACAACCACATCAACAAATGTTATAGCAGGAGACACAACTACATCAACAAATGTTATAGCAGGAGACACAACTACATCAACAAATGTTGTTATAGCAGGACACACAACCACATCAACATATGTTATAGCAGGAGACACAACTACATCAACAAATGTTATAGCAGGAGACACAACTACATCAACAAATGTTGTTATAGCAGGACACACACAACTACATCAACAAATGTTGTTATAGCAGGACACACACAACTACATCAACAAATGTTGTTATAGCAGGAGACACAACTACATTAACAAATGTTGTTATAGCAGGACACACACAACTACATCAACAAATGTTATAGCAGGACACACACAACTACATAAACAAATGTTGTTATAGCAGGACACACACAACTACATCAACAAATGTTATAGCAGGAGACACACAATGACATCAACAAATGTTATTGCAGGACAACAAATAAAAAAAGAACACAAAGAAACACATTCAGATCTTATAGAAATATAAGTAAGCTTATGGTACCATAACATATAATTTTTTCCTGGATAGTAATGCTGTGAGGGTCAGATAATGATTAGGGTTAAAAAGTGTCAGTCACTGGTAGCAATGTCAAACATGCATTTTAAATTTTTTTTTATCTGAATGCTTACAAATATTTGTATCAAATCACATCACATGATGGTAATTGGATTGGAAGCTCACATCATACAAATACAGCAATTGATCAACAGCTCAAATACAACAGTTGACCAACAGTTAAACACAACAGTTGACCAACAGTTAAATACAACAGTTGACCAACAGTTAAAACAGTTGACCAACAGTTCAAATACAACAGTTGACCAACAGTTCAAATACAACAGCTGACCAACAGTTCAAATACAACAGCTGACCAACAGTTCAAATACAACAGATGACAGTTGAAGTACAACAGATGACCAACAACAAAACGCAACACCTGACTAATAGTTAAATCAAATTTTTCTCTTCTACTGAGCACACTAGATAGAGATGACTAGGTGATGGAACTAATCACAGTGAATAGAATTGTCAATATTTATTCTTTGATAGGCAACTGAAATGACTAACTTAAAAAACAGTAATGAAGAATTATAAATATACAATGGCCATGTCTATAATATTTCTACAAAACCCAACAACTGGAAGTAACTGATCAGCATCTAACTAACTGTATTAAGCTGATCTCTGTAGAGAAAATAATCTAGACAACCATGCTGTCCCTACATGCACATACATATGCATAAATATATATAAATATATAAGGCATTTAAAAACATGAAAGTTATTTATGAAGGAAACTAAAAAGAAAGTGAACAAAGTTAAAATGCCAAAGAGAATGAACATGCCAAGGGACCCCTGGGGAAAAAAGAACCCAAGTGAGAAAAATGTTTACAAGAAAGGATAGTGGGTAAATTTGCTTCATAACAAAATAGAAATGTGTCTTTCCTATAAAGTATAGACATACAAGATTGAGAAAAACAAAAAAATTACTGATTCAAATAATGGAAAATGTCATGCAAAAAAATAATTCCAGTGAGTACGTGATGGGATTGTGCTATTAGCATGCAGCCAATATGATTATAATATCAATCTGTTTAAAAGGGATTAACATTGCCACCATCTAAAATAGTGTTCTCTCCCAGAGATAATAAATTCAAGACATCAAAAAGAAACCAACTGTACCATTAGATCCAATGGAGGCTGAACATAAGCAATCATTAACAGCATGTTCTGAAAGCTATGAGGTTTAGCGTAATCACCTTTATAATAGAGTTATCTCCCTTATAATATACTTATGTCCCTTTTAACTGCTCCCCTTGTCTAACATGGCAATCTCCTACTTCCATAAAATTTCAATTTGATCACCACTTGCTGCCTTGTACTACAACTTTATATGCAGCTTCTCTTAACAGACTAACACTAGGCATGCACTACACAATCAAAGCTTTGGAAATGTTATTTTTAAGTCACATTATATAACATGTATTGGTGTATGGGTTGAGTGTAATGTTTAGTACATGGGGATAATGACCAAAACATGGTACTCAGTCATGATAACATGGTGTGGCAAAATTACCATTAAAATAGCTGTTTTTCAATTCACTGAAAGAACTAATTACCATGAAATGCATACATATAAATACATATACATTCCCATAGAAGGTACAACATATGTAAAATATTGAGGCAACATTAAACTACCAAAATACATTAGCTGTTGTCCGAGTAAGGTAAATATTTTACCCCTGAAGTGACCACTCTACACCTCTTTATTAAGTGGTCACTGGGGTATAAACTTTGTGAGATCAGTCATCAAGAACAAACATAAGAGGGGATGTGCACAAAATTAGACTAGCTGTTAAGGAACAGCTCTCTATATTAACCATGCTAGATGACAGTATTGATGTTATCCAAGACACAGTATGATTTCAGTGAAATAAAAGCAAAGTATAGAGGCAGTCATTAGCAGTGAAAATTTTTCTAACCTATTCTATCCAGTCAGAATAAAAATCTAATCTATCACATTTTTGTATCATTAATTTTTTTAAAAATAAACAAGATTATAAGTTTTTTATTTTAACATAATATTTTTTACTGGTGAAAGTAATTTCTTGTAATCTGATGCGGTGTGGCATTGCGGGCTAGTATGTCCATGCATTGTCAACTATATTGTGGCCCAGCATTGACAACTATATTGTGGCCCACCATTGACAGTATTGAGGCCCAGCATGGCCACCTAGTATTGTGGCCTAGTATGGCCATGCATTGTCAACTAGGATTGTAGTCTAGCATAGTGTTGTAAATGAGCAGTAATGACTGGACAGACATGATGGGCAGGTGGTGTTACAATCCAGCCACACCTGAAGCAGTGGTGACTGGACAGATATGATGGGCAGGTGGTGCTACAATCCAGCCACACCTGAAGCAGTGGTGACTGGACAGACATGATGGGCAGGTGGTGCTACAATCCAGCCACACCTGAAGCAGTGGTGACTGGACAGACATGATGGGCAGGTGGTGCTACAATCCAGCCACACCTGAAGCAGTGGTGACTGGACAGATATGATGGGCAGGTGGTGCTACAATCCAGCCACACCTGAAGCAGTGGTGACTGGACAGATATGATGGGCAGGTGGTGCTACAATCCAGCCACACCTGTAGCAGTGGTGACTGGACAGATATGATGGACAGGTGGTGTTACAATCCAGCCACACCTGAAGAAGTGGTGACTGGACAGACATGATGGACAGGTGGTGTTACAATCCAGCCACACCTGAAGAAGTGGTGACTGGACAGACATGATGGGCAGGTGGTGTTACAATCCAGCCACACCTGAAGAAGTGGTGACTGGACAGATATGATGGACAGGTGGTGTTACAATCCAGCCACACCTGAAGCAGTGGTGACTTACCTGCAGGTTGAGGGTGGTGGTGTTGACTGCAGCATTGTGCAGCTCTAGGAGTTGTCCTGAGGGCAGTTCCTGCACTGAACCAGCATCAGCCTACAAAATGGTCAAAGTTTTGGTAGTGGGTTTATTTAAATATAAATACCGATTGAATTGGTTTCTTATATAAAATAAAAAAATTTAATTGAAATCAAACTAAAGGGAAAAAATGTTTGGCCTTTATTAACACTAATAACAAAACTTCATTTTACTTTCTGTTTCAAAAAAGGTTTAGCTATAAGTTAAAGCAATTGTAACTTTAAAATCTGAAGAAAAAAAAAATCTTAACAAGAATAAAATTAAATGACAAAACAAGAAAAAAATACAAATTTGAAAAGCTGCCATGTAATAACAGAATGTATATCAAAAAACAAAATCCTCTAGTGAATCAGACCTTTGGGAACTGATTAGTAAGCTGAAACAGACAAGGGCAATTATATGTATCAACAATAAACCACATATGGGAGGTAATCATAAAGCTGAAACAAAGAGAATGACACGTATGAACATAATACTAGATTTGATTTTACACCTACAGCAGTTTTATATGAACATCCTTCTTTAGACCATACGGGACAAAAACCAACAATAAACTTAAGTGTAGCCTGCATAAACATAACCACTTAACTATACTAATTTACCTCTATTGCCTATTGATATAAATAACTGTGGTCCTAGCTCTAAGCTACCTCTACACTAAAACTGATAGAAATAGACCAACATGATTCTGTCCCAACCAATTACTACAATAAACCCAACCCTAATCTGTCCCAATCAAGAACCAACAGCTGACATAAACAAAACTAACCCTAACCTGAATGAACAAAAACATATAAACCTAATCCTAAACGACATACGCTGCTGTAGAAATCAAACTTACATCCAAACTGTACGTGATGTTGAGTGGCAGCTGATTGTGGATGATGACGGTTGGTTTGATGTGGAAGATGGTCATTGTAGAGGTCTTGTCCTCTGTGTTGTTGGTGAAGATTTTCTCCTGCTCTGGCATCACCTAGAAAACATTATCAGGAGCCTGCCAATCATCTTGCTCCTTGAACAATTTCAATACATCTATACACACATATTTTCTAGAAAAAATTATCAGGAGCCTGCCAATCATCTTGCTCCATGAACAATTTCAATACATTTATACACACATATTTTCTAGAAAAAATTATCAGGAGCCTGCCAATCATCTTGCTCCATGAACAATTTCAATACATTTATACACACATATTTTCTAGAAAAAATTATCAGGAGCCTGCCAATCATCTTGCTCCATGAACAATTTCAATACATTTATACACACATATTTTCTAGAAAAAATTATCAGGAGCCTGCCAATCATCTTGCTCCATGAACAATTTCAATACATTTATACACACATATTTTCTAGAATAATAATCATTAAAAAAGTTTAAAAAAACCCACGTTTTCTGATTGAACTGAAAAGTAGAAAATAAATGCTATACATCACAATAATGCAAGCGATCACTCTACTATAAGCGATGAAAAACGTGGGGCGCCGAAGAAAAAGTTATATTACTATTGATTAGATAATACTATTGACTTTTATTAGGGAGCTTGTAGAGAGTCAACAGTGTTAGAAACTGTAAAAAATCACGGCACCCCACGTTTTTCATCGCTTATAGTAGAGTGATCGCTTGCATTATTGTGATGTATAGCATTTATTTTCTACTTTTTAGTTCAATCAGAAAACGTGGGTTTTTTTAAACGTTTTTAATGATTATTATTTTCTACTTTTTAGTCTTTGTCTGTTTGTTTGCATTGAAATCTTGCTATCAATTTTATCTTTTCACTTTTTTTTTTGGGTAAACGAAGACAACTCGTAAAAAGACAACTCGTAAAAAACACGTTGTGTGAATACGTTACTGACTAGAACACATAGATTTGAACCCGTGTCGAGTGGGTTAGCAATCGTGTGCCCAACCACTCGACCATATCGTCTCCCCCATACTGGCCACCAGTTGTTACGTTATGGTTGTTTGTAGACAAACACCGCGTGACAACTACTCAGTAAGCAAAAAGAGGGAGAGTACCGAACCTTCTTTTCATCAAATTACAGTTACTGGGTTATGTCCCTTTTTCCCCACGTTTTTTTGTACAATTATATAGGGGTATAAAATGATCAATAAAATGTTTCCATGGATAATTTAGTAATAATAACAGTTGAATATTCTATTGTCATCCGAAACAAAGCTTCCCTGAAAATTTCAGCGCGCTAGCTAACTGGGAAGTGCACGAAATTTCTATCACAAGATTTGATTGGAAAAACAAACAAACAAACAAACAAACAGAGGCGAAAGCAAGTTAAAGAAAACGTGGGAAAAAATTATCAGGAGCCTGCCAATCATCTTGCTCCTTGAACAATTTCAATACATTTATACACACATATTTTCTAGAAAAAATTATCAGGACCTGCCAATCATCTTGCTCCATGAACAATTTCAATACATTTATACACACATATTTTCTAGAAAAAATTATCAGGAGCCTGCCAATCATCTTGCTCCATGAACAATTTCAATACATTTATACACACATATTTTCAAACACTTTACACTGATAAATATGCTGCATATACTATTCTTTCCACATCCCTATAATGAACTAAATAGAATAGTTCTTCCTGAATGTTTTAAGCAACATTACACAATGTTACTTAATGGACTTCTTAATTATAAGGTTGGAAGGTATTCCCTCCAAACACAATTAAGTATAACGTGTCGACTTGTTATGAGCCATATAGGCTGATGACTCTGATTTCAGCCTGCTTTTCTTACTGGATTTGCTTCCATAGCCTTTGTCCATCCAAGAACAAACTACAAGGCAGCAGTTGTTTGGTTTTGGAGTTGTCTCTCCTAGAAGAGTTGCTGTCCCCAGCCTTATCTGTTCGAGGGTTCGAACTCTTGACTTTTTGGTAAAGCAACCCTTGGCTTTACCAACTTGATCGCTTGCCGTACATAAACACATATAAATACAAGTATGCTTAGAGAAAAGCTACTTTATAAGGTAATGTATGTGTGTTCCCAGACAGCAATCAGCATTAAACACGATTGACTTACATTGAAGTAAAATGACTGGTTAGGTGCAGTAGAACAGCTACAGTGGATCTCCTTCACCTTGCCAGGTTCTGTTGGCATGACATCCAGACTGACGCCGCTCTGTGACACGTCGTAGTTGCAAGCAATACTCCCACTACTTAGCAAAAACAAGGGTGAAAATTAGATACTCTCTGCTCTGGAACTATTTATGTAAGGTTACTTTATAAAAAATTGACAGCAGGGTAGGTTTACAACCACGCCACGATTGCTTAGTTTAGATTAATAGGCATCTTTAATCTTTGTTGCAATACCTTAAATTTAGAATTGAAAATATTGTACAATTTTAGGACATATTTGTATGACAGACCCTATAATGTTCTCACATGTCATGGACAGATGTGACAATGACCATCTTCCGCAAATTAAACAACCAAACTTACCTTTCCTCAAGTTGTTTGGGTTTGAAAAATATTGTCCTTCCATGACTATAGACAACATTCAAAGGGAGATAAAATGTTGAATCAGGTTTGACAACTCCACAGGATACTTTGTCATGGCTGTCTACATAAAATAATTCCATACCCACACACATGTGGTTCATTATCTGTAACAATTTTTACAGGTTATTTTTTAGAGCATAGTAAAAATTATTTAAAAGAATGCACAGAATACAAATATATTTACAAATGTAAATAATTTAATAAAGTATGTATGAATTACTTATTGAAAGTAATGAACAGAATACAAATATATTTATAGCAGAATAAATGTTAATAAGATGGTTATGTTAATAGACAGTGTAAGTAAATTGAAATAAATAATCTCATTCTATATTGATCAATATTAGGGAGTCTAAAGTTGATAAACAATGAGAATGCGATTGTTTGCCAACCTGTACATAAAATAGAATGTGATTGTATGACCCACCTGTATGCAGAAAGAGAATGTGATTGTTTAACCCACCTGTATGCAGGAAGAGAATGTGATTGTTTGACCCACCTGTAGCAGGAAGAGAATGTGATTGTTTGACCCACCTGTAGCAGGAAGAGAATGTGATTGTTTGAACCACCTGTAGCAGGAAGAGAATGTGATTGTTTGACCCACCTGTATGCAGGAAGAGAATGTGATTTTTTGACCCACCTGTATGTAGGAAGAGAATGTGATTGTTTGACCCACCTGTATGCAGGAAGAGAATGTGATTGTCTTCTGTCCAATGTGTGAATCCACGTTGACCATGATGTTCCAGTTGTCAAACACAAAAACAGATTTCCTGGCCTGCTTGATGGATGTCTCATGTTTCTTGTTTTTCTGCTGCCCCGAGATCTACAAGTTTTACAAGGGTGAGTTGAGACTATTTGTATATGGGCAGTTACATTTGAGATCTACAAGTTTTACAAGGGTGAGTTGAGACTATTTGTGTATGGGCAGTTACATTTGAGATCTACAAGTTTTACATGGGTGAGTTGAGACTATTTGTGTATGGGAAGTTACATTTGAGATCTACAAGTTTTACAAGGGTGAGTTGAGACTATTTGTGTATGGGCAGTTACATTTGAGATCTACAAGTTTTACAAGGGTGAGTTGAGACTATTTGTGTATGGGCAGTTACATTTGAGATCTACAAGTTTTACAAGGGTGAGTTGAGACTATTTGTGTATGGGCAGTTACATTTGAGATCTACAAGTTTTACAAGGGTGAGTTGAGACTATTTGTATATGGGCAGTTACATTTGAGATCTACAAGTTTTACAAGGGTGAGTTGAGACTATTTGTGTATGGGCAGTTACATTTGAGATCTACAAGTTTTACAAGGGTGAGTTGAGACTATTTGTATATGGGCAGTTACATTTGAGATCTACAAGTTTTACATGGGTGAGTTGAGACTATTTGTGTATGGGAAGTTACATTTGAGATCTACAAGTTTTACAAGGGTGAGTTGAGACTATTTGTGTATGGGCAGTTACATTTGAGATCTACAAGTTTTACAAGGGTGAGTTGAGACTATTTGTGTATGGGCAGTTACATTTGAGATCTACAAGTTTTACATGGGTGAGTTGAGACTATTTGTGTATGGGCAGTTACATTTGAGATCTACAAGTTTTACATGGGTGAGTTGAGACTATTTGTGTATGGGAAGTTACATTTGAGATCTACAAGTTTTACAAGGGTGAGTTGAGACTATTTGTGTATGGGCAGTTACATTTGAGATCTACAAGTTTTACAAGGGTGAGTTGAGACTATTTGTGTATGGGCAGTTACATTTGAGATCTACAAGTTTTACAAGGGTGAGTTGAGACTATTTGTGTATGGGCAGTTACATTTGAGATCTACAAGTTTTACAAGGGTGAGTTGAGACTATTTGTATATGGGCAGTTACATTTGAGATCTACAAGTTTTACAAGGGTGAGTTGAGACTATTTGTGTATGGGCAGTTACATTTGAGATCTACAAGTTTTACAAGGGTGAGTTGAGACTATTTGTATATGGGCAGTTACATTTGAGATCTACAAGTTTTACATGGGTGAGTTGAGACTATTTGTGTATGGGCAGTTACATTTGAGATCTACAAGTTTTACAAGGGTGAGTTGAGACTATTTGTATATGGGCAGTTACATTTGAGATCTACAAGTTTTACATGGGTGAGCTGAGACTATTTGTATGGGTAGTTACATTTGGGGTTAATTAAACTAGACATTTTATATGGGCAGTTACATTTGAGGTTAATTAAGCTAGACTGTTTTTAAGGGTGTTAAATTTTAGTTTAACTAAGATACACAAGTTAGACCTTTTAGTCAAATAAAACAAAACATTTCAATATTAGCTAGGTCTTGTTGGCATGAAATTAAGAATTAATAAAAAAAAAAAAACTGGTTGTTAAAATAAACATTTTAACTCCAAAAATCAACCATGTTTTTTATGTAAGTAACTTGCAGAAAAATATGACTCTCTCATCTTGTTAACTTACAAAAAATATGACTGCCTAGTCTTGTAACTTACAAATAATATGACTGCCTAGTCTTGTAACTTACAAATAATATGACTGCCTAGTCTTGTAACTTACAAAAAATATGACTCTCATCTTTAACTTACAAAAAATATGACTCTCTCATCTTGTAACTTACAAAAAATATGACTCTCTTGTCTTTAACTTACAAAAATGTGACTCTCTTGTCTTTAACTTACAAAAATATGACTCTCTTGTCTTTAACTTACAAAAAATATGACTCTCTTGTCTTTAACTTACAAAAAATATGACTCTCATCTTTAAGTTACAAAAAATATGACTCATCTTTAACTTACAAAAAATATGACTCTCATCTTTAAGTTACAAAAAATATGACTCTCTTGTCTTTAACTTACAAAAAATATGACTCTTGTCTTTAACTTACAAAAAATATGACTCTCTTGTCTTTAACTTACAAAAAATATGACTCTCTTGTCTTTAACTTACAAAAAATATGACTCTCTCATCTTTAAGTTACAAAAAATATGACTCTCATCTTTAACTTACAAAAAATATGACTCTCATCTTTAAGTTACAAAAAATGACTCTCTCATCTTTAAGTTACAAAAAATGACTCTCTCATCTTGTAACTTACAAAAAATATGACTCTCTCGTCTTTAACTTACAAAAAATATGACTCTCTTGTCTTTAACTTACAAAAAATATGACTCTCTTGTCTTGTAACTTACAAAAAATATGACTCTCTTGTCTTGTAACTTACAAAAAATATGACTCTCTTGTCTTGTAACTAACAAAAAATGACTCTCTCATCTTTAAGTTACAAAAAGTATGACTCTTGTCTTTAACTTACAAAAAATATGACTCTCTTGTCTTTAACTTACAAAAAGTATGACTCTTGTCTTTAACATACAAAAAATATGACTCTCGTCTTTAACTTACAAAAAATATGACTCTCGTCTTTAACTTACAAAAAATATGACTCATCTTTAACTTACAAAAAATATGACTCTCTTGTTTTTAACTTACAAAAAATATGACTCTCTTGTCTTTAACTTACAAAAAGTATGACTCTTGTCTTTAACTTACAAAAAATATGACTCTCTTGTCTTTAACTTACAAAAAGTATGACTCTTGTCTTTAACTTACAAAAAATATGACTCTCTTGTCTTTAACTTACAAAAAATATGACTCTCTTGTCTTTAACTTACAAAAAATATGACTCTCTTGTCTTTAACTTACAAAAAATATGACTCTCTTGTCTTTAACTTACAAAAAATATGACTCTCTCATCTTTAACTTACAAAAAGTATGACTCTTGTCTTTAACTTACAAAAAATATGACTCTCTTGTCTTTAACTTACAAAAAATATGACTTTCTTGTCTTTAACTTACAAAAAATATGACTCTCTTGTCTTTAACTTACAAAAAATATGACTCTCTTGTCTTGTAACTAACAAAAAATGACTCTCTCATCTTTAAGTTACAAAAAGTATGACTCTTGTCTTTAACTTACAAAAAATATGACTCTCTTGTCTTTAACTTACAAAAAGTATGACTCTTGTCTTTAACATACAAAAAATATGACTCTCATCTTTAAGTTACAAAAAGTATGACTCTTGTCTCTAACTTACAAAAAATATGACTCTCTTGTCTCTAACTTACAAAAAATATGACTCTCTTGTCTTTAACTTACAAAAAATATGACTCTCTTGTCTTTAACTTACAAAAAATATGACTCTCTTGTCTCTAACTTACAAAAAATATGACTCTCTTGTCTTTAACTTACAAAAAATATGACTCTCTTGTCTTGTTGCTGCTGAGTTGAGCGTATGATGGACAGCTGCTTGACCAAGGTCTTCTCATTGTTATCTACCATGATGCTGGTGAAGGTGGGGATCTTGTCCAGGTTGGAATGCTCATTTTCAGAGCTCAGCTACAAACAGTTGAAATTACATGGTTAAAACAGGTCTATATATAATATGGTACAGCATGGTTTAATGGTAGAGTGTATGGCTGCTAGCCCAAAGGTCTTGTGTTTGGATCTTGGTTCCGATTCGGGACTGCAGGAAATCTCAGAGTCCACGTAACTCTGATGGATTCCTGACTCAAGTTAGGGAAACAATGGCTATCATCCGACCACGCCATCCCATACCCACACAATTAGGAACATTTTCAGATAATTGCCAACACACACTAACAAGTCATTTCAGAGCACTTTTTACACACATACATACAATCCATTACTGAGCAATGGCTAAACATTGAAATAAATTAATTCAGTGCGATGCCCACATAAATTATATTTAGACTACATGCCTTATTTGTTTAGAGACAACTTTATTACTGATTAGAGCTAAGAACAGATAAACTACAGTATCAAGGTCTGAGCTGCCTTGAGAACAATTAACTTACAGTATCAGGGTCTGAGCTGCCTTGAGAACAGATAAACTACAGTATCAAGGTCTGAGCTGCCTTGAGAACAATTAACTTACAGTATCAAGGTCTGAGCTGCCTTGAGAACAATTAACTTACAGTATCAGGGTCTGAGCTGCCTTGAGAACAATTAACTTACAGTATCAGGGTCTGAGCTGCCTTGAGAACAATTAACTTACAGTATCAGGGTCTGAGCTGCCTTGAGAACAATTAACTTACAGTATCAAGGTCTGAGCTGCCTTGAGAACAATTAACTTACAGTATCAGGGTCTGAGCTGCCTTGAGAACAGTTAAACTACAGTATCAGGGTCTGAGCTGCCATGAGAACAATTAACTTACAGTATCAGGGTCTGAGCTGCCTTGAGAACAATTAACTTACAGTATCAGGGTCTGAGCTGCCTTGAGAACAATTAACTTACAGTATCAAGGTCTGAGCTGCCTTGAGAACAATTAACTTACAGTATCAGGGTCTGAGCTGCCTTGAGAACAATTAACTTACAGTATCAGGGTCTGAGCTGCCTTGAGAACAATTAACTTACAGTATCAGGGTCTGAGCTGCCTTGAGAACAGTTAAACTACAGTATCAAGGTCTAAGCTGCCTTGAGAACAATTAACTTACAGTATCAAGGTCTAGGCTGCCTTGAGAACAGTTAAACTACAGTATCAGGGTCCAAGCTGCTTACCTTTAAACTGGCATCCAGCTGAATGCCCAGGTCTTTACCAGACAAGTTCTGGAAGACATACGGAACAATCTTTTGCCCCAGTGTGCCCTCCATCTCCTTCAGATTGTAGGCCTGACCAAAGGCCTGTCAAAACATAGTAGCCTACATGTTAGTCTATGTAAAAAATAACTACCTCATTAAAACCACCCTTCCAAAACCTCAATATGCCAACCCTCCTACTGCTTCATCTCAGCTAACCTTCCAATAACTCATTACAGGAACACAACCCCTCACACCAACCTCAGCACCTCCCTCAATACAGTTACCGCTACTACCTAAAATCACCTCTTTGCATCACCCTCATTACAGCAACCCCCTCACTACCTCTCATCAAACCGCCCCCTCACCTTCCCACCATCTCAACCCATTACCCTCCCACTACCTCATCACATCACACCCACTACCTCATCACATCACACCCACTACCTCATCACACACCCCCACAGCACCTACCTCATTACAGCCACACTCAGCACCTACCTCATCACACCCCCACACCCACTGCCTCATCACATCACACCCACTACCTCATCACACACCCCCACACAAACTCCCACATCACAGCCACACTCAGCACCTACCTCATCACAGCCACACTCAGCACCTACCTCATCACAGCCACACTCAGCACCTACCTCATCACAGCCACACTCAGCACCTACCTCATCACAGCCACACTCAGCACCTACCTCATCACAGCCACACTCAGCACCTACCTCATCACAGCCACACTCAGCACCTACCTCATCACAGCCACACTCAGCACCTACCTCATCACAGCCACACTCAGCACCTACCTCATCACAGCCACACTCAGCACCTACCTCATCACAGCCACACTCAGCACCTACCTCATCACAGCCACACTCAGCACCTACCTCATCACAGCCACACTCAGCACCTACCTCATCACAGTCACACTCAGCACCTACCTCATCACAGCCACACTCAGCACCTACCTCATCACAGCCACACTCAGCACCTACCTCATCACAGCCACACTCAGCACCTACCTCATCACAGCCACACTCAGCACCTACCTCATCACAGCCACACACAGCACCTACCTCACCACAGCCACACTCAGCACCTACCTCACCACAGCCACACTCAGCACCTACCTCACCACAGCCACACTCAGCACCTACCTCACCACAGCCACACTCAGCACCTACCTCACCACAGCCACACTCAGCACCTACCTCATCACAGCCACACTCAGCACCTACCTCATCACAGCCACACTCAGCACCTACCTCGTCACAGTCACACTCAGCACCTACCTCATCACAGCCACACTCAGCACCTACCTCATCACAGCCACACTCAGCACCTACCTCACCACAGCCACACTCAGCACCTACCTCACCACAGCCACACTCAGCACCTACCTCACCACAGCCACACTCAGCACCTACCTCATCACAGCCACACTCAGCACCTACCTCATCACAGCCACACTCAGCACCTACCTCATCACAGCCACACTCAGCACCTACCTCATCACAGCCACACTCAGCACCTACCTCATCACAGCCACACTCAGCACCTACCTCATCACAGCCACACTCAGCATCTACCTCATCACAGCCACACTCAGCACCTACCTCATCACAGCCACACTCAGCACCTACCTCATCACAGCCACACTCAGCACCTACCTCATCACAGCCACACTCAGCACCTACCTCATCACAGCCACACTCAGCACCTACCTCATCACAGCCACACTCAGCACCTACCTCACCACAGCCACACTCAGCACCTACCTCACCACAGCCACACTCAGCACCTACCTCACCACAGCCACACTCAGCACCTACCTCACCACAGCCACACTCAGCACCTACCTCACCACAGCCACACTCAGCACCTACCTCATCACAGCCACACTCAGCACCTACCTCATCACACACCCCCACACAAACTCCCACATCACAGCCACACTCAGCACCTACCTCATCACAGCCACACTCAGCACCTACCTCATCACAGCCACACTCAGCACCTACCTCATCACAGCCACACTCAGAATCTTATAACATTTCCCTCAGCACCTACCTCATCACATCACACCCACTACCTCATCACACACCCCCACACAAACTCCCACATCACAGCCACACAGAATCTTATAACATTTCCCTCAGCACCTACCTCATCACATCACACCCACTACCTCATCACACACCCCCACACAAACTCCCACATCACACCACACAGAATCTTATAACATTTCCCTCAGCACCTACCTCATCACATCACACCCACTACATCATCACACACCCCCACACACACTCCCACATCACACCCCCACAAACTCCCCCATCACAGCCACACTCAGCACCTACCTCGCCTAGATTAGAGAGAACCTCCAGACATGACTTGGTCATGATGATCTGCAATGGTTCAATGGCTGCTATGTTGATGGTCAGTTTTGGAGGGGGCAGTATGGACATATCCTCTTCATCATGTATGGTAACTTGCTCACTCTTCACCATCTAAATAACAACAACAATAAGTTGTATAGAAAATATTACAAAATAAATATATAAATATTACATTTTTTATAAAGGAAAGAAACAACTTTAGGCAAATGTTTTTTAAATGAATAAACAGTTAAAATTATTGTCACTAAGTCTTATTTATAAAATAAAATGTTTCATGTGGTATGGCAAGGGGCCATCGTGTTGGGATCACTTGTTGATGTACATTGTAATGAGACAAGGCTAAATGCTACTGACCTCCACAGACAACTCCCACTTGTGGGGTTGCTTCCCTTTGGCAGTGACCGGCTCAAGGATGGGCTCCCAGACACCAATGTGCTCATTGTTGTAGGCCACCTCCATGCTCAGGCTGCTCTCAAAGAACAGCTGCACCAGGATAGAATACACCATCATTTATAGATGGTACCACCATTTTCACCAGGATAGAATACACCATCATTTATAGATGGTACCACCATTTTCACCAGGATAGAATACACCATCATTTATAGATGGTACCACCATTTTTTGGAATCATGGTTGGGAGTTTGGGGGAACAAAGATACAAGTTGAACGAATAACAAAAAATATTTTCAATTTATAATGTTTACATCAGATGACCATTTGTGGACCTTACAAATGCTTACATAAAATGACCATTTATGGACCTTACAAACGCTTACATCAGATGACAAGTTAAGGAGCTTACATCAATTAGACCTTACAAATGCTTACATCAGAAGACAAGTTAACGAGCTTACATCAAATGACCATTTATGGACCTTACAAATGCTTACATCAAATGACCATTTATGGACCTTACAAATGCTTACATCAGATGACAAGTTAAGGAGCTTACATCAAATGACCATTTATGGACCTTACAAATGCTTACATCAAATGACCATTTATGGACTTTAAATATGCTTACATCAGATGACAAGTTAAGGAGCTTACAAACACTTACGTCAGATGACCAATTGTGGACCTGGCATTCAAAGGACGACTCAACAATCAGTAGTGGTACTGTGCGATGCCCAACACCTCCTTCAAGCTTCATAACAACCACAGGGATTTCCAGAATAATCTGCCAAGGTCACGGTCAAACAATCAGGTGGACAAGACTATAAATAATTCTAAGAAAATATCATTGTTTCTATATCTTGTTAGAACCACTTTTGTTAAGAAGGAAGTAATACTTGTTGTTAATTAGTTAACCTGGGCCTACAGTATAATAATTATTAATTATCTTTAGCACTGATTTTGATGTGTTATTAAAGATTCATGTATTGTTACTATGTAGAGTATGCCTTGTTACAGTTTGTAACGCTAGTGTATTATAAAAGGTTACAGTTAGCCTAACATGCTAACCATGTGTTTCTCTTATATTTGATACTATTGTGGTACTACAGGTTATCTTTTTATTTTAACTACACTCAGAAACAAAGATGTAAAAAAAAAAAAAATTGCAATTAATTTTCATAAATTATTAACATGCAAGCAAATGTATACAAAAGATAAAAATAAAACCACACTGTAAATGCTGTAAAAAATGTTAGAACAAACTAATCATGCAAGCATAGATCAAGCTTTGTAAGTACATCAAATACAAATGCTCAAGTCTTTTGTTTGGAATTCAGAAACAAAGAAGATTGAATTAACCAGCAAGGTGAATGCAAATAATTGTATAAATAATTTATTCAAATCGCACACAAGAAAAGCATAGTCAAAATTCTAGAATGTTGAGCACAAACAGCAACTGAGATAACCTAATAATGCAGTTCTTATGGTAACAATAACAAATTTTAACAAAAAAATCTACATTATCAATATACCATACCCACAAAAAACCTAACTACAACAATCAAACTGGCACTAACCCTAACCATACACTACTCAAAAAACTATAATATTTTTATCTGAGCATTCCAATAGGCTAATATGTGAGTATGGTAAATTGATAAGATCCGTAATAATCAGACACATCATCTTTTGTTAGTTTGTACAAAATATTTGAACAAAACACTTAAATAGAAACTTTTTTTTTAAAATAGATTAAAATATTTTGAAATGAGACATCTCAGATATTCAGTAGAAAAATGTCTTTATAAAACAAGAAACCAAAAAGAAACAGTTGAATTTATCAGTCTGATAAGGTGGTGCAGTCATTTGTTTGAAGAGGGGGGTATAACATGGAATCCCCTAAATGACTGCTGTTTGTTATAGAGTCATTGGGATGGTGTGGTCTAGACTGGGTCAAGACTGTAGGTCATCTCATGTCCAACTAGGTGGTGCAATCAACTGAGGGAGAAAGCAAATGCTTGCTAGAAACCCTCATGTCTAGAGGCTGGCTATGGCTTGTCTATGATCTGTTTAGCTTAAAGGCCTAAGCTAGGGTGAAACCAGAGGCGTAGCTAGGGGGGGGGGGGCGCCAAATTGGGTAGAAAAATAAAATAGCATGCTTATTCCGAGCTGCAATAGAAAGCTACTTGGTTCTACGAACTGCTTTCTACGTTCCTTGTGTGATACAGGAAAAAAAAACTATTAACGGTGACTGCTGTGTTTGTATGATGGGGGGGGGGGGGGGGGTGGTCCTTTTTTGCTAACGTGAATAAATGTATAAGTATGGGAGGGGGTTGGGGGCGCAAAATTGATAGTTCGCCCCGGGCGTCAGAATGGGTTGCTGCGCCTCTGGGTGAAGCAAGTTTTTTGAGTCACTGATAGCCTTGGTGATGCATCTAATGATTGAATGGACTGTTTGTGAGCAGGGTTTACCAGCACCAGAACAGGATCCCACCAAGCTACTGTTGTTGTGCTGGGGTGTAGGCACATTTTGTAAACATCAGCCCTCACAAGCAAATATCAACCAGTGCAAGCAATGCTCATCAGTGCTAGCAAATGTCAGAGTACAACTCAACATGCAAAATGTCATTAGTATAGGAATATGTCAATGTTCTTCAGGATAAGTAAATGTCATGTACACCAAGACAGTCAAAATGTCATGTACACCTACAGGTAAATGTCATTGTCAACAGTACAAGAATACACCAACGAACATAATCAAACGTAAATGTCACTGTACACTGAGACAGAGAAATGTCAATGTCAACCAATACAAGCAAATGTCATGTACACAAGTATGAGCAAGCAAGTATAAAGCAGGCAAACACTGGTGGCCAGCATTAGTGGACACAGCAACTTGTGCAGTGAAGAGAGAAACAACTACCTGCTCGTCTGGCTTAGGCTTGAAACAAAGACAACAGTTGGGTTAGCACTCAGCTGGTCACTGACTCCCAGTTTATCAAACACTGACTCCCAGTTTATCAAACACTGACTCCCAGCATGGGGGAGAAAGATGTTTGTCAACACTGACTCCCAGTTTATCAAACACTGACTCCCAGTTTATCAAACACTGACTCCCAGCATGGGGGAGCTAGATGTTTGTCAACACTGACTCCCATGGGAGCTAGATGTTTGTCAACACTGACTCCCATGGGAGCTAGATGTTTGTCAACACTGACTCCCATGGGAGCTAGATGTTTGTCAACACTGACTCCCATGGGAGCTAGATGTTTGTCAACACTAACAACTGTCTACAAATCTAACAGAGAAATACTGTGTACTCAAAATATAAAACCTAACGCATTAAATTATGTGCTTAAAAACCAACTCATTAAACAATTCACATAAAACACTATTTAAATTTTAAAAAACCTAACAAGCTTTCAATATTTCAAAATTCAATGAATCAAATTTTAAAAAACAACAGTGTTCATATATATTGGTGTCTCAAATATATATGCAGGAAATCTGAAATGAAACTCTACTGAATTAAAACCCAATTGTTTTGAGCTGAACAGGAACTTTGAGGTTGGCTTACACCGGTATTGGTTAGCAATGGTAAAAATTGGTCCAAGATTTCATGGTACAAGAAGTCTGCATAAGCTACCATCAGTTCCAGCACCACGTCTTGTTTGTACAGCAATATGGTCAGATTTTCTAGAGTCACCTTCGTTAGGAAGATCGTAATTTGCTTATAAACCACTGCATTTTTTATTTTAGATGAAAAGTTTTGAAGAATTATAATTAGTGTTTACACCAATAATTAAAATTCTTGCAAAACATTTGGAAAGATGTATCATTTAAATGCTAATGATACATTAGCATTTAACATGAAATTAATTAGATTATAATTTACAATGATTAAGAGGTTTAAGCTTTAAAAAAAAGGGGGATTTCAGTCTTTCACCTAAAACCAAAAGCTTGTGAAAATGCAGAAAGTGGGATTTGATAGGTGGTTGATCTTCTTAGCGGATCTATTTTCTTCCCAAAAGGTTGTAGAACCATTTAATCAAATCAGACTTGGGAACATTGCAATGGGAAAGCTCAGCTGGTAATTTTTTAGTCATAACTAAACCAAAATAAACAATAGTTTATATTTGCCAAGGCTGATATTCAACAGCAAATATTTAATGTTGTGAAGTTCCATCACTTTCATTTACAAGTTAACTCCAAGTTAAGAGGTCGCTAGTATAATTTTTTTTATACTATTTTTACTTTCTCGTATTTACGAAGTATAGAGAAAGTATTGTAATCGTGCACAAAAATCACTTGAAATTTTAACAATTTTCACCGTATTACACCTCAGTCCTTCATCACATCCGAAGTATAGAGGACTTATTTTAATCGGGCAAAAATTATCAATCCAGATTTATCAAAATTAAGAGGTTTTATGCGTGATCCAGTCTGAAAAACTGGGCTTTGCAATTCTGTCCGTATGTCTGTGTGTGTGTGTGTCCGTGTGTAAACACGATTACTTGAGTACCGTTACAGCTAGGTTGATGAAATTTAATATATAAGTATTTTATCAAAATCGTAGATCCGTATCAACTTTTGAGCGATTTCCGATAACCGGAAGTGGTACTTTTTCTACTTTGAATTTTTCAAAAGCCTATAACTTGAGTACTATTTCAGATAGATAAATGAAATTTCGCATGTAAGTAAGAGTTCTAATTCTCTACCTGCTGTTAAATTTTGAATAATTTCCGTTGACCGGAAGTAGTAATTTACGCTACTTCCGATTTCTCAAAAAACTAATGTAAATTTTTAAAGTACTAATAATATTGCGCGCTATTGTGCACTTTTTTATTTGGCGTTCACTAGTTCACTTGGTGTGCAATTGTTTTTTCTACGAGATTTTATTCTATTTTTAAAACTTTAAGTATTTAAAATGGATTAAAAATCATGTCTATAGCCCGAGTTCCCATCCCCTGTTATTTTATATAAGAATATTCGAGAAAGTTTTGGGGAGATCACTCCCGGTTTATTCTGATTTTACTTTGTGAATTTATAAAATGTTAGGTTGAGAAGATAAAACCATTAGTTTGAAGCCAAATGTTATAGATGCTGGTGAGAAATCAATGAATAAAATATCTTTAGATCTTCAAAAAGCAGCAAAAGGACAATCCCATGAAAAAAGTATGTAACCCATATGCAGGAAGTGATATGGTGCAATGGTGTATTGATAATATAATACAACATATCACAGTGCTGGAAAATCACCTTGAGCTATTCTAACATAAAACAGTGACAGCGATTAAAATGTCCTGACATGATGGCCCATCCTGTTACAGAAATCTGGCGTGCTGCAATGATGGCCCATCCTGTTACAGAAATCTGGCGTGCTGCAATGTAAACTGATGTAAGAGAAGGTAACTCACCAATTCTCCTCTACTACTGGTAGACAGTGTATCATTCAAGACTGTAGCTGGCACTCCTGAGTCTACTGATGAGCCAATCTCTGGGGGGACCAAACAAAAACCAGGTGTTAAACATGTGTGACCAGGGGACATCTAGTGCAGGTGTTAAACATGTGTGACTGACCAGGTGACACTTAGAGCAGGTGTTAAACATGTGTGACCAGGGGACATCTAGTGCAGGTGTTAAACATGTGTGACTGGCCAGTCATTATACCATCATGTTTAAATACATGTCAGTTCAGGCAACCCTCCAATACTGGGTACCCTGTGGCCCAGATTCTGCCATAGTTACCTGAAACATCACTAAGTCACAGACTAAGGAATCCTTTACCATCATGTATACCATTATATTATCATGGATTTAATGCTAATTTTATTTTTCTATCTAAAAGTTTGACAAATTTTAGCATCTATTAATTATTTACTTATTTTTCCAATTTTTTAACAACTATTTTCCATTATGTATATAATTACATGTTAAATATATAACAGCTGATGTAATGTAGTCTTGTACAAAGGTTTTGTATATTTTATTATGTAATGACTAATTTAATTAAGCAACTAATAATGTCAAGTTTTGTACCTTTTATATTTTTAAAGATAATATTATTAAAGTCATAATCCAGGTTCTGTAATAACTATCTAATGAGTGGTGTAACGTAAAGTTTTGTAACTATCAGTAAATAAAGTTTCATTCCATGCTTTACAAGCAGAATACTTTATGTCAGTAATGCAGTGTTGTAACATGACCAGCCTTGAAGTCTTCCTCCCCAGCCAAACTGTATGAAATAGAGCATGCTGGACGCCATGCTATGTGTTAAACAAGGCAATGTTAATGATTCGCCTTTATAGTCTATGCCCAATACAGGAAGGTCAAAGTTCATTACCAAGAAATGACCAAGGTTAAAAACTAAAATAAAAACAAACTGTAAACCAGGGAAATAGATTAAGCCATGGTAGAGAAAAGCAGTCAAGGGGAAAACATTCTTAATTTTTTTTTTGGAGCAAATGTATGTATAGATGTGAGAAAATATGCTGTATATATTCATATCTTAAATATCAAGGCTGGTTATATAAACAAATGTGAAGATTGTGTGTAAAAAAAAAGATAACAGTGTTCAGTGTTTAAATGAACTAAAACATTAGTGTTGTGTATAACCTAGTGTAAAATTAGTGTTGGGTTAAAATGAACTAAAACAGTGTTGTATCAGTGTAAACCTGTGTCACCATTAGTGTTGTGTTGAAAATAGTTTATACAAGACTCATATATAACTTAAAATGTTGATATGTATATTGGTAGCACATATAAAATACACAATTTGAAGACAAATGCTCAGAGGTAGGATGCCATTAAAAGAGAAGTTGCTTACAAGCTGGCAAATATAATGTGACATTTTGGGGTATGTGGCCAGCAAACTTGGGGTGTGGTGAGAAAATTAAAGGTAATGATAGATAACACCTACAAAAATTGTTGAGAGTTAGTTCCCCTCTTAGATGAAAGTTTTGTCTTAAATATAAACTTTTTTTTTCAAAGAGCTTTTAAGATAATCATATGATTTTTATCTTTAAGGTAAACTTTAATATGAACCTCAGTTTAGATTGGTGAGGGTGGAATGAAGACAAGGGCGGGGTTAGCATCCATAAAAGAAGGAATTAAGAGAAGGGATTTTTTAAATGCCCAGAATCACTAAAAAGCTACTGTAGCCTATTGCAATTAATTATCATGATACTAAGCACTACAATAAACAAACGTACTACAGTTCACTTAAAAAAAAAACCCACCTATATTCAGCCCACTCTATAGAATCAATGATAACACTGCCCACAATAAAAACCAGCTTTATATTAGCCACTGTAAAGTACCTAAAAGCCCACTATAACTAGCCATGATACTATCCTCTACTTTTAAACCAGCAAAATTAATAAACCACCATAATAAAGCAACCTACAATAAACCATTAATAAACCACCATAATAAAGCAACCTACAATAAACCATTAATAAACCGCCATGATAAAGCCCACTACAATAAACCACCAAGTTGTATACAGCCCACATTGCATATAATGCAGATAAAAAGTATTCATCTATCATGCATGTTTTGATTAGGTTAGTCTAGCCAAAAATATTTCTTGCCTTTATTTTTGTCAGCATGTGCTTGCACTGAAAAAAATACTACCTTAAGGATTCATTTCTTGAAAACATAACCAACAGTAAAGAACAGGCTGATGTTAACACTTGCAATATCCACATCACATCTTACATTGGGTATATATACAATGAACTTATACATAGCATTAGCTATAACAAACTGATATATGATAGGTAACTAATACATGGGTATACACAACCAAACACTATATTGCACTAAATCTATAATCTGAGCTATCTACAGCAATAAATTTATCTGTCTGAGCTAACATGGACTGATCCAACTGCCTTTAACATGGACTGATCTAATTATCTGAGCTAACATGGACTGATCTAATTATCTGAGCCAATATGGACTGATCTAATTATCTGAGCTAACATGGACTGATCCAATTATCTGAGCTAACATGGACTGATCTAATTATCTGAGCCAATATGGACTGATCTAATTATCTGAGCTAACATGGACTGATCTAATTATCTGAGCTAACATGGACTGATCTAATTATCTGAGCTAACATGGACTGATCTAATTATCTGAGCTAACATGGACTGATCCAATTATCTGCGCTAACATCCATTAAAAACTTACCAGCATTGATGAACCAAAAGTTTTTCTCAGCTATGGATGACTTGGCCCAAATGTTGGACATGTCTTTCAGCTTCAGAAGGTCAGTTTCATCATCAAGCTGTAATGATCAAATAAAAACTGGCTTATTGGTGCTGTTTAACTTAAGGAATGAAAGACTGGCCTTCTAATACACATGTACTTAAAGAAGAGACAAGACTTGCACATGTACTTAAAGAGGAGACAAGACTTGCACATGTACTTAAAGAAGATACAAGACTTGCACATGTACTTAAAGAAGATACAAGACTTGCACATGTACTTAAAGAAGAGACAAGACTTGCACATGTACTTAAAGAAGAGACAAGACTTGCACATGTACTTAAAGAAGAGACAAGACTTGCACATGTACTTAAAGAAGATACAAGACTTGCACATGTACTTAAAGAAGAGACAAGACTTGCACATGTACTTAAAGAAGAGACAAGACTTGCACATGTACTTAAAGAGGAGACAAGACTTGCACATGTACTTAAAGAAGAGACAAGACTTGCACATGTACTTAAAGAAGAGACAAGACTTGCACATGTACTTAAAGAAGATACAAGACTTGCACATGTACTTAAAGAAGAGACAAGACTTGCACATGTACTTAAAGAAGAGACAAGACTTGCACATGTACTTAAAGAAGAGACAAGACTTGCACATGTACTTAAAGAAGAGACAAGACTTGCACATGTACTTAAAGAAGATACAAGACTTGCACATGTACTTAAAGAAGATACAAGACTTGCACATGTACTTAAAGAGGAGACAAGACTTGCACATGTACTTAAAGAAGAGACAAGACTTGCACATGTACTTAAAGAAGAGACTTTCTTCTTCTTCTTCGTTCTTAATTATTAGTGTTGAAGGGGATCGAGATTTATCTGCCAGTGGGTTTGCCGACTCGACCACGCCTTCAACACAATTAAGCGTTACGTGTCAACTGGTTATGCGCCATTGAGGCCATTGACTCCGATTTCAGCCTGCTTTTCTTTTTGGATTTGCTTCCATAGCCTTTGTCCAACCAAGAACAAACTACAAGGCAGCAGTTGTTTAATTTTGGAGTTGTCTCTCCTAGAAGAGTGGCTGTCCCCAGCTAACGAGCCTCATCTGCCCGAGGGTTCGAACTCGAGACTTTTCGGTTTAGCAACCATGAGCTTTACCGACTCGACCACGCCGACCCCTAAAGAAGAGACAAGACTTGCACATGTACTTACTGACTGGACGGCCATGTTTGTGGCTATTGTACTAAGTAGACGAATAGTGGATGGAGAGATGGTCACAATGAAATCAGATACATTGACATTGACGTGGTGGTCTTTGCCCTGGGGGCTGTTGGACATCAGGGTAATGTTGACAGGTTCCAGCACCTACAACCATACAAATAGACATTTCTTATAGCAGCAAAATAGACATTTCTTATTGCATCAAAATAGACATTTCTTATCGCAGCAAAATAGACATTTCTTATTGCATCAAAATAGACATTTCTTATTGCAGTAAAGTGGATATTTCTCATTTCATGAAAATTTTTACTTCATGAAAATAGTTCATGGTTCATTAAAAATCTTTTTAAAAACAAACATTATTAATATTATTAAAAAGAGACATTACATATTTTAACAGAAGATATATTTCTAGTTTCATGAAGATTTTATAATTTTATAAAAAGAATATTTCTAATGTAATTATAGCTGACTATTAAATGTTTAAGATTCAAAAAACAAAATATAGACATTTTGTACATATACTTTTATAATAAGTAAACCAACTTTTTCAATATACTTTCTTAGAATTAATACGATTATAAGAACAGCTTCAGCAAGTCAGTCAGTTTACTAAAAGAATTCATGTTAACACTAAGTTAAATTAAACCTAAAAGAAACGCCTGAAATATCAAATGAAAAAAATGAGCACAAATTGCATGACGGAAATATGTTCAACTGTAACAAGACACAACCTTGATAAAACAAAAAGCTGGAACAACCAAAGAAACAAAAAAAAAAAAAAACAAATGAAGGAAATACAACAAACATAAAACAAGTATGGCAGACGATCCCATCTATGTTCATAATAGTTGTAGCAGATTTCTAGCAGTTGTTTCTCCAGGCTTGAGATTATGCGTCTTTTAAAGATCTAAAAAAATTGTTTTTTACGGAGAAAAATACTTTAAAAAAAATAATTTAAAACTCATGTATTTTCATTCAGACAACAATTTTAAAATTACTTAAAGTAAATGACAAAAAAATAATGTCAAACAAGAAGGATTTTTTTTTAAATGTGTATTAATCTCCATCTTGCAGTAAAATGTAAAATACAGGGAGTAACCCATGGCAGTCAACCATTATAACATTGAGTGGGAGAATTCAAATTTTCATTTATCACACTGGCATTAAGTTTGCAAAATAGACACAGTTTATCAAACTAGATCAGACCTTACAAAACAGTTTATCAAACTAGAACTAGAACAGCCCTTACAAAACAATTTATCACTAGAGAACAAATCTACAATATAAATGTTCAAAATCATACAACACGCCTTATACATTAGAAAAAGTTAAACACAATAGTTGATAAAGATTGAGTAAATCATGCCAAAACAGAAACAATTTATCACTGCACATCAAATCTTCCAAAGCTGAATGTTTTACCACAACTAAAAGATATGTAGACTTACACTTTGTGTGGTCTCCCATGACAAAACAGAAACAATTTATCACTGCACATCAAATCTTCCAAAGCTGAATGTTTAACCACAACTAAAAGATATGTAGACTTACACTTTGTGTGGTCTCCCATGACAAAACAGAAACAATTTATCACTGCACATCAAATCTTCCAAAGCTGAATGTTTAACCACAACTAAAAGATATGTAGACTTACACTTTGTGTGGTCTCCCATGACAAAACAGAAACAATTTATCACTGCACATCAAATCTTCCAAAGCTGAATGTTTAACCACAACTAAAAGATATGTAGACTTACACTTTGTGTGGTCTCCCATGACAAAACAGAAACAATTTATCACTGCACATCAAATCTTCCAAAGCTGAATGTTTAACCACAACTAAAAGATATGTAGACTTACACTTTGTGTGGTCTCCCATGACAAAACAGAAACAATTTATCACTGCACATCAAATCTTCCAAAGCTGAATGTTTTACCACAACTAAAAGATATGTAGACTTACACTTTGTGTGGTCTCCCATGACAAAACAGAAACAATTTATCACTGCACATCAAATCTTCCAAAGCTGAATGTTTTACCACAACTAAAAGATATGTAGACTTACACTTTGTGTGGTCTCCCATGACAAAACAGAAACAATTTATCACTGCACATCAAATCTCCCAAAGCTGAATGTTTAACCACAACTAAAAGATATGTAGACTTACACTTTGTCTGGTCTCCAACTGACCAAAGATTTGACCACAACTAAAAGATATGTAGACTTACACTTTGTCTGGTCTCCAACTGACCAAAGATTTGACCACAACTAAAAGATATGTAGACTTACACTTTGTCTAGTCTCCAACTGACCAAAGATTTGACCACAACTAAAAGATATGTAGACTTACACTTTGTCTGGTGTCCAACTGACCAAAGATTTGACCACAACAAAAAGATATGTAGACTTACACTTTGTCTAGTCTCCAACTGACCAAAGATTTGACCACAACTAAAAGATATGTAGACTTACACTTTGTCTAGTCTCCAACTGACCAAAGATTTGACCACAACTAAAAGATATGTAGACTTACACTTTGTCTGGTCTCCAACTGACCAAAGATTTGACCACAACTAAAAGATATGTATACTTACACTTTGTCTGGTCTCCAACTGACCAAAGATTTGACCACAACTAAAAGATATGTAGACTTACACTTTGTCTGGTCTCCAACTGACCAAAGATTTGACCACAACTAAAAGATATGTAGACTTACACTTTGTCTAGTCTCCAACTGACCAAAGATTTGACCACAACTAAAAGATATGTAGACTTACACTTTGTCTGGTGTCCAACTGACCAAAGATTTGACCACAACAAAAAGATATGTAGACTTACACTTTGTCTAGTCTCCAACTGACCAAAGATTTGACCACAACTAAAAGATATGTAGACTTACACTTTGTCTGGTCTCCAACTGACCAAAGATTTGACCACAACTAAAAGATATGTATACTTACACTTTGTCTGGTCTCCAACTGACCAAAGATTTGACCACAACTAAAAGATATGTAGACTTACACTTTGTCTAGTCTCCAACTGACCAAAGATACAGGTGACCAGGCTCAGGTTTTCAACAGAACCTTGGACACTGATTACATCAGCACTCATTCGGAGACGGAAATCTAGCTTGACCTGTGGACGACAAGAATTAAAACTTGTACAACACTACTTTAAACATGAGTAAAACAATCACTCTCCCAACATGTGTCTACAGCAATCTGCTTTTAACAAAAAACAAACATCCACCTATATGAAAAAACAAATAAAAAACAAACATCCACCAATATGGAAAAAAAAAAACATCCACCAATATGAAAAAAAAAAAACATCCACCAATATGAAAAGAAAAAAACATCCACCAATATGAAAAAAAAAACATCCACCAATATGAAAAGAAAAAACATCCACCAATATGAAAAAACAAACAAAAAACAAACATCCACCAATATGAAAAAACAAACAAAAAACAAACATCCACCAATATGAAAAAACAAACCAAAAAAAACATCCACCAATATGAAAAAAAAAAAAAAAAACATCCACCAATATGAAAAAAACAAACAAAAAACAAACATCCACCAATATGAAAAAACTAAAAAAAAACATCCACCAATATGAAAAAAAACAAACAAAAAACAAACATCCACCAATATGAAAAAACGAAAAAAAAAAACATCCACCAATATGAAAAAAACAAACAAAAAACAAACATCCACCACTATGAAAAACCAACCTACATCAACAATCATGCTGTTGGTGTGAGGGTTCATCTGGTCCTCTATCAGGTAAATCTCTGGCTTCTCCAACTTGAATGTCACATCCATGGATCCAACAAATGGTTCAGGAGGGGGAGGGGGGACAGGAGCTGAAAATTGAATGTCACATCAATGAAATCACTTTAAAGGGGGCAGACAGGGAAGGCGAGGGAAGAGTGTAACCATCTGTGGGTTTTTTTTTTTTAATTAAACCTTAACAAAGCTGAATAAGAACTCAGAGCCCATATCCTGAGCAACAAGATGGAAGAGGGCAGCCTTTAGACAGGCTTATACACTAGTTAAGTATAACTTGTCCTTCACACTGTTCAACTGTTATACAACGTTCAACTGTTATACACGGCTACATATACAGCTGTGCTGACAGCTGTTTAAAGTGGTTAGAGATAAAGTAGAGCATCTTGCAGAAAGAAATGGGTTTTGGTAACCACAGGACAGAGTACCAAGCTAACAAGGTAAATGTGATTACCACAGGTGTAACAAGGTAAATGTGATTACCACAGGTGTAACAAGGTAAATGTGATTACCACAGGTGTAACAAGGTAAATGTGATTACCACAGGTGTAACAAGGTAAATGTGATTACCACAGGTGTAACAAGGTAAATGTGATTACCACAAGTGTAACAAGGTAAATGTGATTACCACAGGGCAGAGTACCAAGCTAACAAGGTAAATGTGATTACCACAGGGCAGAGTACCAAGCTAACAAGGTAAATGTGATTACCACAAAGCAGAGTACCAAGCTAACAAGGTGAATGTGATTACCACAAAGCAGAGTACCAGACTAACAAGGTAAATGTGATTACCACAGGGCAGAGTACCAAGCTAACAAGGTAAATGTGATTACCAAAGGACAGAGTACCAAGCTAACAAGGTAAATGTGATTACCACACGATAGAATAACAAACAAGCTATTAATGACCACAGGACATATCACCAACCTTCAGATTTGGGATGCGTTTTCTTTACAATCATCTGCTTCTCATTAGTTTTGATTGATGGCATACTATTGACAAAAAAATCTACAACCTTCATGATGAATTCCATGCAGATGCAGATGTGTAGTGAACAGATCTTGAACACAACTGTGGAAGATAACACAGGCTTACGGCAAACTGGCTGGAGAACAAGGCTACATTTTTTTTATTCACTGCAGTCACTGTTAAAAAAAACTATAGTGAATTGTAGAAAAATATCAAAAATATTTACAGACCCAACATACAGAATTTGTATAACATGTTTTCAGTACTTTATTAAAATGAGTTTTTTATCAACTTTCTGATTAATATTTGGAGTGAAGTAAGCAGAGCTGTGTAACCTTTTTTATCCATAGTTTTGTTCAAGTCATAGTGAATATTGATGAACATTTTGCTTTCATCCTCGCTAGTCTGACTCTCCAGAACTTCTTTACTTGCGTACTTGTACGCTGTACGGCGGATCAGTCTGTGAAACAGTTACAAATATATTTTTTTCATTTATCCCTCCAGAATATATAGGATTTCATGGTTGGATGGTATGACTAACCCAAAAGTCTTGAGTTTTAATCCTGGGTTTGTGTCAGTAGAATGTCCCTGAGTCCACACAACTCTGATGGGTACCTGACTCTAGGGAAATTAACTCATTTCACCTTTACTTACTTCCCTTTACCTCCAGAACATACCAGACTTATACATTAATTTTCATGCCTTATTGTACCTCAATAAATTATACCAGCTGAACATCTAGATTTTTTTTTTCATTAACCCTTAGATACCCACAATAAACATACTTTCATAAGGTGGCTGGATATTTTTAGCACAAAATTGTCTTGACATTACAATAATGTAATGCTACACACACAAGATGTTAGTATATTTTCTTATAACCATAGCCATGACCAGAGAAAGAAAGAATAGATGACCAACACTAGCTTCAGACAATAAATTGGTTTTTTAAATGTATAGTATCAATAATAGAAATAAATTAGCTAGGCCAATGCAAAAATTTAATTTCAGTAAAACAATATAATAGTTACATATTTGGATAGGGGCTGTCAATCTGATTACAGATCAGTTTGAATTTTCAAAATCTGACCATAAACAAAAAAGTTATGAATTTTTTAGTCATTAAAAAACAGCAGTTTTTTCAGACAACCGGGGTAGACCCTGAAAGAGGAAAAATACTGGGAGGGTATGGACCAAATTTTTAAGAGTTTTTCACTAAAAGTGGTATAAAAGCAAGCAGACTTCACCAATTGATGTCATTTTATGATATTTTGTAGATTTTTGTATGCCGAATCCAATGATGCTATTTTAAAAAGTGTCTTTTGATTACATAACAGACTTATTTCATGGATTATGTAACACCCCCCTTCAATTTTTTTTTACAACATCTGATAATCCGTGTGATAAGAAGTCATTCTTTAAATTAAACACTGTTTTAAACCATAATATGACATTTGTATATGCTGAAGCTAATGGTGATATTTAAAATGGTCGAACATTATTACAAAACTATAAAGGTTTGGTTATGTAATTCGCACCTTTTGCTCATAATTTACCATGTAATTATTTTAAAATCTCTTTTGCTCATTGTCAGTTAACTTAAGTGAATAGCCTACTTAAAGAAAAGATAACTAATACAGTTTTAATACAAAGAGAAGGATGCTATAACAATAGTATATTTGTGATGATGTAACTTCTTAAAATATGTTATGTAATCTATGTGCAATCGTACAGGCCTACTCTATTCCAAAAATATAGGCGTATCTTATTATATTTATATTTCTTGTTACTTTAAATGTCATACCATTGATACAACTTTCTTCTATAGAATTAGCCTAGTTACAAATGTGTCTTATCAGAATCAGTGTGCTTTATGACAATTTTGTAATATTTTTAAACACAAAAAAATTGCTCATTTTTACAATTTTAATAACATAAACATTGGAGGAAAATTGTTTTTTTTTTAGCTTGTACAAGGTAGTGTAAGTTATAGGTCTATAACATAGATTTATATATGCGCAATGTTTATGCTAGTTGTAAGCTTGTGTATTTTGTAGGCCTACCATAGGCCTATTACATTGGGAAAAAAGCACGTGTTTGAGTGCTTGACTGTGTGTAGTAGATGCTAGGCATTTTTTAAGTTTCCGGAGGCGTTTTTCACCATCAGCATTTGCCTAGATTTAGTGAAATCAGACGTGGTTAACCAGGTTTTCTGACCAACGAATTTTATTGCCGTATTACGTTAACACGAGGCTAGATAGGCTAGTCGGCCAACCCGATGAACGTGTCAGACGAATATTATGTAATTTTAGAGACTAAAGTCTGGCAAGATTTCCTGATCTATGCCCGAGGGTTAGTAACATCAACTCCACAAAGTGAAGGGGGAGGGAGGTGGGGTATGAAACCACCGCGAGCCGCTCGGGTACCGTACGGGTGTTATACAACATCAAAGGCGCCGACCCTCGGCTTGTCGCGTCACGGAGTAGTGGGGGCGGGGTGAGGCTATGGATGTTACATACGGTGTTACAATTGTTACATACCGTGTAGGATGGTCAGTGACTCCCCATACCCACCCATCCCATTTTGGTCGATTTGGCAAGCTAGTAACCTCCACGTTGTTAAGGGTTTTAGTCAACCGAAAAAAAAAGAGCCCGGGGTAAAATTTAATTTATTTTTTAAAGCCGTTTTTACGAAAAAGTAATGCACACAATAATGAAACGTTACGGCACGCGAGTCACGTCAGCATTGTTTGGTCGGGTCGCAGCTATCCGGATTAATTTCTAAAGAAGATTAATTTTGACGATTAGTAAATACTATTACGACTTTTTTTTTTGCCGTTTCAATGGTTTAAAACAAAGTTATGAAACATGCCTGTCTACTTAAATATAAAATAGCAATACCCGACGAGTCAAATACGGGAACACACGTATCTATCTTTAGAAATTGTTTATAGTATCATCCAATCGGATCAACCGCCTAGCGTCACGTGACCACACACTCGGCTGTGCTACACGATGTGTAGATCACGATTCAGTCGGACGGCGGCCGACGCGTTAATTTTTATTTTCGTTCCGTCTTAAAATGTATGGACGGCTTTATTATGAGGTGTTATAATACATGTCATACATTAAAATAATCGGCGGGATTTCAGGAATACAGCTCAAGGTTCAAATGTAAAATAGGTCAAATAATAGACCGGGAAACTTAGTTCAACTTTGCGGTCCGATATCTCCCGAAGTATTTAACTTATTTTGACCACGAACCTTGAGCGTTGTACGTCTACATTTAATCTGTTCGTCTGCCAAATTTGATTGTTGTAGTACGTAAACTCGATACGTCTATAAAAAAAAATTGTAGCGCGTCATATTTAAAACACAGCGATTCGAAGCACAGCCGAGCGGTTCAGTCGGACAGCGGTCGGCGCGTCATGTTTTGATTTTCGGTCCACTTCAAAGTCTATAGACGTCCTTATTATAGGGCCTAATATGACATATCATACATATTAATAAACGTCGAGATTTCAGGAATACAGCTCAAGGTTCAAATTAAAAATCGGTTCATTAATAGCCCAAATAACTTAGTTCAACTTTGCCGTTCGATATCTCCAAAAGTATTTAACATATTTTCCCCAAGAACCTTGAGCGTTATACGTGAACAATTAATCTATTCTTCTACCAAGTTTCACTGTTGTAGTACGAAAACTCAAAGAGTCTATAGACTCTAAGTAACACCCCTCTTTTAAATAGGTGAAAAAGCCTCCCCCCTAATCGGCACGTCGCCGCGGGGGGTAAAAAATGCGATTTAATCGGCGATTTCTTCAACGTCTGAAATAATAAAGGAATCAAACTTATACAGTTAAAAAGGTTGTTCAATTACGAACAGAATGATGTATAACATGTTAACATAAACACAATAAAAGCATGCAAAAAACAGAGTTAAACATGCAGGGGGTAGGGAAAAGCCGATTTGTCCGATTTTCTCGGCAGCGGCATTGGCCTAGCTAAATAAATGCATCTCTTTTCATTTTTTTTTACTAATCACAAAGTTATTAAATAAAGTTTTTTTTCAATTTAACAATACAAGAAAGCATTTGAAGACCTCATTTTTCTGAAACTCTGAAAGCCTACACCAGCTATTAGGACAGTTCCCAGAAAACTGGACTAACAGATAAATGCGCAAACTATACTAAAACTATTTTGTTATATTTTGTAGAAGTGTGATATTATGCTACAATGTAAAAGTAAGTAAAGTTTCCCTTTCAAACCTGACGGTCTATGGGTCAAGTGAAGTAGAGCTCACTTGTTTCTGTGAACTCGGCATATGAAGAAATAGTGGGGTCAGCACTATGCCCAGCCGCCTTTACTTTCCCTAACGTGAGTTAGGTACCCATCAGAGTTGGGTGGACTCAGGGATGGTCTACTGACTTGAACCTGGATTCGAACTCGAGACTAACGGGTTAGCAGTCAAGCTCTCTACCGCTAGACCACTCCGCCCCTTATGCTACAATGTACATGTGGTTAATTTTTTTTAATGCTCGACATTTAGAAAGCAATAATGCCCTTGCACACTTTTTTGTGCGCAGTTTTCCATAGTTTTACCGGGTCACTATTAGTACACAACTTCCCCCACCTAACAATATATTCAACTTTGATCATACTACTTTTTCAATAAGCTATCACATAAACATGCTGAACAGCTGGGTATTGTCGAACACAGAAACAACATACTTAGTGATCCCGCCATCCTTTTCAATACGACAGTCGTCCATTCTGAAGTCGACCAGACCGACCTTGGCCGACATGGACTCGTCAGACATCATGTTGACCTCCGTCAGCAGGGTGGTTAAACACATCTGGGACAGCATCTTAGACTTGGGACGCACTTTTTCTCCTTCATCCTGCACAGGGGAGGGAATGGGTTACACCACAACTGTAGGCAACCTACTACAACTCCATCAGTGCTAATGATGAGTGTACCACTGGCACAACTTTAAACAGTGTTCAGTGTGAGAGTGAGCACAGGGGAGGGAATGGGTTACACCACAACTGTAGGCAACCTACTACAACTCCATCAGTGCTAATGATGAGTGTACCACTGGCACAACTTTAAACAGTGTTCAGTGTGAGAGTGAGCACAGGGGAGGGAATGGGTTACACCACAACTGTAGGCAACCTACTACAACTCCATCAGTGCTAATGATGAGTGTACCACTGGCACAACTTTAAACAGTGTTCAGTGTGAGAGTGAGCACAGGGGAGGGAATGGGTTACACCACAACTGTAGGCAACCTACTACAACTCCATCAGTGCTAATGATGAGTGTACCACTGGCACAACTTTAAACAGTGTTCAGTGTGAGAGTGAGCACAGGGGAGGGAATGGGTTACACCACAACTGTAGACAACCTACTACAACTCCATCAGTGCTAATGATGAGTGTACCACTGGCACAACTTTAAACAGTGTTCAGTGTGAGTGGGACGCACTTTTTCTCCTTCATCCTGCACAGGGGAGGGAATGGGTTACACCACAACTGTAGGCAACCTACTACAACTCCATCAGTGCTAATGATGAGTGTACCACTGGCACAACTTTAAACAGTGTTCAGTGTTAGTGGGACGCACTTTTTCTCCTTCATCCTGCACAGGGGAGGGAATGGGTTACACCACAACTGTAGGCAACCTACTACAACTCCATCAGTGCTAATGATGAGTGTACCACTGGCACAACTTTAAACAGTGTTCAGTGTGAGTGGGACGCACTTTTTCTCCTTCATCCTGCACAGGGGAGGGAATGGGTTACACCACAACTGTAGACAACCTACTACAACTCCATCAGTGCTAATGATGAGTGTACCACTGGCACAACTTAAAACAGTATTCAGTGTGAGAGTGAGCACAAGGGAGGGAATGGGTTACACCACAACTGTAGGCAACCTACTACAACTCCATCAGTGCTAATGATGAGTGTACCACTGGCACAACTTTAAACAGTATTCAGTGTGAGTGGGACGCACTTTTTCTCCTTCATCCTGCACAGGGGAGGGAATGGGTTACACCACAACTGTAGGCAACCTACTACAACTCCATCAATGATAATGATGAGTGTACCACTGGCACAACTTTAAACAGTGTTCAGTGTTAGTGGGACGCACTTTTTCTCCTTCATCCTGCACAGGGGAGGGAATGGGTTACACCACAACTGTAGACAACCTACTACAACTCCATCAGTGCTAATGATGAGTGTACCACTGGCACAACTTTAAACAGTGTTCAGTGTGAGAGTGAGTCAACTTAAATTGAAATAAAAAGTCATCATCCTAAATTAATGGACCAAGTTTTAACTAAATAATTGTCATCTCTAGGTACACTAGGTAAATGTGATTACAACAGGATAGAGTACACTACCTAATAATCAGATATGTAAGTGACCACATAACAAAATGGAAATTTTCAAGGTATTTCTAGGTGGTAGTTAGTCATTTCACAGAAATATTGCTCAAACTAAACATTTAAGTGTAAGCTTTTTTGAAATTATGCTCTTATCAAAGTTTATTGAGCACATTTTTTTTTCAAAGAGGAAATTAGAATTTTCTAGAGAAATAAAGATTGATAGACAAGAATCAGTTAAATAAAAGCTTGTTATTATCAAATTCTAAAAGTTGACAGAAATCAGCATATACAATCTTGTACTTAAATGGTACTCAAGTTATAGACTTTTGAGAAACCAGATGTAGAGAAAATACAACTTCCTGTTAGCTGAAATCACTCAAAAGCTTATAGAAAACTACAAATTTGACATATTATTTCATCAACCTAACTGAAATGGTACTTAAGTTAAGGTCTTTACATACACACAGACAGACAGACAAAACTGCAACAGTGTAAAACATCTAGATTTGTCAAAATCTTGATTTCTATTTTTGCATGATTACCATACTTGTTCGATTCTTCGTAAAGGAGAAAGTAAAAAACCAACATACAGCGCTGTGTAATCTAAGTAAAAAACCAACTTACATCTCTGTGTAATCTAAGTAAAAAACCAACTTACATCTCTGTGTAATCTAAGTAAAAAACCAACTTATATCTCTGTGTAATCTAAGTAAAAACCAACTTACATCTCTGTGTAATCTAAGTAAAAAACCAACTTACATCTCTGTGTAATCTAAGTAAAAAACCAACTTACATCTCTGTGTAATCTAAGTGTAAAAAAAAACTGGTCGTCTGTGTCTTAGGTCTTAATAGTAGTTTGTCATCTTTATTTTTTTAACACAGTACTTAGTATATAATAAACCAGGAGTGATCTCCCCTAAACTTCCTCGAATATTCTAATATAACACTACGGTGGATGGCAACTCAGGACATAGACAATATTTGTATTCCATTTATAATTACTTAAACTTTTTATAATAGAAATAGAATCTCGTAAAAAAAAAGAATTGCACACCAAGTGAACGTAAAAAAATGTGCATAATAGTGCAGGATATTATTAGTACTTTATAAATTCACATGCGGTTTTTTTTGAGAAATCGGAAATAGCGAAAAATTACTACTTCCGTTCGACGGAAATTACTCAAAATTTGATAGAAGGCAGACAATTAGAACTTTTACTTACATGTGAAATTTCATTTATCTATCTGAAATAGTACTCAAGTTATAGGCTTTTGAAAAATTCAAAGTAGAAAAAGTTCCACTTCCGGTTATTGGAAATCGCTCAAAAGTTGTTACGGATCTACGATTTTGATATAATACTTATATATGAAATTTCATCAACCTAGCTGTAACGGTACTCAAGTTATCGTGTTTACACACACACACAGACAGACATACACACAGACATACGCACAAGATTGCAAAACTGTTTTTCTGACTCAGGAAGCCCTAAAACGTCGAGATTTGCAAAAATCTTGATTTTTTTTTTTTGCACGATTACAAGACTTTCTCTATACTTCGTATATATGAGAATGTAAAAATGGGAAGTAACTTTATAAAAGGTACAGAACTTGTACAAAGATGTTTACACTTGTAAAAAACCATATACAGAAAACCAGCAAATAGCTGACAGATGAGTGACCTATGACCTATGTGCACCTCTAGATGCAGCAAGAGCAGGACAACCAACAACGAAAATAAAATCTTAAACTCACAGCTTTGCAGCGACCCCTGTAGAGTTCCACGTTGATGGCTTGTAGTTTGAAATCCACCTTGAGGGTTGAATAGATTTCTTCACCCAGAGTATCCGACTTAGCGCTGGCTTGGCTGTCAGTGCTGCCTCTCTCAGCCTTCTTGCGCAGGGCTGAAGACAGTGGGACATGTGAAATGTGTGGAGAAACATGTGAAACTACATTTAGACTGGCACCTAAGGCAGTGTGGGCTGGAGACAGTGGGACATGTGAAATGTGTGGAGAAACATGTGAAACTCCTTTAATTTAGACTGGCACCTAAGGCAGTGTGGGCTGGAGACAGTGGGACATGTGAAATGTGTGGAGAAACATGTGAAACTCCTTTAATTTAGACTGGCACCTAAGGCAGTGTGGGCTGGAGACAGTGAGACATGTGAAATGTGGGGAGAAAGATGTGAAATTCCTTTAATTTAGACTGGCACCTAAGGCAGTGTGGGCTGGAGACAGTGAGACATGTGAAATGTGTGGAGAAAGATGTGAAACTCCTTTAATTTAGACTGGCACCTAAGGCAGTGTGGGCTGAAGACAGCGAGACATGTGAAATGTGGGGAGAAAGATGTGAAATTCCTTTAATTTAGACTGGCACCTAAGGCAGTGTAGGCTGGAGACAGTGGGACATGTGAAATGTGTGGAGAAAGGTGTGAAATGTGGGGAGAAAGGTGTGAAATGTGTGGAGAAACATGTGAAACTCCTTTAATTTAGACTGGCACCTAAGGCAGTGTAGGCTGGAGACAGTGGGACATGTGAAATGTGTGGAGAAAGATGTGAAACTCCTTTAATTTAGACTGGCACCTAAGGCAGTGTAGGCTGGAGACAGTGGGACATGTGAAATGTGTGGAGAAAGATGTGAAACTCCTTTAATTTAGACTGGCACCTAAGGCAGTGTAGGCTGGAGACAGTGGGACATGTGAAATGTGTGGAGAAAGATGTGAAACTCCTTTAATTTAGACTGGCACCTAAGGCAGTGTAGGCTGGAGACAGTGGGACATGTGAAATGTGTGGAGAAAGATGTGAAACTCCTTTAATTTAGACTGGCACCTAAGGCAGTGTGGGCTGGAGACAGTGGGACATGTGAAATGTGTGGAGAAAGATGAGAAACTCCTTTAATTTAGACTGGCACCTAAGGCAGTGTAGGCTGGAGACAGTGGGACATGTGAAATGTGTGGAGAAACATGTGAAACTACATTTAGACTGGCACCTAAGGCAGTGTAGGCTGGAGACAGTGGGACATGTGAAATGTGGGGAGAAAGATGTGAAACTCCTTTAATTTAGACTGGCACCTAAGGCAGTGTGGGCTGGAGACAGTGGGACATGTGAAATGTGTGGAGAAAGATGTGAAATTCCTTTAATTTAGACTGGCACCTAAGTCAGTGTGGGCTGGAGACAGTGGGACATGTGAAATGTGTGGAGAAAGATGTGAAACTCCTTTAATTTAGACTGGCACCTAAGGCAGTGTAGGCTGGAGACAGTGGGACATGTGAAATGTGTGAAGAAAGATGTGAAACTCCTTTAATTTAGACTGGCACCTAGGGCAGTGTAGGCTGGAGACAGTGGGACATGTGAAATGTGTGGAGAAACATGTGAAACTCCTTTAATTTAGACTGGCACTTAAGGCAGTGTAGGCTGGAGACAGTGAGACATGTGAAATGTGGGGAGAAACATGTGAAACTCCTTTAATTTAGACTGGCACTTAAGGCAGTGTAGGCTGGAGACAGTGGGACATGTGAAATGTGTGGAGAAACATGTGAAACTCCTTTAATTTAGACTGGCACTTAAGGCAGTGTAGGCTGGAGACAGTGGGACATGTGAAATGTGGGGAGAAACATGTGAAACTCCTTTAGACTGGCACCTAAGGCAGTGTGGGCTGGAGACAGTGGGACATGTGAAATGTGTGGAGAAACATGTGAAACTCCTTTAGACTGGCACCTAAGGCAGTGTGGGCTGGAGACAGTGGGACATGTGAAATGTGTGGAGAAACATGTGATGCTCCTGGCAACTAAGGCAGTGTGGGCTGGAGACAGTGGGACATGTGAAATGTGTGGAGAAACATGTGAAACTCCTTTAATTTAGACTGGCACCTAAGGCAGTGTGGGCTGGAGACAGTGGGACATGTGAAATGTGTGGAGAAAGATGTGAAACTCCTTTAATTTAGACTGGCACCTAAGGCAGTGTAGGCTGGAGACAGTGGGACATGTGAAATGTGTGGAGAAACATGTGAAACTACATTTAGACTGGCACCTAAGGCAGTGTGGGCTGGAGACAGTGGGACATGTGAAATGTGTGGAGAAAGATGTGAAACTCCTTTAATTTAGACTGGCACCTAAGGTAGTGTGGGCTGGAGACAGTGGGACATGTGAAATGTGGGGAGAAAGATGTGAAACTCCTTTAATTTAGACTGGCACCTAAGGCAGTGTAGGCTGGAGACAGTGGGACATGTGAAATGTGTGGAGAAAGATGTGAAACTCCTTTAATTTAGACTGGCACCTAAGGCAGTGTGGGCTGAAGACAGTGGGACATGTGAAATGTGTGGAGAAACATGTGAAACTACATTTAGACTGGCACCTAAGGCAGTGTAGGCTGAAGACAGTGGGACATGTGAAATGTGTGGAGATTGATGTGAAACTCCTTTAATTTAGACTGGCACCTAAGGCAGTGTGGGCTGGAGACAGTGGGACATGTGAAATGTGTGGAGAAACATGTGATGCTCCTGGCACCTAAGGCAGTGTGGGCTGGAGACAGTGGGACATGTGAAATGTGTGGAGAAAGATGTGAAACTCCTTTAATTTAGACTGGCACCTAAGGCAGTGTAGGCTGGAGACAGTGGGACATGTGAAATGTGTGGAGAAAGATGTGAAACTCCTTTAATTTAGACTGGCACCTAAGGCAGTGTGGGCTGGAGACAGTGAGACATGTGAAATGTGTGGAGAAAGATGTGAAACTCCTTTAATTTAGACTGGCACCTAAGGCAGTGTGGGCTGGAGACAGTGAGACATGTGAAATGTGTGGAGAAAGATGTGAGACTCCTTTAATTTAGACTGGCACCTAAGGCAGTGTGATGACACAAGCTTCCAAGCTAGGTCAAGTAGGAGCGTAAGGTCTGGATAGTGTAACAGGTCATTGGTCAAGCTGATGGAACCTATTAGAAGCAAGGTGACCAATGATGGAACTTCACAGGTACACAGTAGCAACATCCTGGTGCACAAACCACCCTTTAATTACACACCACCTTTAAGGTACACACGCCACCTTTAAGGTACACATGCCACCTTTAAGATACACCACCTTTAAGGTACACACGCCACCTTTAAGATACATACGCCACCTTTAAGGTACACACACCACCTATCAGATACACACAACCCCCTTATACAGATACACCCCAATGTTCAACTGACCATGGTCTGTGGACCTTGCTTCCTTAGAAGGTTTCTCAATTTTCAGTGTAGTTGGATCTTGAGGGTTTTGCTCTTTCAAATTGCCAACTAAAATGCTCAACATTAAAGAAATGTCCTCTTTATTAAGCTTTATCTGTAAAGAGATCAAACAAAAAAAACTGTTCAAGCAACAACAAGTACATGTCTAGATTTGATTTCAGTCTTTAACTGTTCACCCCTCCCAGAGTCTATACAAATAACGTGTGACATAAACAGTGAAAAAACTTTCTTGTCATAATAATAATATGATACACATAAATGCTGTTCGTAACTTTTTAGAAAAAGAAACAGAAATTTCTACAAACCGAGCTATCAACATAATCTAACCTTCCAGCTAACGATGTAACAAAATAGCCCAGCTATTAACGTAATCTAATAGCCCAGCTATCAGCTTATTCAAATAGCCCAGCTATTAACGTAATCTAATAGCCCAGCTATCAGCTTATTCAAATAGCCCAGCTATTAACGTAATCTAATAGCCCAGCTATCAGCTTATTCAAATAGCCCAGCTATTAACGTAATCTAATAGCCCAGCTATCAGCTTATTCAAATAGCCCAGCTATTAACGTAATCTAATAGCCCAGCTATCATCTTATTCAAATAGCCCAGCTATTAACATAATCTAATAGCCCAGCTATCAGCTTATTCAAATAGCCCAGCTATTAACGTAATCTAATAGCCCAGCTATCATCTTATTCAAATAGCCCAGCTATTAACGTAATCTAATAGCCCAGCTATCATCTTATTCAAATAGCCCAGCTATGAACTTCAGCTCCCAGCCTTGCTGGCTACTTACAGAAATCTTGTCTAGAAGAGCAGCTATTTCCATATCAGGGATTCCGTGGAACCAGCCAGATGAAAGGTTTCTGTGGATGTTCACCTGGAAGGTCAGGGGCTCTATTATAGGGAGCTCCCAATAGAGTTCACTTGTTAGATTGTTGATGGAGCCCCTGAAACAAAACACAATCTCTAGTTGTTTTCTATTCAGATTTTAATAGGGCTGGTAAGTAGGTCACCAACCAGTTCTTAGACTCAATAAAACCTGCATGAGCCATAGAACTTGTTGATGACCTACTTACCAGCCCTATTGCTGTCTGTTTGAAGTTAACAAAGGTAACTGTATCTCAATGTAGTTGGTTTGGATTAGTTTAACCAATGATAGGCAGCTACACAATGGTACTAGGCTATTGTATCTCAATGTAGTTGGTTTGTATCAGTTTTACCAAATAGGCAGCTACACAATAGTTCTAGGCTATTGTATCTCAATGTACTTGGTTTGTATCAGTTTTACCAAATAGACAGCTACACAATAGTTCTAGGCTATTGTATCTCATTGTAGTTGGTTTGTATAACTTTTACCAATGATAGACAGCTACACATAAGTTCTAGGCTATTGTATCTCATTGTACTTGGTTTGTATCAGTTTTACCAAATAGACAGCTACACAATAGTTCTAGCCTATTGTTTCTCAATGTAGTTGGTTTGTATAACTTTTACCAATGATAGGCAGCTACACAATGGTACTAGGCTATTGTATCTCAATGTAGTTGGTTTGTATAACTTTTACCAATGATAGGCAGCTACACAATGGTACTAGGCTATTGTATCTCAATGTACTTGGTTTGTATAACTTTTACCAATGATAGGCAGCTACACAATGGTACTAGGCTATTGTATCTCAATGTAGTTGGTTTGTATAACTTTTACCAATGATAGGCAGCTACACAATGGTACTAGGCTATTGTATCTCAATGTAGTTGGTTTGTATAACTTTTACCAATGATAGGCAGCTACACAATGGTACTAGGCTATTGTATCTCAATGTAGTTGGTTTGTATAACTTTTACCAATGATAGGCAGCTACACAATGGTACTAGGCTATTGTATCTCATTGTAGTTGGTTTGTATCAGTTTTACCAAATAGGCAGCTACACAATGGTACTAGGCTATTGTATCTCAATGTAGTTGGTTTGTATAACTTTTACCAATGATAGGCAGCTACACAATGGTACTAGGCTATTGTATCTCAATGTACTTGGTTTGTATCAGTTTAACCAATGATAGACAGCTACACATAAGTTCTAGGCTATTGTATCTCAATGTAGTTGGTTTGGATTAGTTTAACCAACAGACAGCTACACAAAGGTACTAGGCTATTGTATCTCAATGTAGTTGGTTTGGATCAGTTTAACCAATGATAGACAGCTACACATAAGTTCTAGGCTATTGTATCTCAATGTAGTTGGTTTGGATTAGTTTAACCAACAGACAGCTACACAAAGGTACTAGGTTATTGTATCTCAATGTAGTTGGTTTGGATCAGTTTAACCAATGATAGACAGCTACACATAAGTTCTAGGCTATTGTATCTCAATGTAGTTGGTTTGGATTAGTTTAACCAACAGACATCTACACAATATAGAACTAGAGCAGCTGCAAGTAAAGTTTTATCACCTGCAGAACTGCAAGTTGGTCAGCATGACAACCAGGTGCTCCACAATGTGGGCTTGACCAGGCACTGTTTTGGTTTTGCTGTACAGTTTCTCAAACTTGTTCACTAAGTTGATGTCCCCCAGGTTGATGATCAAGGCCAGTTTAGACCTGGAACTCTTTGGGATCACGAGCAGAGGGGCTTTCAGCTGTGGATAAGTGTAAAAAAAAAGGCTTTTAGTTGCAAGGTATTGGGCTTTTAGTTCCAAGGTATTGGGCTTTTAGTTGTAAGGTATTGGGCTTTTAGTTGCAAGGTATTGGGCTTTTAGTTGCAAGGTATTGGGCTTTTAGTTGCAAGATATTGGGCTTTTAGTTGCAAGGTATTGGGCTTTTAGTTGCAAGGTATTGGGCTTTTAGTTGCATATGTAGTAATGTAGCTATGAATGATAATATAAAATAGGTTTTCCATTTGATAGATATTGGGCTTTCAGATGTGAATAAATGTTAGAAAAAAAATGGAGCTTTCAATTATGGCTGATTGTACAAAAAGAGTCTCTCAGCTGCAAGAGATGTGAGGGAAAGAAAAAAGCTTTTGGCCCCTGAGTAAAGAAAAGGGGATTCTGTGAATGAGAATAAATAATGGGCTTTCAATTTAGAGTAGCAATAGTGGGTATCATCTGAAATTGAGAGTAATAAGTGGCTTGTGTAGCCAGATGTTTCATTTTATTGTAAGTATGCTTGTATTTGAAAATACTAATAAAACTAAAGGTTTATTAAGATGAGATAAAGAAAACAAAATTGATCACAAGTTTCTAATTATACAAACCATCTCTGATGGGAGTCTTCATTATAGATAATAGAATTGTTACCAGTAGATTTAAAAAATAAGTAATCAACAAACATATTATTTGAAAAGATGAAAACCTACAGAAATTTCCAGCTTGATCCGAGGTGCCTTCTCCTGGAAATTTTTTGCAACATCCAGGGAAGCTTCCTTTACTGCCTGGCTAGCTTCATCCAACTTGGCTTTTGCAAGATTGAAGTTGTCTAAGAAGTTCTGAGGATATTACAATTGGTTGCAAAATTGAAGTTGTCTAAGAAGTTCTGATGATATTACAATTGGTTGCAAGATTGAAGTTGTCTAAGAAGTTCTGAGGATATTAAAGTTGTCTAAGTAGTTTTTGGGATATCAGAATTTGTTGCAGGATGAAAGTTGTCTAAGTAGTTTTTGGGATATCAGAATTGGTTGCAGCATTAAAGTTGTCGAAGTAGTTTTTGGGATATCAGAATTGGTTGAAGGATCAAAGTTTTGGATATTAAAATTGGTTGCAGAATTAAAGTTGTCCTGAAAATTCACGACATATAAGAACTGGTATCTACACAATCAATAAAAAATCCTTTTATTTTTAACTATGGATTGGGTGGCAAGATATCAAAATATAACATTGTTATCGCTAAAATATGTAATAAAAAACTGCATCGTACATGGACAGTAATTTTAACATTGTATTTTCCTACATATAACTTTTTAAACCCAGAAAAATCTACTCAAAAGAGGAGGCTGTCATAAAGCTAGGTATATATTTTAACTGTAATGGTTGAGGGGTTGTCTAACATGCTGGTAAATAGATATAATTTACTGAATCTACAAGAGCCAACTACAGAAAGTACTTACAAGGAGGGATAGCACAAACTTGTTTACAAAGACAAGTTGTGCTTTGCCAAGTTGGAGAAAGATGTCCATGTCAATGGCTGAGATGTTATCAAACCTGTGACCTGCTGTTCCATGGTTGTACTGTACCATCTCAAACTTGAACATCTCTTCACCACTGACTGAGAAGATCTGAAACAAAACATCTCAAACTTGAACATCTCTTCACCACTGACTGAGAAGATCTGAAACAAAACATCTCAAACTTGAACATCTCTTCACCACTGGCTGAGAAAATCTGAAACAAAACATCTCAAACTTGAACATCTCTTCACCACTGACTGAGAAGATCTGAAACAAAACATCTCAAACTTGAACATCTCTTCACCACTGGCTGAGAAAATCTGAAACAAAACATCTCAAACTTGAACATCTCTTCACCACTGACTGAGAAGATCTGAAACAAAACATCTCAAACTTGAACATCTCTTCACCACTGGCTGAGAAAATCTGAAACAAAACATCTCAAACTTGAACATCTCTTCACCACTGACTGAGAAGATCTGAAACAAAACATCTCAAACTTGAACATCTCTTCACCACTGGCTGAGAAAATCTGAAACAAAACATCTTAAACTTGAACATCTCTTCACCACTGACTGAGAAGATCTGAAACAAAACATCTCAAACTTGAACATCTCTTCACCACTGGCTGAGAAAATCTGAAACAAAACATCTCAAACTTGGGAACAATGTTGATGTGGGTGCTCTAACAGGGAACAATGTTCTACTGATGGTCTAACAGGGAACAATGTTCTACTGGTGGTCTAACAGGGAACAATGTTCTACTGGTGGTCTAACAGGGAACAATGTTCTACTGGTGGTCTAACAGGGAACAATGTTCTACTGATGGTCTAACAGGGAACAATGTTCTACTGGTGCTCTAACAGGGAACAATGTTCTACTGGTGGTCTAACAGGGAACAATGTTGATGTGGGTGCTCTAACAGGGAACAATGTTCTACTGATGGTCTAACAGGGAACAATGTTGATATGGGTGCTCTAACAGGGAACAACGTTCTACTGATGGTCTAACAGGGAACAATGTTCTACTGGTGGTCTAACAGGGAACAATGTTCTACTGGTGGTCTAACAGGGAACAATGTTGCTGTGGGTGAACTAACAGGGAACAATGTTCTACTGGTGGTCTAACAGGGAACTATGTTCTACTGGTGGTCTAACAGGGAACAATATTGATGTGGGAAGAATACTGCAGGTCTTATAGGGCACAATGCTATATAGCAGTTGTCTTAAGGGGGTTAAGATAAAGCCAAAGAAATCAGAGTGACTCACTTTTGGGTACTTTGTTCTTGGATCTGGATCCAACAGCTCAATTTTTCTCATCAACGCAGACACGCCCATTTTGTGCACATGCATTTTGGCTCCTACTTCAACACCTGAAAACAGTTGTCAACAGTGAGTCTATAACAATAAAAACAATTCTAGCCTGTCATGATCAAATGCATTCGCCCTTTGACCCTGAAGGTCATAAGTCATCTCTAGCAGTATATTGTGTGAGCCGAGCAATTAAATTGACTATTTAAAGATTAATGTTACATACTAGTGTGACAGCCAGAGGAAGATTTTAAAATTAATGATGAAATATGGAAAATAATTATAAATGACTAAAATAATTGAAAATATGATGGAATAGGTGAAGGTGTTATAAGTTTACACGTTAATGAATCTGCTTCCAGTGTATCAGCTATGAGGTTGAAAATGAGTTATTATAGTACTATTGAAGCTAAAGAATCTACAAAAAAAAAGTTTTTCATTAAAAGTGACAAAATATCAGAAAAATTATGATAGTTTACCAAATATAAGATAGTTAAAATACTTTAGTTACAAGATGCAGCAAACTAAACATAATAAGACTAGCTAAAATATCCAAATACAACTTAAGATGTGGCAACCCTTATATCAATTAAAATAATTGTTGTAGCAAGGCAAATATAAGGCAGCTAAGCAATCATAAAACTAGATGTTGCTCCAACTAAAATATAAATTGTGGCAAACCAAATATTATTATATTACACTGGATAAAAAGTTACGCTCTTACCTTCAATCTTTGAGTGCATGACGAGACAGGTCTCGTTACAAATACTAAGTTGAATGCTATTAACAATGGCTCTAAACTTTAGCAACATCATATCCATTTTGTCTTTCTTTACTGAAAAAAAAAAGAAAAATGGCTTTTAGCTCAAAAAGGAAGGAATTAAAGTGGTGAATTTTCAAACTATTTAATTAAATGATCTAAGTCCAACTTGTTATAAAATTATTAAGTATTCTCCTAAAAACTTTACAATGCTTTCTACTATTTGAATGTTTTATGAAATACTGAAAAGTTTTTAAAAAACTTAAAAAATGTTCAACTGTGATAATATTATTTCAAGTAGTTTGATGAAATGTTTGTCCTGATTTGAAAATGTTAATAAAAATGTCCCTACTTTGACGTTCAACGAGTGACTCCTTGTTTCTGACAGACAGGGTGGTGCTGCTTCCTGCGATAGATCTAACAGGGGTGACGATTGGCTTAATCACAGCCTCTTCAGGGGATTCAAACTTCTGAGCAAATGCCAGCAAGCTGAAACAGTAGGGACATTGGTGAGCTGGGGAACAGGTAGTAGGGACAGTGGTGAGCTGGGGGAACAGGTAGTAGGGACAGTGGTGAGCAGGGAAACAGGTAGTAGGGACATTGGTGAGCAGGGGAACAGTAGGGACATTGGTGAGCAGGGGAAACAGGTAGTAGGGACATTGGTGAGCTGGGGAACAGGTAGTAGGGACATTGGTGAGCTGGGGAACAGGTAGTAGGGACATTGGTGAGCTGGGGAATAGGTAGTAGGGACATTGGTGAGCTGGGGAACAGGTAGTAGGGACATTGGTGAGCTGGGGGAACAGGTAGTAGGGACATTGGTGAGCTGGGGGAATAGGTAGTAGGGACATTGGTGAGCTGGGGAATAGGTAGTAGGGACATTGGTGAGCTGGGGGAACAGGTAGTAGGGACATTGGTGAGCTGGGGGAACAGGTAGTAGAGACAGTGGTGAGCAGGAACAGGTAGTAGAGACAGTGGTGAGCAGGGGGAACAGGTAGTAGGGACATTGGTGAGCAGGGGAACAGGTAGTAGGGACAGTGGTGAGCAGGGGAACAGGTAGTAGGGACAGTGGTGAGCTGGGGGAACAGGTAGTAGGGACATTGGTGAGCAGGGGAACAGGTAGTAGGGACAGTGGTGAGCTGGGGAACAGGTAGTAGGGACATTAGTGAGCAGGGGAACAGGTAGTAGGGACATTAGTGAGCAGGGGGAACAGGTAGTAGGGACATTGGTGAGCAGGAGGAACAGGTAGTAGGGACATTGGTGAGCTGGGGGAACAGGTAGTAGGGACATTAGTGAGCTGGGGGAACAGGTAGTAGGGACATTGGTGAGCTGGGGGAACAGGTAGTAGGGACATTGGTGAGCTGGGGAACAGGTAGTAGGGACAGTGGTGAGCTGGGGAACAGGTAGTAGGGACATTAGTGAGCAGGGGAACAGGTAGTAGGGACATTAGTGAGCAGGGGGAACAGGTAGTAGGGACATTGGTGAGCAGGGGGAACAGGTAGTAGGGACATTGGTGAGCTGGGGGAACAGGTAGTAGGGACATTAGTGAGCTGGGGGAACAGGTAGTAGGGACATTGGTGAGCTGGAGGAACAGGTAGTAGGGACATTGGTGAGCTGGGGAACAGGTAGTAGAGACATTGGTGAGCAGGGGGAACAGGTAGTAGGGACATTGGTGAGCAGGGGGAACAGGTAGTAGAGACATTGGTGAGCAGGGGGAACAAGTAGTAGGGACATTGGTGAGCTGGGGGAACAGGTAGTAGAGACATTGGTGAGCTGGGGAACAGGTAGTAGGGACATTAGTGAGCAGGGGGAACAGGTAGTAGGGACAGTGGTGAGCAGGGGAACAGGTAGTAGGGACATTGGTGAGCTGGGGAACAGTAGGTACATTGGTGAGCAGGGGGAACAGGTAGTAGAGACAGTGGTGAGCTGGGGGAACAGGTAGTAGAGACAGTGGTGAGCAGGGGGAACAGGTAGTAGAGACAGTGGTGAGCAGGGGAACAGGTAGTAGAGACAGTGGTGAGCAGGGGGAACAGGTAGTAGGGACATTGGTGAGCTGGGGGAACAGTAGGGACATTGGTGAGCAGGGGGAACAGGTAGTAGGGACAGTGGTGAGCTGGGGGAACAGTAGGGACATTGGTGAGCTGGGGGAATAGGTAGTAGAGACAGTGGTGAGCAGGGGAACAGGTAGTAGGGACATTGGTGAGCAGGGGGAACAGGTAGTAGGGACATTGGTGAGCTGGGGAACAGGTAGTAGAGACAGTGGTGAGCAGGGGGAACAGGTAGTAGGGACATTGGTGAGCTGGGGGAACAGGTAGTAGAGACAGTGGTGAGCAGGGGAACAGGTAGTAGGGACATTGGTGAGCTGGGGAACAGTAGGTACATTGGTGAGCAGGGGGAACAGGTAGTAGGGGAGCAGCTGGAATAGGCAAAACAGGTGAACAGGGGGAACAGATAAAAAGTCAGAAGAGTTAAAAGAGTGGGAAAATAGGTGAAACAGTGGGCACATGTGAAAGAGTGGTAAAATATGGTAAAAGTGGGAACAGGTCAAACAGAGGGCAGAAACAAAACAGGTGAACCAGGGTAGCAGGTGAGCCAGTGGGAACAGGGGAAACAGAGGGGCTCTCAGCTTACCTGAGAATAACACCTTGATGTAAAACTAGATCTAAAGTGGAGAATTCTACTGTTATTGATTGAGCTATTTTTCCATAGGTTGTGGCAAACTCAGGTCCTTTCTTGTTTGCCTGTGAAGGAAAAGCAGATCAAGAAAGTTAAAGACACCTGACTTGAGAGCCAAAAGGACAGGTGAAGTAGAGCATATCTGTTTTTTGTTGCCATTAAGAGCTCGTGTAACAAGTACAATGCCAGTTAGCCCTTTCTTTCCGAAATACGTTTAGATTATCATCAAGACTGGACATGGGATGGCATGGATTGATAGTACAGCACATGATGACTAACCCAAAAGTCTAGAGTTCAGATCCAGGGCTCATGCCTGTAGGTCATCCTGATTCCACCCAGCTCTGATGGGTACCTGACTCACATCAGGGAAGCTAGGCTGGGCATAGTGCTGACCACAATATCATAGAAACAGATGAACTCTACTTCATATGCCCCATGTGTCTTGGGCATGAACAAAAAAAAATGGTGATGTCTTGAGACCTCACATCATTTAAAATAAAGTTAAAAGGGTATCAAAGAGTGGATTACCTGCAAGAAGTGTATGGATAAAAGTGGATCATCTTCATCCACATAAGGTGAGTTTATGATGTTGATCAGCTCACCAGTGGTAACTGTTGACACAGGGAGAACTCCATTAAAACATGTTGTATATAAGCAACAAGAAACAAGGGGGTTAACAAATATGGACAAGGGAGGTAAGGGTGAACAGCAAAATATAAGAATTGAGTAGTTGCAGTAGTTTTTTATCTGAGAAAAGAAAAGACAGGTCAATATCTAATAATTTTAATTTTTGACTAAATTTTCATTCAATTAAATATAAGCACAGTTTGGAAAACTATAAAGCTCATGCGGAACAACAGAATAAACATGACAGATATCTTAACTATAGGCTTATCTAAAAAGTAGAAAAGAGTGTAGGGAGTAGGTAACAGGAGGATGTCAAAAAACAGCTAAACACACTATTAATAGGCTGCATTCAAGTTAGGAAAATAGTAGTATTTTATAAGTAAAACCTACTAAAACAAAGCCTCATTAAAAAAAAAAAAGACCTTAAACAACTTGCTTGTCTCTAAATAGACTTTAAAAAAAAGTAATTTTTACAACATCTAATTTACTTTGATTCCAACATGTAAATAAGTGAATGGTAAAATCTTCTTAAATGGACACCCACCTTCACATTTTTGTAACTGAGTTCGGATCCCTTCTGAGACTGTGTGACAAAGATAACATGTTAGTAGACATTTTGTTCTCAGATTTCAGAGTACGTTGACACAAAGAAAAGTTTCACTAAGTAGGACTTAATTAGTAGGACTACAATGCATGGAGAAAACTCAGAGAAAATTTTTACAGGTAAAAGAGTTGGATGTGTCCAGATCCTGGATTTTTATAAAAATAGGTTTAGGTTAAAAAAATAAAAACATGAAGTAAAAGTGTTACAAATAGATTGGTAATATATTACAGGTAAGTAAAAAATATTACAGGTAGAAAGGTGAGTCGAAATATTGCAGGTAGATAAGTAAGTAAAAAATGTTATAGGCAGTAAGGTAAGTAGAAATTTTGCAGATAGACAAGTATGCAAAAATGTTAAAGATATACAATTAAGTAAAAAGGTTACAAATAGACAGGTAAGTAGGCATGTTAAGGCAAGTAAAAATGTTACAGGAAAACAGGTGATAAACATGGTACATGTCAAAAGGTCTTAAGAATTGCAGTAATATAAAATGAGACAGGTTTAAAGTCAGGTGACTGTCAAATGGCCTAAAGTTACCTTTGTACTGCATGTGCTGCAGGTAAATACCACCTAGATAACCATCTACAGTCAGGTCAAAGGTGCGCGCCTTCATGTCCACTCCAATCTTGTTGACGGTCAGCTTCAGGAATGGGATGTCCTTTTCCTCCACTGTCTCCAGAATCTCAACGGAAATCTGGAGAGGTCAAGTAAGTTTTCTTTAATGGTCAAGTATAGACAGGTATCAACCAGATATCTGTCTTAAGCACCTGTGTAAAGCTAGCCAAAGTGGACACCTGGCACAATAGTGGGGTTGCTGAGGTAGAATAAGAAGGAGGAAATATTACATAATCAAAGTAAATTGAGGGAGTCGGCGTGGTCGAGTCGGTAAAGCTCATGGTTTCTAAACCGAAAAGTCTCGAGTTCGAACCCTCGGGTAGATGAGGCTCGTTAGCTGGGGACAGCAACTCTTCTAGGAGAGACAACTCCAAAATCAAACAACTGCTGCCTTGTAGTTTGTTCTTGGTTGAACAAAGGCTATGGAAGTAAATCCAAAAAGAAAAGCAGGCTGAAATCGGAGTCAATGGCCTCAATGGCGCATAACCAGTTGACACGTATCCTTAATTGTGATGGAGGCGTGGTCGAGTCTGCAAAAGCTCATGGTTGATAAATTCGAAAAAACCCTCTGGCAGATAAGGCACGATCCCTTCCAACACTAAAAATTAAGAACGAAGAAGAAGAAAGAAGAAAGTAAATTGAATGTATATACTAGACATAAAGGTTGTCCTAACAAAATAAATTGTTTTAAACATTTTCGGCCTATCCCACAGATGCTATCCAATACCAAAGGTCTCAAATTTAGTTCAATGGACAACCCATTTCTGTCTGGTACCTAACATGGTAGGGGAGAGTAAGGGTGGCGGGCAATGTTCCCTCTAAGGGGAAAAAGATCGTGTGCAATGTGCATTTTGTGTGCGCGGTGTTATAAAAGTCTTATATAAGGATACATGCATTGTACAAAATTACTGTGCGGCAATTAAAAACTGGCAGTTAAAAACTACTCCGTGTCCGCGCAGCTTAGAGGGAACATAAAATGTGTTATACAAGGGTCAAAGAAACAGGCAAACTTTACTTGATTTAACCGTTGGACCAATTTGGTCTGAAATAATTCTGTAATTAACTTTTAACTTGTCGCATTATTATTGCTGTAGCTTCAAATAGCAGGATTTTGGTTACTTACCTTTTTAGATAAAAAGTTGATACAAAAAATAAGGCTATGTTACTTACCTGTTAAGATTATAAAGCTAAAAAAGAAAAAGGCTATGTTACTTACCTGCTTAGCTTATGTAGTCTTATTAAAAATTTGGTTACGGCTACTAACTTGTGTAACATATATGCAAACAAGTCAATAACCCTAACCATTTTTTAAAAAGACTACTTCAGCTAAACAGTTCTATTGTAAAAAAGGTTAAAGTGGCTGACCTGTTTGAGCATGAAAGACAGCATAAGTTGAGTCTGGTTGGTGTACTCTGAACCTTGGTAAGTTCCCCTATCTCCCTGTACAAACACAAATAATAGAATCTTCTGTCAGACTGTCTCATCAAACATTTGCAGGCACGTTTTTATTTGAAATGAGAAATTTAGAGATTGTTGGTATTCAGCATGTTAGTGTCCAGCCAGGTATAGCCATTACTTGTGTGATAACCAACCAATTATAGCTATTGGCTGTAAGATGACCAGTCAATGACCAGCCAGTTATAGCCATTGGCTGTAAGATGACAAGTCAATGACCAGCCAGTTACAGCCATTGGCTCTAAGATGACCAGTCAATGACCAGCCAGTTACAGCCATTGGCTGTAAGATGACAAGTCAATGACCAGCCAGTTACAGCCATTGGCTCAAAGATGACCAGTGAGTGACCATTCAGGTACAGCCATTGGCTGTAAGATGACCAGTCAATGACCAGCCAGTTACAGCCATTGGCTCTAAGATGACCAGTGAGTGACCATTCAGGTACAGCCGTTGGCTCAAAGATAACCAGTTAGTGACCAGATAGATACAGCCATTGGCTGTAAGATGACCAGTCAATGACCTGCCAGTTACAGCCATTGGCTCTAAGATGACCAGTTAGTGACCAGATAGGTACAGCCATTGGCTCTAAGATGACCAGTTAGTGACCAGATAGGTACAGCCATTGGCTCTAAGATGACCTGTCAATTACCAGCCAGGTACAGCCATTGGCTCTAAGATGACCAGTGAGTGACCATTCAGGTACAGCCATTGGCTGTAAGATGACCAGTTAGTGACCATTCAGGTACAGCCATTGGCTCTAAGATGACCAGTTAGTGACCATTCAGGTACAGCCATTGGCTGTAAAATGACCAGTCAATGACCAGCCAGTTACAGCCATTGGCTCAAAGATGACCAGTTAGTGACCATTCAGGTACAGCCATTGGCTGTAAGATGACCAGTTAGTGACCAGCCAGTTATAGCCATTGGCTGTGTGATGACCAGTCAATGACCAGCCAGTTACAGCCATTGGCTCTAAGATGACCAGTCAATGACCAGCCAGGTACAGCCATTGGCTGTAAGATGACCAGTGAGTGACCAGCTAGGCAACTTACTCTCATGGAGGAGACACTGAGGTCCATGTCGTAAGGTGAGTCAACAACCACAGCATCATCAGCAGGAACAGTCGATTTCACCTGGAGAGAAAAAAAAAACATGGCACTAAACACCTGATAAATAATCCTACTAGTGGAAGCATATATATATTCATTCGCTGAAGTAAAGAAACATATGAAATTGAATGCATCAGCCCAATGGATTGCTAGGTCTAAAGAGGAACTTTACTAAGACTTAGTGTATGTCCATCTGTCATTTTTTTAATCCCTAATTGATATTCACCAAATAGTTTATTTTTTCACACTGGGAATCACCAATCTATCTCTAAGAGAGATTACACTTTTTAACTGATATCTATACTTCTCTCAATTCTTATAAATTAATCAATTGGTTTTTGAGACCATACATTTGTAGTCTGACACACAGACATACATAAAGACAGACGGCCAGACAGACTAAAAGAAAAAAGAATGAAATGCTAGAAAGAATACCTCAGACCCAGACTCTGGTAATGGAATACTGCTGGCTAGTTTCATGATGGCCAAGAGCTTGGTGTCAGACATATACACAGACATACATAAAGACAGACGGACAGACTAAAAGAAAAAAGAATGAAATGCTAGAAAAAATACCTCAGACCCAGACTCTGGTAATGGAATACTGCTGGCTAGTTTCATGATGGCCAAGAGCTAGTGTCAGACATATACACAGACATACATAAAGACAGACGGACAGACTAAAAGAAAAAAGAATGAAATGCTAGAAAAAATACCTCAGACCCAGACTCTGGTAATGGAATACTGCTGGCTAGTTTCATGATGGCCAAGAGCTTAGTGTCAGACATATACACAGACATACATAAAGACAGACGGACAGACTAAAAGAAAAAAGAATAAAATGCTAGAAAAAATACCTCAGACCCAGACTCTGGTAATGGAATACTGCTGGCTAGTTTCATGATGGCCAAGAGCTTAGTGTCAGACATATACACAGACATACATAAAGACAGACAGGCAGACAGACTAAAAGAAAAAAGAATGAAATGCTAGAAAAAATACCTCAGACCCAGACTCTGGTAATGGAATACTGCTGGCTAGTTTCATGATGGCCAAGAGCTTGGTGTCAGACATATACACAGACATACATAAAGACAGACGGACAGACTAAAAGAAAAAAGAATGAAATGCTAGAACAAATACCTCAGACCCAGACTCTGGTAATGGAATACTGCTGGCTAGTTTCATGATGGCCAAGAGCTTGGTGTCAGACATATACACAGACATACATAAAGACAGACGGACAGACTAAAAGAAAAAAGAATGAAATGCTAGAAAAAATACCTCAGACCCAGACTCTGGTAATGGAATACTGCTGGCTAGTTTCATGATGGCCAAGAGCTTAGTGTCAGACATATACACAGACATACATAAAGACAGACGGACAGACTAAAAGAAAAAAGAATAAAATGCTAGAAAAAATACCTCAGACCCAGACTCTGGTAATGGAATACTGCTGGCTAGTTTCATGATGGCCAAGAGCTTAGTGTCAGACATATACACAGACATACATAAAGACAGACGGGCAGACAGACTAAAAGAAAAAAGAATGAAATGCTAGAAAAAATACCTCAGACCCAGACTCTGGTAATGGAATAGGCCCTACTGCTGGCTAGTTTCATGATGGCCAAAAGTTTGGTGTCAGACATATACACAGACATACATAAAGACAGACGGACAGACTAAAAGAAAAAAGAATGAAATACTAGAAAGAATACCTCAGACCCAGACTCTGGTAATGGAATACTGCTGGCTAGTTTCATGATGGCCAAGAGCTTGGTGTCCGACATATACACAGACATACATAAAGACAGACGGACAGACTAAAAGAAAAAAGAATGAAATGCTAGAAAAAATACCTCAGACCCAGACTCTGGTAATGGAATACTGCTGGCTAGTTTCATGATGGCCAAGAGCTTGGTGTCCGACATATACACAGACATACATAAAGACAGACGGACAGACTAAAAGAAAAAAGAATGAAATGCTAGAAAAAATACCTCAGACCCAGACTCTGGTAATGGAATACTGCTGGCTAGTTTCATGATGGCCAAGAGCTTGGTGTCAGACATATACACAGACATACATAAAGACAGACAGGCAGACAGACTAAAAGAAAAAAGAATGAAATGCTAGAAAAAATACCTCAGACCCAGACTCTGGTAATGGAATACTGCTGGCTAGTTTCATGATGGCCAAGAGCTTAGAGTCAGACATATACACAGACATACATAAAGACAGACGGACAGACTAAAAGAAAAAAGAATGAAATGCTAGAAAAAATACCTCAGACCCAGACTCTGGTAATGGAATACTGCTGGCTAGTTTCATGATGGCCAAGAGTTTGGTGTCAGACATATACACAGACATACATAAAGACAGACGGCCAGACAGACTAAAAGAAAAAAGAATGAAATGCTAGAAAAAATACCTCAGACCCAGACTCTGGTAATGGAATACTGCTGGCTAGTTTCATGATGGCCAAGAGCTTGGTGTCAGACATATACACAGACATACATAAAGACAGACGGACAGACTAAAAGAAAAAAGAATGAAATGCTAGAAAAAATACCTCAGACCCAGACTCTGGTAATGGAATACTGCTGGCTAGTTTCATGATGGCCAAGAGCTTGGTGTCAGACATATACACAGACATACATAAAGACAGACGGACAGACTAAAAGAAAAAAGAATGAAATGCTAGAAAAAATACCTCAGACCCAGACTCTGGTAATGGAATACTGCTGGCTAGTTTCATGATGGCCAAGAGCTTAGTGTCAGACATATACACAGACATACATAAAGACAGACGGACAGACTAAAAGAAAAAAGAATAAAATGCTAGAAAAAATACCTCAGACCCAGACTCTGGTAATGGAATACTGCTGGCTAGTTTCATGATGGCCAAGAGCTTAGTGTCAGACATATACACAGACATACATAAAGACAGACAGGCAGACAGACTAAAAGAAAAAAGAATGAAATGCTAGAAAAAATACCTCAGACCCAGACTCTGGTAATGGAATACTGCTGGCTAGTTTCATGATGGCCAAGAGCTTGGTGTCAGACATATACACAGACATACATAAAGACAGACGGACAGACTAAAAGAAAAAAGAATGAAATGCTAGAAAAAATACCTCAGACCCAGACTCTGGTAATGGAATACTGCTGGCTAGTTTCATGATGGCCAAGAGCTTGGTGTCAGACATATACACAGACATACATAAAGACAGACGGACAGACTAAAAGAAAAAAGAATGAAATGCTAGAAAAAATACCTCAGACCCAGACTCTGGTAATGGAATACTGCTGGCTAGTTTCATGATGGCCAAGAGCTTAGTGTCAGACATATACACAGACATACATAAAGACAGACGGACAGACTAAAAGAAAAAAGAATAAAATGCTAGAAAAAATACCTCAGACCCAGACTCTGGTAATGGAATACTGCTGGCTAGTTTCATGATGGCCAAGAGCTTAGTGTCAGACATATACACAGACATACATAAAGACAGACGGGCAGACAGACTAAAAGAAAAAAGAATGAAATGCTAGAAAAAATACCTCAGACCCAGACTCTGGTAATGGAATACTGCTGGCTAGTTTCATGATGGCCAAAAGTTTGGTCATATACACAGACATACATAAAGACAGACGGACAGACTAAAAGAAAAAAGAATGAAATACTAGAAAGAATACCTCAGACCCAGACTCTGGTAATGGAATACTGCTGGCTAGTTTCATGATGGCCAAGAGCTTGGTGTCCGACATATACACAGACATACATAAAGACAGACGGACAGACTAAAAGAAAAAAGAATGAAATGCTAGAAAAAATACCTCAGACCCAGACTCTGGTAATGGAATACTGCTGGCTAGTTTCATGATGGCCAAGAGCTTGGTGTCAGACATATACACAGACATACATAAAGACAGACGGACAGACTAAAAGAAAAAAGAATGAAATGCTAGAAAAAATACCTCAGACCCAGACTCTGGTAATGGAATACTGCTGGCTAGTTTCATGATGGCCAAGAGTTTGGTGTCAGACATATACACAGACATACATAAAGACAGACGGCCAGACAGACTAAAAGAAAAAAGAATGAAATGCTAGAAAAAATACCTCAGACCCAGACTCTGGTAATGGAATACTGCTGGCTAGTTTCATGATGGCCAAGAGCTTGGTGTCAGACATATACACAGACATACATAAAGACAGACGGACAGACTAAAAGAAAAAAGAATGAAATGCTAGAAAAAATACCTCAGACCCAGACTCTGGTAATGGAATACTGCTGGCTAGTTTCATGATGGCCAAGAGCTTGGTGTCAGACATATACACAGACATACATAAAGACAGACGGACAGACTAAAAGAAAAAAGAATGAAATGCTAGAAAAAATACCTCAGACCCAGACTCTGGTAATGGAATACTGCTGGCTAGTTTCATGATGGCCAAGAGTTTGGTGTCAGACATATACACAGACAATAAGGGGAGTTCAGCACTAATGCGGATCCTGGAAGGAAAGAATTCACAGCATCAAACTGTAGTGCATCATTAGATTAGATACATTTATAATTTTTATATTCTGGTTACTTTGATTCAGTGTCAAAAAACTACTGTAGTGATCATTAGATTAGATATTTATAATTTTTATATTCTGGTTACTTTGTTTGATTCAGTGTCAAAAAACTACTGTAGTGCATCATTAGATTAGATACATTTATAATTTTTATATTCTGGTTACTTTGTTTCATTCAGTGTCAAAAATTATCAGGGTCAAGGATGATTGCCTCTTTTTAACTATGCACCAATTCAGACAAATCCCATTCTAACAATAATCTATTCTAGTAATTATCTGTTCTAGAAAATAGCATTCAGGCTATAGTTTTGACACCAACATCAGAAAACTGTACAATCAACTGCCAAGATACAAAAAAGTAATAGGCGTAAGTTACAATTATTCCCCAAAGTAATGGCTTTTAATACTATGGGTTACCTTGACCTAAAATTATCAGAGGGGTGTACAACTGACCCTAGTATATATTAACTAACCAGAATACATCAGTGAAATTTGAAAATTACATAATTTTTTTTCTAACCTTGACATACACACTCAGCATGGATAATCCAGTAGTAACTTACAAGTGTGATCAGAAGTAACTTACTTTGGAAGATTGGCATCGTTGTCAAAGATACATTTCTCCAGCAGCAGGCGCAGAGAGAGGGGTCGGAGGATGTACATGGGTGAATGTGGTGCCACGGACTCATCATGCCAGACATCACCTGGACAAACAGATACAAGGATTGGGATTGTGCGATATTTACCATAACATTGACCTTTATGAAGCAGTACAAGGAATGGGAATGTTTGAAATTTAACATTGAACTTTATGAACCAGTATAAGGAACGGCAATGTTTGAAATTAACCATAACATTGACCTTTATGAAGCAGTACAAGGAATGGGAATGTTTGAAAATTGCCATAACATTGACCTTTATGAAGCAGTACAAGGAATGGGAATGTTTGAAAATTGCCATAACATTGAACTTTATGAACCAGTATAAGGAATGGCAATGTTTGAAATTAACCATAAAATTGACCTTTATGAAGCAGTACAAGGAATGGGAATGTTTGAAATTAACCATAATATTGACCTTTATGAAGCAGTACAAGGAATGGCAATGTTTGAAATTAACCATAAAATTGACCTTTATGAAGCAGTACAAGGAATGGGAATGTTTGAAATTAACCATAACATTGACCTTTATGAAACAGTACAAGGAATGGGAATGTTTGAAATTAACCATAACTTTGACCTTTATGAAGCAGTACAAGGAATGGGAATGTTTTTGAAAACTACCATAACATTGACTTTTTGTAACAATAAGTGCATTTTAACTGCCATTTAACTTGACCTCCATGTAGAAATGAATGCATTTTATATGACCATAACCATACAAATGACTACAAGATTGAATAGCTAACAACCTTGACCTCAATGCTTAAATGAATTCATGTTTGGATTACCTGGCTGAAGGAAGAGGAGTTGAAGGTTGTCAAGGTTGATAATAAACTTGTCAAAGGCAAAGTTCACCATTTCTTCTGGGCTCATCTGTGGCGAGACATAAACAGAAAACTCTAGTCATTGAGTGCTTGCTAGAATAGAACTGTCCAAAAATATTTGTTTACAGAAAACACTAGTCATTGAGTGCTTGCTAGAATAGAACTGTCCAAAAATATTTGTTTACAGAAAACACTAGTCATTGAGTGCTTGCTAGAACAGAACTGTCCAAAAATATTTGTTTACAGAAAACACTAGTCATTGAGTGCTTGCTAGAACAGAACTGTCCAAAAATATTTGTTTACAAAACCAAAAACCAGTTTTTAAATGTGCTTAATTAAAAGAAATAAGCTATCATAGTACAAAAGTATTTAAAACTAAACTTCAAGTAACAGAAAATTTGAAACAATTGTGAAATTATTGTTTCTCAAATGGTAAAGAAGGTAAAGAAGTCCCACATATCTATCATTAATGTCAGTGCTGTTTAAAATGTATTTAAATACAACAAAGAAAGTTAAATTCTGGGTATAAAAAGTTATGGTGGGGTGGTCATTTAAATAGAACAAAGAAAGCAGAATTTGCTGTATAAGAAGCTATGGTGGGGTGGGGAAGAGGGGTATGATGGTGAGCAACTGTGTGATTTCATGAGGCTGACTGGTCACCTTCAACTGACCCTGGTTAAGAAGTATCTATGGTGGGGTGGGGAAGAGGGGTATGATGGTGAGCAACAGACCTGTTTGCCCTGTGTGATTTCATGAGGCTGACTGGTCACCTTCAACTGACCCAGGTTAAGAAGTATCTATGGTGGGGTGGGGAAGGGGGGTATCATAGTGAGCAACAGACCTGTTTGCCCTGTGTGATTTCATGAGGCTGACTGGTCACCTTCAACTGACCCAGGTTAAGAAGTATCATGTTGACATCCCTGGGGATAAGGCAAGTGTATCTTAGATGCTGTTTCTTTTTTTTTATACATTCATCTGTTTTAACTACTATTATCAATGTTTATATATTTTGTTTTAAACATTCAACTAGTTTTTTATTAGCCATATCATTGTAATGATGTAGCTTTTTAAATTATAATTAACGATGTAATAATATTGTTTTATAATTTTGCTCACTTCTTATTACCCTAATTTTTTTTTTAAATTTCATTTTATACATTTACTCATTTCTAAAAAATTATGTCTACCAATTAGGCCTATTGTAAAATAAAACTATATTTTGCTGCACATTTATTTCACTTCATCCTATATTACAAAATTTTTTTAAAGAAATATAGCACCTGCTTGGTTTACATTTGAACAAATAAATATAGTAAACAAGGTCACAAGTCTAAAAATACATGATTGGTAAAATGTTGATAAAACCCTTATAAAATGTTTCTTCACTCTGTGTTAGACTAGGTTGTAGCAACATGCGACAGCTACACTAGTACCTTCTAAAGTTTTGTTTCACATCTTTTACTTACTTTTTGATTTCCCCAGTCTCTGGCACTATAATATAGGAAGGCATCAAGTGTATGTCAATATCAGCATATTTTCTTTGATTGACCATGTACATGACACCAGCGGAAGTCTGTGCTTTGATGTCATCATACTTGGACATGGCTGCATTGGACAGTCTAAAAATCAAAAGTTAATCATTATCATTTGTTAGATGTAAAATTATATGCTTATGTTTTAAAGTTAAAAGTAACATTATGTTACTAAACAGCAGTAGTAAAATAAAAGAGAAAGTAAATTTAGCCTTTCAAACATGCCAGTACACAAAAATGTGTTGACAAAATCAAGAACTCACTGTTTTAACCGGACAGATTCTGGTGGCATGAAAAAGCTGGACAAGGCATTTACTGTTATCTGAAACAAAACAAAATTGACTAAGAAACAAAGTTAAAACCATGTAGGTCAGATAAACCAAGAATTTATACACTTTCAGAACTATATAAAACAAATCAAGAAAGAAAGTGATTTTGTATACTTTTCCATAAAGAGAGCAGATTTGTACATAAGATGCCTGTAACTTTTTAAGAACAACAAATTCCCCTTTATCTGTCCTAGAGAGAGAAAATACACTTACTGCATCAAAAATAATTTCCAGTGGCCTAAACTGGACCCTAACCCTCGAGTCACACTGGCCATCAAGAGGGTTGGTCTCAAACAATATGGTCAGCAGGGAGACATTCTCCTCCTTTGACACACCCACGGAGCTGACTATCCGTGGTATGTATTCCTTACGGGGCAGCCCAGTGATCCTCAGTTTGTCAACTTTAGCATCCAATCTGGTCGAAAAAAACAAATTGGAAAGAAGTTAAAGAAAATATAAAACATATTTGTATATTCTCACTGTTTTATATAAAATTCTAGGATAGTTTTTGGTTAATATTTACAAACTATAACCAGATTGTTTCAGCCAAGGTATTATATTTAAGGTATACTGATTACATTTTTGTTTTCTTGACAATCAAAAATGTTTAATTTTTATATTAAAATTCCAATAAAAAAAATCTTAGTATTTTAAACTACATGCTCTTCTGTATAGACCAGTGAAGTAAACAAAAAATTGTTCAATAAACTGTAATATCCTACCTGACAGCATTAGCAGCGGGGCGCTGGCCAAAACTTGCACATATTTCTGTCAGTGAAAGCTTCATCAACTGGACCTGGTGGTCATCTTTCCTGGGAAGATTCAAGACAGTCAAGGCTATAGACATTGCTGACTTGACAAGAACCTTATTGTAACGGTCATCTTTCCATGGAGAGATCCATGACCCAGTGATGAGGTATTTAAAAAAACCTCACTTAAAGCAAATCAGAATAACTCAGTCAATGACCCTGTGGTAGGGGTCGGCGTGGTCGAGTCGGTAAAGCTCATGGTTGCTAAACCAAAAAGTCTCCATTTCGAACCCTCGGGCAGATGAGGCTCGTTAGCTGGGGACAGCCACTCTTCTAGGAGAGACAACTCCAAAATTAAACAACTGCTGCCTTGTAGTTTGTTCTTGGTTGGACTAAGGCAATGGAAGCAAATCCAAAAAGAAAAGCAGGCTGAAATCGGAGTCAATGGCCTCAATGGCGCATAAACAGTTGACACGTAACGCTTAATTGTGTTGGAGGCGTGGTCGAGTCGGCAAAAAGCTCATGGTTGATAAATTCTAACGAAGTCTCGAGTTCAAACCCACTGGCAGATAAATCTCGATCCTCTTCAAACACTGATAATTAAGAACGAAGAAGAAGAAGAAAGACCCTGTGGTAAGGAATGATAAAAAAACTGACCTGCAAGTGGAAATGACTCAATGCGCCACTGATTTATACTTACTTGTGTCTGTTGTCTACAAGAGACACTGAGAGCTTGTTCAGTTTAGTCACCAGTCTCACTGCCACATACTGCAACACAAAAGTCAAACAATACAAAAATGAGACATTTGTTCAAACAATACAAAAGTGAGACATTTGTTCAAACAATACAAAAGTGAGACATTTGTTCAAACAATACAAAAGTGAGACATTTGTTCAAACAATACAAAAGTCAGACATTTGTTCAAACAATACAAAAGTCAGACATTTGTTCAAACAATACAAAATTGAGACATTTGTTCAAACAATACAAAAGTGAGACATTTGTTCAAACAATACAAAAGTCAGACATTTGTTCAAACAATACAAAAGTGAGACATTTGTTCAAACAATACAAAAGTCAGACATTTGTTCAAACAATACAAAAGTCAGACATTTGTTCAAACAATACAAAAGTGAGACATTTGTTTAAACAATACAAAAGTGAGACATTTTTCAAACAACACAAAAGTGAGACATTTGTTCAAACAATACAAAAGTGAGACATTTGTTCAAACAATACAAAAGTGAGACATTTGTTCAAACAATACAAAAGTCAGACATTTGTTCAAGCAATACAAAAGTGAGACATTTGTTCAAACAACACAAAAGTGAGACATTTGTTTCAAACACGTGTCAGACATTTGACAAGCCTCACCATCACACACAGAAAATTGTCTTCCTAAACCCCAATGCACACTGTAAAAATGTTTAAAACACTACCCACTTCTATTGGGAAGGTTGGGTCTTTAGCATTTTCATCATAGCCAATAGCATTGTACAGCTTGTTCTTCTCTTCAGGGGTGAACCCTTCTTGGAACTTGTTGCCTAAAACAAATTTAAACATTGAAAATGTTGCTTAAAATAAAGTAAATGCTTTAGATGAATGGGAACATGTTGCCTAAAACAAATTTAAACATTGAAAATGTTGCTTAAAATAAAGTAAATGCTTTAGATGAATGGGAACATGTTGCCTAAAACAATAAATTGTTAGGATTGATGGAACATGTTGCTTAAAACAAAGTAAATGCTTTAGATGAATGGGAACATGTTGCCTAAAACAATAAGTTGTTAGGATTGATGGAACATGTTGCTTAAAACAAAGTAAATGCTTTAGATGAATGGGAAGATGTTGCTTAAAACAAAGTAAATGCTTTAGATGAATGGGAAGATGTTGCTTAAAACAATAAATTGTTAGGATTGATGGAACATGTTGCTTAAAATAAAGTAAATGCTTTAGATGAATGGGAAGATGTTGCTTAAAACAATGAGTTGTTAGGATTGATGGAACATGTTGCTTAAAACAAAGTAAATGCTTTAGATGAATGGGAAGATGTTGCTTAAAACAATAAATTGTTAGGATTGATGGAACATGTTGCTTAAAATAAAGTAAATGCTTTAGATGAATGGGAAGATGTTGCTTAAAACAATGAGTTGCTAGGATAGATGATCCCTATTTCAGTTACTACACAATGATTGATAAAAAGACTATAGGGCTAACCCCTCACTTGTTGCCTAAAACAAAGATGAACGTTGAACATGTTGCTTAAAACAATGAGTTGCTAGGATAGATGGAACATGTTGCTTAAAACAAAGTAAATGCTCTACATGCATGGGAAGATGTTGCCTAAAACAATGAGTTGTTAGGATAGATGATCCCTAGTTCAGTCACTACACAATGATTGATAAAAAGACTATAGGGCTAACCCCTCACTTGTTGCCTAAAACAAAGATGAACGTTGAACATGTTGCTTAAAACAATGAGTTGCTAGGATAGATGGAACATGTTGCTTAAAACAAAGTAAATGCTCTACATGCATGGGAAGATGTTGCCTAAAACAATGAGTTGTTAGGATAGATGATTCCTAGTTCAGTCACTACACAATGATTGATAAAAAGACTGCAGGGCTAACCCCTCACTTGTTGCCTAAAACAAAGATGAATGTTGAACATGTTGCTTAAAACAATGAGTTGCTAGGATAGATGATCCCTAGTTCAATCACTACACAATGATTGATAAAAAGACTATAGGGCTCACCCCTCACAAACTAAACCACACAAAAAGATCAACTACTTCCTCTACCCACAGAAACTGGGGTCTAAAACATACTATTTTTTTCCTTCCATTTGAAAAATAATAGTTTTAAGAAGCTGAGATCTCAGACAGTCAGTTACCAAAGTCTTCTAAGCCTTTAGACAAATAAAAGTATCAAGAAGCTAAGATCTCAGAAAGTTACCAAAGTCCTCTAAGTCTTTAGACAAATAAAAGTATCAAGAAGCTAAGATCTCAGAAAGTTACCAATCCTCTAAGCCTTTAGACAAATAAAAGTATCAAGAAGCTAAGATCTCAGTCAGTTACCAAAGTCTTCTAAGCCTTTAGATAAATAAAAGTATCACGAAGCTAAGATCTCAGAAAGTTACCAAAGTCCTCTAAGTCTTTAGACAAATAAAAGTATCAAGAAGCTAAGATCTCAGAAAGTTACCAATCCTCTAAGTCTTAAGACAAATAAAGGTATCAAGAAACTAAGATCTCAGAAAGTTACCAATCCTCTAAGCCTTTAGATAAATAAAAGTATCAAGAAGTTAAGATCTCAGAAAGTTACCAAAGTCCTCTAAGTCTTTAGACAAATAAAAGTATCAAGAAGCTAAGATCTCAGAAAGTTACCAATCCTCTAAGTCTTAAGACAAATAAAGGTATCAAGAAACTAAGATCTCAGAAAGTTACCAATCCTCTAAGTCTTTAAACAAATAAAAGTATCAAGAAGCTAAGATCTCAGAAAGTTACCAAAGTCCTCTAAGTCTTTCTCAGATCCTGGCTTCTTGGTTGGGCTTGCTTTCTTCTTAGAGGGAGCAAACCAGCCCCCAAACCAAGAGGCCTGACTTTTTTCCTCATCCCTCTTCTTGCCTCGCTTGATCACCTGAATTACAATATTTACATGAAGGCTTTGTAACAATTTTTTTACAGATCAATAAGATATTTAAATTAAACTGATAGATTTCAAAAACTTAAATTAATCTTGAAATTATATACCATTTCAAAGGTTTTCTGAGTTAACCTTTTTAACTTTTAAAGGTCATCTAAGTTAATCTTTCTAAGGCTCTCAAAGTTCATTATAAAAGCCATCTGACATTGAAACTGATACTTGTATATATCATAATAATAAAAGAATGCAAGCTGTTGCCATGGTAACTCACATCCATCTCTGCTTGGTTGCGGCACATAGAGATGTTGAACACATCCAAATCTTCTTCACATTGCTGAAATAAAAAGTCAACAATTCACTTTTTACCTTTGTTGAACAACCTAAAATCATGACATTAACCAGCACTTTGTTGAAAACATTATATCTGCCTTTTAAATAATTGGATAGCCAATTAAAATAAGTTTGTTTTTTAAACAAGATAGAATTGGAAAAATTAAGTAAATCTAATATGCAATTCAAAATTATTGTTGATTAAAAAAAAATTGCCATTGCTATATTTTAAAGATACCAAGTGTCATTCAGCCTCCGTCAAGATAAAATTACTAAGAGTTACCAGTACTGACAAGTTACCTTTCATGCAGTGCAAAAAATTTACCTTCAACAGCCCTTGATCTTTGTAGCTCATCTTTTTGTTCTCAAGTTTTTGCTTGTACAACTCCCGGTAGAGTTTCAGCTTGTCTCTGTGTTCCTTCATAACATTCCAGTTCCACATTTTCCTTCGGCGCTGGACATTGTGCTCAAGGATAACAGCATAGGCATGGTGCCACCTACATAAGGTACACAGTCAAAGAATGATAGGTGCTAAGTGGATAACAGCATAGGCATGGTGCCACCTACATAAGGTACAGAGTCAAAGAATGATAGGTGCTCAAGGATAACAGCATAGGCATGGTGCCACCTACATAAGGTACACAGTCAAAGAATGATAGGTGCTCAAGGATAACAGCATAGGCATGGTGCCACCTACATAAGGTACACAGTCAAAGAATGATAGGTGCTCAAGGATAACAGCATAGGCATGGTGCCACCTACATAAGGTACACAGTCAAAGAATGATAGGTGCTCAAGGATAACAGCATAGGCATGGTGCCACCTACATAAGGTACACAGTCAAAGAATGATAGGTGCTCAAGGATAACAGCATAGGCATGGTGCCACCTACATAAGGTACACAGTCAAAGAATGATAGGTGCTCAAGGATAACAGCATAGGCATGGTGCCACCTACATAAGGTACAGAGTCAAAGAATGATAGGTGCTCAAGGATAACAGCATAGGCATGGTGCCACCTACATAAGGTACAGAGTCAAAGAATGATAGGTGCTCAAGGATAACAACATAGGCATGGTGCCACCTACATAAGGTACACAGTCAAAGAATGATAGGTGCTCAAGGATAACAGCATAGGCATGGTGCCACCTACATAAGGTACAGAGTCAAAGAATGATAGGTGCTCAAGGATAACAGCATAGGCATGGTGCCACCTACATAAGGTACACAGTCAAAGAATGATAGGTGCTCAAGGATAACAGCATAGGCATGGTGCCACCTACATAAGGTACACAGTCAAAGAATGATAGGTGCTCAAGGATAACAGCATAGGCATGGTGCCACCTACATAAGGTACACAGTCAAAGAATGATAGGTGCTCAAGGATAACAGCATAGGCATGGTGCCACCTACATAAGGTACACAGTCAAAGAATGATAGGTGCTCAAGGATAACAGCATAGGCATGGTGCCACCTACATAAGGTACACAGTCAAAGAATGATAGGTGCTCAAGGATAACAGCATAGGCATGGTGCCACCTACATAAGGTACACAGTCAAAGAATGATAGGTGCTCAAGGATAACAGCATAGGCATGGTGCCACCTACATAAGGTACACAGTCAAAGAATGATAGGTGCTCAAGGATAACAGCATAGGCATGGTGCCACCTACATAAGGTACAGAGTCAAAGAATGATAGGTGCTCAAGGATAACAGCATAGGCATGGTGCCACCTACATAAGGTACACAGTCAAAGAATGATAGGTGCTCAAGGATAACAGCATAGGCATGGTGCCACCTACATAAGGTACACAGTCAAAGAATGATAGGTGCTCAAGGATAACAGCATAGGCATGGTGCCACCTACATAAGGTACACAGTCAAAGAATGATAGGTGCTCAAGGATAACAGCATAGGCATGGTGCCACCTACATAAGGTACACAGTCAAAGAATGATAGGTGCTCAAGGATAACAGCATAGGCATGGTGCCACCTACATAAGGTACACAGTCAAAGAATGATAGGTGCTCAAGGATAACAGCATAGGCATGGTGCCACCTACATAAGGTACACAGTCAAAGAATGATAGGTGCTCAAGGATAACAGCATAGGCATGGTGCCACCTACATAAGGTACAGAGTCAAAGAATGATAGGTGCTCAAGGATAACAACATAGGCATGGTGCCACCTACATAAGGTACACAGTCAAAGAATGATAGGTGCTCAAGGATAACAGCATAGGCATGGTGCCACCTACATAAGGTACAGAGTCAAAGAATGATAGGTGCTCAAGGATAACAGCATAGGCATGGTGCCACCTACATAAGGTACACAGTCAAAGAATGATAGGTGCTCAAGGATAACAGCATAGGCATGGTGCCACCTACATAAGGTACACAGTCAAAGAATGATAGGTGCTCAAGGATAACAGCATAGGCATGGTGCCACCTACATAAGGTACACAGTCAAAGAATGATAGGTGCTCAAGGATAACAGCATAGGCATGGTGCCACCTACATAAGGTACACAGTCAAAGAATGATAGGTGCTCAAGGATAACAGCATAGGCATGGTGCCACCTACATAAGGTACACAGTCAAAGAATGATAGGTGCTCAAGGATAACAGCATAGGCATGGTGCCACCTACATAAGGTACACAGTCAAAGAATGATAGGTGCTAAGTGGATAACAGCATAGGCATGGTGCCACCTACATAAGGTACAGAGTCAAAGAATGATAGGTGCTCAAGGATAACAGCATAGGCATGGTGCCACCTACATAAGGTACACAGTCAAAGAATGATAGGTGCTCAAGGATAACAGCATAGGCATGGTGCCACCTACATAAGGTACACAGTCAAAGAATGATAGGTGCTCAAGGATAACAGCATAGGCATGGTGCCACCTACATAAGGTACACAGTCAAAGAATGATAGGTGCTCAAGGATAACAGCATAGGCATGGTGCCACCTACATAAGGTACACAGTCAAAGAATGATAGGTGCTCAAGGATAACAGCATAGGCATGGTGCCACCTACATAAGGTACACAGTCAAAGAATGATAGGTGCTCAAGGATAACAGCATAGGCATGGTGCCACCTACATAAGGTACACAGTCAAAGAATGATAGGTGCTCAAGGATAACAGCATAGGCATGGTGCCACCTACATAAGGTACAGAGTCAAAGAATGATAGGTGCTCAAGGATAACAACATAGGCATGGTGCCACCTACATAAGGTACACAGTCAAAGAATGATAGGTGCTCAAGGATAACAGCATAGGCATGGTGCCACCTACATAAGGTACAGAGTCAAAGAATGATAGGTGCTCAAGGATAACAGCATAGGCATGGTGCCACCTACATAAGGTACACAGTCAAAGAATGATAGGTGCTCAAGGATAACAGCATAGGCATGGTGCCACCTACATAAGGTACACAGTCAAAGAATGATAGGTGCTCAAGGATAACAGCATAGGCATGGTGCCACCTACATAAGGTACACAGTCAAAGAATGATAGGTGCTCAAGGATAACAGCATAGGCATGGTGCCACCTACATAAGGTACACAGTCAAAGAATGATAGGTGCTCAAGGATAACAGCATAGGCATGGTGCCACCTACATAAGGTACACAGTCAAAGAATGATAGGTGCTCAAGGATAACAGCATAGGCATGGTGCCACCTACATAAGGTACACAGTCAAAGAATGATAGGTGCTCAAGGATAACAGCATAGGCATGGTGCCACCTACATAAGGTACACAGTCAAAGAATGATAGGTGCTCAAGGATAACAGCATAGGCATGGTGCCACCTACATAAGGTACACAGTCAAAGAATGATAGGTGCTCAAGGATAACAGCATAGGCATGGTGCCACCTACATAAGGTACACAGTCAAAGAATGATAGGTGCTCAAGGATAACAGCATAGGCATGGTGCCACCTACATAAGGTACACAGTCAAAGAATGATAGGTGCTCAAGGATAACAGCATAGGCATGGTGCCACCTACATAAGGTACACAGTCAAAGAATGATAGGTGCTCAAGGATAACAGCATAGGCATGGTGCCACCTACATAAGGTACACAGTCAAAGAATGATAGGTGCTCAAGGATAACAGCATAGGCATGGTGCCACCTACATAAGGTACACAGTCAAAGAATGATAGGTGCTCAAGGATAACAGCATAGGCATGGTGCCACCTACATAAGGTACACAGTCAAAGAATGATAGGTGCTCAAGGATAACAGCATAGGCATGGTGCCACCTACATAAGGTACAGAGTCAAAGAATGATAGGTGCTCAAGGATAACAACATAGGCATGGTGCCACCTACATAAGGTACACAGTCAAAGAATGATAGGTGCTCAAGGATAACAGCATAGGCATGGTGCCACCTACATAAGGTACAGAGTCAAAGAATGATAGGTGCTCAAGGATAACAGCATAGGCATGGTGCCACCTACATAAGGTACACAGTCAAAGAATGATAGGTGCTCAAGGATAACAGCATAGGCATGGTGCCACCTACATAAGGTACACAGTCAAAGAATGATAGGTGCTCAAGGATAACAGCATAGGCATGGTGCCACCTACATAAGGTACACAGTCAAAGAATGATAGGTGCTCAAGGATAACAGCATAGGCATGGTGCCACCTACATAAGGTACACAGTCAAAGAATGATAGGTGCTCAAGGATAACAGCATAGGCATGGTGCCACCTACATAAGGTACACAGTCAAAGAATGATAGGTGCTCAAGGATAACAGCATAGGCATGGTGCCACCTACATAAGGTACACAGTCAAAGAATGATAGGTGCTCAAGGATAACAGCATAGGCATGGTGCCACCTACATAAGGTACACAGTCAAAGAATGATAGGTGCTCAAGGATAACAGCATAGGCATGGTGCCACCTACATAAGGTACAGAGTCAAAGAATGATAGGTGCTCAAGGATAACAGCATAGGCATGGTGCCACCTACATAAGGTACATACAGAGTCAAAGAATGAGAGCAACGCCTGATGCCACCAACATTGGCAACAATTGATAAAATAACAGCATAGTCTTAAGTCCCCAACATGAGGCAAAAATAGACAGAATTTAAGCAAAGTGTGATGCTGCTTTAAACATTTTCCATAAAATAAGACTGATAGGTTCTTTGACTGTTCAAGTACACAAAATTAAAACAACAGCAGTAAACAACAGGATTTAAAAGGAAAATTTTAAGAGTCAATCACAATAGTCTAATAGTTAATGTAATCCTATAGGCCACATTACATCCAAATTACATACAACTGACTGTACAAATGCAAGAGTCAATACAAATATCCAGAATTAAGGCAGCTACGAACACTTCAAATGGAATGAATTTATTACACTAACCATTGTTTGGCATGTCCTTTATAAGAAACCGCTGGCCTGGTTTTCTTGTACATGGCCATCAGGTTCATCCGCTCCATGGCCTCAAGTATCTCCAGAATGTCATCGTACTGTGGGAACATTTCAACTGTTAGCACTCAAGTCTACCTCATCAATTTACCTGCTGGTCTCAAACATCAACTCACCTGGTCTAAAACATCACCTCACCTGGTCTTTAGAGAGTGACACATCAACTCACCTGGTCTGAAACATCACCTCACCTGGTCTTTAGAGAGTGACACATCACCTCACCTGGTCTAAAACATCACCTCACCTGGTCTGAAACATCACCTCACCTGGTCTGAAACATCACCTCACCTGGTCTGAAACATCACCTCACCTGGTCTGAAACATCACCTCACCTGGTCTGAAACATCACCTCCCCTGGTCTGAAACATCACCTCACCTGGTCTAAAACATCACCTCACCTGGTCTAAAACATCACCTCACCTGGTCTGAAACATCACCTCACCTGGTCTGAAACATCACCTCCCCTGGTCTGAAACATCACCTCACCTGGTCTAAAACATCACCTCACCTGGTCTAAAACATCACCTCACCTGGTCTGAAACATCACCTCCCCTGGTCTGAAACATCACCTCACCTGGTCTAAAACATCACCTCACCTGGTCTGAAACATCACCTCACCTGGTCTGAAACATCACCTCACCTGGTCTGAAACATCACCTCACCTGGTCTTTGGACAGTGAAACATCAACTCACCTGGTCTTTGGACAGTGTAACATCACCTCACCTGGTCTTTGGACAGTGTAACATCAACTCACCTGGTCTTTGGACAGTGAAACAGCAATCTCATCAAACACCAGGGTAAGGAATATCTTGGGCAGGGAGAAATCTGTCTGTTCAGGCTTGGTGTTCAAACGTAAATGTGCTACGGCTGATATGGGCTTGAACACTGGACATGGAAAGTTGGTCAGTTTGAAATTTGGGTGTTTCATAAAGATCATGTACATTTCAAAATTGTAAGCATACTGTCCACTGTTTGAACTGTTTAAGTTACTGTTCAGTTTTTTTAACTTAATTAACAAACTCTTGCTCTGGCTACCATCAACAGGTATCTAAGGAAATAACACTGTATCTTATGCTAGAATGAATAAGATACTTACAGTATTGCAAGTTTGGTTTCATCCCTTGTTTTGCTATATTATCCTTTAGTGTAGTCTGCAAAAATAAAAGGTAACTTTAAAACCACTATTAAAATATCAGATGTTTTAAAATGTAACAGCACACAAGGGAGGTAAGTGTTAGGGACTTATACTGCCGCTAACACCACTAGTAAATAACAAGGACCATAACCATGGGTGGATATCAACAGGAAGAGGGCTAGAGAGGAATTTTTCTTGAACAAAAAAAATCTAAAAACTTAAATATAATAAATTTTAAGAATATGATATATTAAAGAAAAAGCTATAGACCTATAATAAAATATAAGCAGGGGAAGTAAGATATGGTAAATAATATTTTTTTTATTTTTACAGGAACACCATGCATACAACAACAAAATTTGTTTGTTTTTTTTATTTTAAAATGTTTTAAAAAGAATTCAATTAATATAGAAATGCTTTATTGATCTTGAAGTTTGAATAAGATGAATGTTTGGACAAGAAAGATTAAATTACTGAAGTAAGACATGTCATTTGGTCAGCCCAAGTTAGAGTGAATGACATAAGTTTGTGACATTTTCATTTATTTAATTTTCTAAATAAATCTCTAATCTTATTTTTCTTTAAAACAATAAGCACTTATGCTTTCCCTTTAATTGATCTAATTTATATGATTATAACTGATTTTTTACATTTTTGTGCTGTGTTTTTTAGAAAGAAAAATGGACAACAATTTCTGTTAGTGAAGAGAATGGTTAAATAAATTTATTAGAAAATGTGGCTCTGTACATCCACAATTGTTAGAAGAAAAATATTATTTGTTTTAGTTATTTGTAAGCCATATGGACATTGAAGTCAAATCTGGCGCAAAAAAGTATTTTGTAATTAACTTTTATAATTTTAAGTTTAACTTCAATTTTTCTAAAATTTTATACTTTATAAATATTCCACTGGTGAGTTTGTAAAACTTTAAAAAAAAAAAATTTTTTTAAAAATTCAAAACAATTTTCAAGGTGTGAGATTAAGAAAACTTTCAATCATCAGTAAAGTACAAGAGGAAAGGGGAGGTAAAGTGATAAATGGCATGGTTAGTATTAGTTTGGATGGGAAGGCAAAAAATCTCAATTCAAACTAAGGTGATGTTAGTGGGTTGTATTAGTAGAACTCTTGGTGGTGTACTAATTATAGAAGAAATTAAAACCTGAATGCATTCATGGAGCTCTTGCTGCAAAAATAAAGCACATAATGTTAATACAACAGTGACAGAGATCTCTACAAGATTTAGTGATAAAGGGAGATAAACTAGAAATGCATAGCATGGAAACTAGTCTCCCCTACCTGGGTCTACATAACAAGCTGATACAAGACAACTATTTTATTTAAAGCAGGCTGATAATAAAAATTTAAAGCAATAAAGCAAAAAAACTAAGCAAAAATTGTAAGTTAACACTAAAACTGTTGGACGGCTAAATATTTTCAAAAAACTAGAAAAAATAATGTAATTTCAAATAGTTTAAAATAGTTAAATTCAATACACAGCACATTTATGTCATAATATCAAAATAACTTACCAGGATAAGTTTCTTGTCTAAATCCTGTAGAAGTTTCCCATTGCTGTTCCAATAGACACACAGGGAGTCAAGGCGAACAAGCTAAGGATTATTCATTATTTAGTTAGAATACATCCCACTACACATCAATATTTTTAACAATCATTTTTATACAGTAAATTTCAACACCAATAAAAAAAAAATTGTGAGACTTGCCTCATAACACAAGAATTGTTGCCAGAGAAATGAATGTAATAAATATTATATCTAATTTTAAAAGTGAACTTCACAAATTTAGAACATTTACAAGGACAATAATGGGACGGAGTGGTCTAGCGGTAGAGAGCTGGACTGCTAACCCGTAAGTCTCGAGTTCGAATCTGGGTTCAAGTCAGTAGACCGTCCCTGAGTCCACCCAACTCTGATGGGTACCTAACTCACGTTAGGGAAAGTAAAGGCGGCTGGGCATAGTGCTGACCACACTATCTCTTCATATGCCGAGGTCACAGAAACAAGTGAACTCTACTTCACTTGCCCCATAGACCGTAAGGTTTGAAAGGGAACTTTTACTTTTACAAGGACAATAAATGTTTCCAGACAAAGTCTTTATCAGCACATAAGTGTGTTTATAGACTAAGCTGTGCGAGATGGGGAGAGTGGTGATGGTGGTGGTTTTGTTTATTCAACCCTTTAGTCTCAAGAACTAAAACTTCTTGGCCACACATCTGTGTTGAGCCAGGTTTTAAAATTAAGGTAAATATTTGACAGCAGTCACAGTTAAGTCAATTATAATAGCATGTTTGTTTTTACTGGTGTTTAGAAATTGAAAGACTGTCTTTTTGGTTTAAGGATCTTAGATGTTGGTTGAAACAGTCCTAGATTTGTGAGGCTACCAAAACTACCTGCTTTTATTAATGCTTCATTATACAAATCTCCTGTAGTTAAAAATTGAGCTTAAAATTGAATAAACCAAAAAAAATCTGAGCACCAACTTTATAGATCTGTGTCACTGCTTCTTTGATGATCATTTCCTTCCAATTGGAATCTGTTGTCTGAAAGAGAAGGAATTCAATTATTACAATTATTCCAAATGAACTAAAGAAATATTACTAATTTTAAAGTATTTTGCAGTTATGTCCCTTCTGTTATAACCATTAACTCAGTGTAACAAGCTCACCTGGAATAGAAGTTCATTTAGGGTGATGCCCATAGACACTGGCCGAGCTGGATTGCTGTACTTGTCTTCATACCGGATGTGAATCAGGGACACTTTGATTTGTAGATTTTTGATGACCTGCGTGGCCAGCTTTTCAACAAAACTGTCATTTTTTACTTCTTTTGGCTTGTCTGGCAACATTAAAAAAAATGTTAGACCCACATGCTAGTTAATAAAAATTAACTTAAATAAACCGGGAGTAATCTCCCCTAAACTTTCTCGGATATTCTTATATAACACTATGTGGGATGGCAACTCGGAATATAGACATGATTTTTAATTACTTAAACTTTTAAAAATAGAATAGAATCTCGTAGAAAAAGATTTGCGCACCAAGCGAAAGCCAAAACAAAATGTGCATAATAGTGCGCAGTATTATTAGTACTTTATAAATTTATATGCGTTTTTTGGAGAAATCGGAAATAGCGTAAATTACTACTTCCGTTCAACAGAAATTACTCAAAATTTGAAAGAAGGTAGAGGATTAGATCTTTAACTTACATGTGAAATTTCATTTATCTATCTGAAATAGTACACAAGTTAGAGGCTTTTGAAAAATTCAAAGTAGAAAAAGTACCATTTCCGGTTATCAGGAATAGCTCAAAAGTTGATACGTATCTACGATTTTTATATAATACTTATATATGAAATTTCATCAACCTAGCTGTAACGGTACTCAAGTTATCGTGTTTACAGACACACAGACACACACAAGATTGCAAAAATATATTTTTCCGACTCAGGGAGGCGTAAAACATCGAGATTTGTAAAACTCGATTTTTTAATTTTTTTTTGCATGATTACAAGACTTTCTCTACACTTCGTATATACGAGAAAGTAAAAACATAAATAACAATTGCTGTTTGAAAAGATTGGCTTCAATTTTCTAATATATTCATTTAGGCCTAACATTAAGAAAATAAACACTATAAAATATAGCACCAAATCAGATTTAAATTTAAGGTTGATATTGTTTAGACATATCCACACAATGTTGCTGGGTAACGTAAGATGCAAAACCCAACATTACCTTAGAAAATTGAAGTATCAGCTACATGTTGGTAAGGTGTTCTTTGTGTTGTATGTTTACCTAATTTTACTTGCAAGTTAAAAACATAGGTATTGCTAATGACAGAAAGAATAATTTATTTCCACCAGTATCAGATTTAATTATAATTATCTGTGACAGCTGAGTCCAGTCCCATACCATTTTATATGTTCCTACCAGTACCAGATTTAGTTTATCTGTGAACCTTTCATATGTTCCTACCAGTACCAGATTTAGTTTATCTGTGAACCTTTTATATGTTCCTACCAGTACCAGATTTAGTTTATCTGTGAACCTTTTATATGTTCCTACCAGTACCAGATTTAGTTTATCTGTGAACCTTTTATATGTTCCTACAAGTGCCAGATTTAGTTTATCTGTGAAGCTTTTACATGTTCCTACCAGTACCAGATTTAGTTTATCTGTGAACCTTTTATATGTTCCTACCAGTACCAGATTTAGTTTATCTGTGAACCTTTCATATGTTCCTACCAGTACCAGATTTAGTTTATCTGTGAACCTTTCATATGTTCCTACCAGTACCAGATTTAGTTGATCTGTGAACCTTTTATATGTTCCTACCAGTACCAGATTTAGTTTATCTGTGAACCTTTTATATGTTCCTACCAGTACCAGATTTAGTTGATCTGTGACCTTTTATATGTTCCTACCAGTACCAGATTTAGTTGATCTGTGAACCTTTTATATGTTCCTACCAGTACCAGATTTAGTTGATCTGTGAACCTTTTATATGTTCCTACCAGTACCAGATTTAGTTGATCTGTGAACCTTTTATATGTTCCTACCAGTACCAGATTTAGTTGATCTGTGAACCTTTTATATGTTCCTACCAGTACCAGATTTAGTTTATCTGTGAACCTTTTATATGTTCCTACCAGTACCAGATTTAGTTGATCTGTGAACCTTTTATATGTTCCTACCAGTACCAGATTTAGTTGATCTGTGAACCTTTTATATGTTCCTACCTGTACCAGATTTAGTTTATGTGTGAAAGATGAGTTGAACTACACAATTAGCTCATACCTTTCTCAGCCTCCAGCTTTTTTTGCTCATCAATTTTGGTCAATATGGCTTGCTTGAGTTCCTGCTTGGCTTTGAATTCTTTTGCTGCATCGTATGTGATTCCTGTTGGGACATATTATTTTTAATAATAGATATCGGCAGACATTATGTTTTATTCTGTTTTTTTCAGACAGCTTTAAAGTTTTTCAGAAAGTGTTGCATTTTTTTAAGCAACCAACCATTTTATGGCCTAACTACATTTCCTTACAAATAGCTACAAGCTAATTTAGCAAGTATCATTGGAATCAAAACATGTTTAAAAACTTGTATCCACTATGTACAATAAATAAATCCTAAAAGAAAATGTGAAGTGTCTCCTACCAATATTAGGGACCACTAGAGCATAAACTCCTTCAATCTGTGCTACAACTGCCTCAGAGTACAAGTTCTTCCATGGAATCTTCAATGTCAGTTTTTCTGAAATACAGGAATATATTTCTTCACAATGCTTATTTGAAATGGAATAAACAATTTTAGATTATTTTCAAAACCAGTGATACACACAGACTACATCTAAAAGAATATAAATACTCAATATCATATCCTTTTTCCCAGTTAGATTAAATTTAATATATGAGAAACTGCACACAAAAAACATCGATATTCTGACCATTTTACCTAGATGAAAAAGTTTTCATTAACATGATTTGTCAGAACTATTGAATTACCTATATGGCCTGCCTTGATCTTTATGGGCAAATCCATGTCGTCCTAAAAAACAGAAAGATCATTGAATTGTACAAACAAACCAAAGGAAATGTGTTAGAAGAAATTTAAAAATGTAATTTAATGCCAGACTGACAGAGCTTACCAGAGCATTTTCTTTTAGGTTCAGTTTGTTGAGGACTACATCTCCTGTAATATACAACATTTTTTTTAGCAACAAAATTCTTTTGTGACTTCAAGCTCATTGTACTCTTCTACTAATTAGAATTAAAGGGCTCTATCAGATATAAGCTAATATAACTATGGCAATTAAATTATCTTCAACCTAAGCAGCCTTCTAGCATGATTACAGTTATTCATCATTGAACATTACTACCTCAAAACTATAGCCAACTTTAATAAGATGATTTTTAACCTAGCTATATTTTTAAAGATCAGATCTCCTCACAAGACCAGATCTTACCCACTGTCACCTGTACAACCCAAACCCATTTCATCGCTGTCACCTGTGGAAGCCACTTCATCCCCATCACCTGTACAACCCAAACCCATTTCATCAATGTAACCTGTGGAAGCCACTTCATCACTGTCACCTGTACAACTAACTTCATCTATCACCTGTGGAACCCATACCCACTTCATCGATGTCACCTGTGCAACCCACTTCATAATTGTCACCTGTACAACACATACCCACTTCATCGATGTCACCTGCACAACCCACTTCTTCTATCACCTGTGGAACCCAATTCATCACCGTCACCTGTACAACACATACCCACTTCATCGATATCATCTGCACAGCCCATCCTATCACATGTACAACCCACTTCATCAATGTCACCTGTACAACCCACTTCATTGCTGTCACCTGTACAACCCATCCATGCAGAAACTCATCTTCACTTGCATTGATAACTAAAGACACCTGCACAGCTCATATTGACAAGACACATGTACAGTCCCTCATATCTGTTACCTAGACATCTATACCCCCATCTCAAACCTAGCACACACTGATACAACACCTGTCCATTACATCTGTAATATCCACCACCAACTTAAAGCACATTTTATCAGTGTCAACAAGCCAACTTTAAAAAAGCTGAATTTTGTATTAATTCCTGTCCATCAACCAAAACATCATTTAGTTACATTAGTCACCATCCGTAACCGTAAAGATCGCTATGGATTAGCTGCAGCATCTGGCTTCCATTCCCTATGAGATAACAGCTTGTTGAGCTAGCATTGGACATTTGTATTTTTGTCAAGTTTTTTCTCCCACAATTACTGTAGTGCACAACAGAGTAGGGCAATATTTCATGTGAACATGTCACTGGCAACATGCATAGATTTATACTAAGAGATCCACACCTCAACCTTCCCCTGGTCTTAGTATAAACTGCCACGCTCTCATTCATAAAGGACTGTAATTCAGGGCAAAGTTCTAGAGTCTCAAATATTGACCCTTTCGTGTGTGGCAGCCATTAATGTTTGCATTAACATATTAAAACAAGGTTATTGGGTGCAAAGATATTTTCACAACTTGATACAAGGAAAGGATATTCATAAGGAATAAATAATTTGTATGTAGTTTGTATGTGCTCATACTACTGGTGTGTAGAGGCAGGGGTTACTTTGAGTTTGATAACATATACAACCCAATCTGGCTTAATAAACATTCATGTATTGATAATGTTCAAATCATGGGATAGAGAAGTAAAAAAAAAAAGAAATGTAGTAAATTAAATCAAACAATAGGCAGAAGCTCACACAATGAAAGAAACAACATGAGCTGAACAAGACAGAAACTGGAATCTAGTACAATCTGAAACCCAGAAACAGCACACAAATTGGTATAGCTAAAAGTGCTAACAGCCAGCACTATCATTATATTATATTAGCATAACTAGGCGTTTTCTCATGCTAATATCTATAAGGTTAACAAACAGGGTGGAATGAAGTATGAAGGAACAAATATCCATGTAGTGTATAAATTATGATAGGAAAAATGTGACACAATATGCCTTACATACAAATGTTAGGATGTAGTAACAAGTACTACTCTGTGTCTTATAAACTGTGACATTAGACACCAGTATTAGAAGGGTGTTGTATAGTTACAGTTGTGTATCGTAAAAATTGTGAGTGAACACTTTGACAACAATTTAAGAAGGGTAAGATGTATGTAGTCTAATTGGTCTTTAAAAAAAGTGCTGTATAAACACAAAAGTGTGGCCCACAAGCCATGACTGAAAACTGGATACCCAGCACCACGGAGAAATGCTGAAACTGTAACATGATGATTGTGTAGGTGTATCATACCAGCACATTCCTTCTACTAGATATGATTAAAAGTGACAAAAAGTATTTTTATGTGTCTGGATAGAACCATGTTGCATACTAACTAGAGGACATACTGAGCTGTATCTAAAAATAAATAGGAATGACTCACACCGTGTCATGTGCCTGCTTGCTACTCATACAAATGGCTATTAAGGAGGGATTAGTGGGTCAAGGTGGTCTTTTCAAGTTGATGTGTCTGTGTCAGACTTATAGATAGATTTATTTTATTTAACCAGAGTAAAAAGCTGTTAAAATGGATTGTGTCAAATACAACACACACAACAAATATTTGCAATTAGCAGTTGAGTATGGTAACAAGTATGCAGAAAAAACCTAAATAATAAATTCAATACAAGAGTGTTTTCCCTTTATAATGTAAAGATCATGCCAAATAATTTAATTTGCTGGAGTTTATTATGATACAGCACTTGGAAATAATTAAAGGGGAAAAATCCATCTGATTATTATTCAGTATATTCTGCATACACACACACAATAGCATAAATGATCAATACACAGCCAACAGGGGACACAAATGATGGGTGAAACTTTTCCGTCAATCAGTAATTTCAACAAGGGAGGGAAATGTTTTGCTGAGGTTTGTCAGACCGATTTTTCTCCAGCTGTTACACTAACTTTATTTTCTGGTGATTTGGTTTCTTTTTGGGGTCGGCGTGGTCGAGTAGGTAAAGCTCATGGTTGCTAAACCGAAAAGTCTCGAGTTCGAACCCTCGGGCAGATGAGGCTCGTTAGCTGGGGACAGCCACTCTTCTAGGAGAGACAACTCCAAAATCAAACAACTGCTGCCTTGTAGTTTGTTCTTGGTTGGACAAAGGCTATGGAAGCAAATCCAAAAAGAAAAGCAGGCTGAAATCGGAGTCAATGCCCTCAATGGCGCAAAACCAGTTGACACGTAATCCTTAATTGTGATGGAAGCATGGTCGAGTCGGCAAAGCTAATGGTTGATAAATTCTAAATAAGTCTCGAGTTCAAACCCTCTGGCAGATAAGACTCGATCCCTCCCAACACTAAAAATTAAGAACGAAGAAGAAGAAGAAGAAGAGGTTTCTTTTTAACAACAGAACTGAATTGTTGTGTTTTATTTGCAGTTAAACATTTGCTACATAGTTTTGTGATGACAGCTTTTTGATCAGTATATTAAAAAAAAATTTTTTTTAAACCACCAAACCTTTCCTTTTTTAAGTAATTAATAATGGAACTGAAATGCTGTCCTGTTTGTTTGCAGTTATAAAAAAATACATGGCTTTGTTATGTCAGTGGTCAGTAGAGCATCTTGTCAGTATCTTTTAAAAAACCACCTTGCAAAGTATTTTTAAAAGGCTTTCAAAACCACTGGAGATAATTAGTTTAAAAGCATGAATTATTTTTTTTTCTACAATAGGTAGCAGTTTCAAGTTACAATTCCAAAATGAATTGCTATGAAAAAGTGGAAATTTAAAAACCAAAGTTGTGTATAATAAAGGCACTAAAGGACATTCTACAGGACTTTTTTGTTAGACTGTTGGTTGTTGAAAATGAGTCATTTCTCTGAATGCTACATTAGTTGTGATGGAACTAAAGTTAAATTAGTCCACATAAAAATGTTTAGATCCAGCAAGGGAGATAATAACTATATACACTTCATTTGCAACAGCAAGTTGTGAAACTTGTTTTCTGCATTTTTTTGTTGTTTCTACATAGTGAATAACTACATAATAATAACGTATGAGAGGGACTGTTATATAAAACTACAAGACTTGTACAATGATAAGACTTGTACAATGATAATAAACTTTTGAAATACCATTGTTTCCAAAATAAATGTTTAACCAATTTTGAAGATAAATTAACAAAAGGCTACAGATAACCAAAACATTTAAACAATGTTGTCAAATTTATTTCAAACTCAATTAACGCAAACCAGTTTACCTGTTTTATTTGTGTTAAGGATGGCTGGACAATAAATGACAAAGCATTAGATATTAGCACTTAAAGCTAGAGTTATGGTGATGAATGTCTCTTGATGAACTGTATCTGATGACAACTAAAGTGAACATGAGCATGTTTTAGTTGAGTGATGAACAATATATTTAGGGAATTTTTTAAGGGGTCGAGTCGGTAAAGCTCATGGTTGCTAAACCGAAAAGTCTCGAGTTCGAACCCTCGGGCAGATGAGGCTCGTTAGCTGGGGACAGCCACTCTTCTAGGAGAGACAACTCCAAAAATTAAACAACTGCTGCCTTGTAGTTTGTTCTTGGTTGGACAAAGGCTATGGAAGCAAATCCAAAAAGAAAAGCAGGCTGAAATCGGAGTCAATGGCCTCAATGGCGCATAACCAGTTGACACGTAACGCTTAATTGTGTTAGATGCGTGGTCGAGTCGGCAAAAAGCTCATGGTTGATAAATTCGAACAAAGTCTCGAGTTCAAACCCACTGTTCGATAAATCTCGATCCCCTTCAACACTAATAAAATAAGAACGAAGAAGAAGAAGAAAAGAAGGGAATTTTTTAACTTGATGAGCTCTTCATCATGTTGTGTATAAAAATGACATTACTTATACTTAAATCTGTTTTTATTTTATTTTGGAGACTAAGAGTCACAAGGTGAATATAACTGGACCTACAACTTGACTTCTACAAGTTGACTGAATACTAAAATAGAAGTAACATTTATAAATCTGCTAGTTAAAGTTAGGCCTACTAGATAAACAACTCAAAACAATAATAATAAAACTAATTCATTGGACTTTTTTTAAAAGTAGGCCAGGCCTATAGGTTCTAGATCTAGAGCTATATATTTTAGTAAGTAGCAACTAGAATCTATTAACACACAACCTTTTAACTCTTCTTAAATTTCCTGTTACTTTTAGTACAGTTCTAGATCTATCATTATTCAGTAAGAAGTATCAGGTTCAGGTAGATCTATACACTTATGTGTCATACCACCAGTGTTAGACAAAAGCACAATAATGAAATTTTCTTTAAAAAGTAAAAGAGGTGTATTGTTAGCTTACTCAGGCTGGTAGTTAACTCACTTTTATTTCTGACCATAAAGTAAAGTTAAACCTGAGATTGCAATACTACTACTACTAACATTTTTTACTAACAACCTTACACACCTCTATTGTCTGACATATAAGTAATACCAATTGATTATTGATCTAGTCTCCCTAACCTAAACCTTACCATAGCCTTAATAACGGTAATTTAACTGGGTGACCTAACACATAGGCCAAAACTAACCAAATTAACCATTACACATAACAGTATTAACAGTCACAAGTGGAAGTAGAGCTTTTCTCTGGGTTAGCAGTCTAGCGTTCTACCATTAGGTCACACTGTCACATAAAATGTAGGAGTATTGGTCCTATTGGTATTATTATTAAAATATTATCTATGTCTGACAAACTCTTCAGTCTATAAAGCTAAAGTGAGCTTAAAGTCTAAAGCTAGACTATATAGGGGAGCCTAATATCTATCTACACTATCTAGATCTAGTATTAATCTAGTATGTCTTGAATTCAAATCTGTTTTCAATTCAGTACAACAGCCCTGAGTTGACCCAGCTCTGTTGGGTACATAGGGAAAGTAAAGACAGCTGGGCATAGTGCTCAAAACCAGTTTCTTCCAGGCATCTCTTTAGGGGCGGGGGGCGGTGCCTCCCGAAGTAAGTCTACCCCCCCCCCCCAAAAAAAATGGAATTTATATAGTAAATATTTACTTTTAACAGTGACCCCCCCCCCCCCCCGGAAAATTTTGTCCATCCCCCTGAAAATTTCAAGTGCCCCCCAGAAAAAAATCTGGAAGAAACACTGCTCAACACACTTGACTATCACTATCCGTGTTGAGGTCACAGAAACATGTGAACTCTAATTAATTATGTTATGAATAGTTATGATTATGTAATAAATGTAGAATCTATGTAATATGTTTATGTATGTGTACTAAACTGTAACTTGACTGTTGACTTGCCCCATGGACCGTCAGGTTGGTTAAAAAAGAGAACTTTTTACTTTTTCCTTAGATCTAAAACTGGCGACAACAATACTTAGTTATTTTATTACTTAGGGTTAAGTTTATTACTTAAAGTTTAAGTACTGTTAAAGTTAAAGTTTAACAGTACTTTTATTAGACAACAAAAACAAGTTAAAACAACACTTAAGAAGTCACTTTTTAACAGAGTCAGTAGACCCCTTATAATAAAGTCTATGCAAATTAATAAATTAGATGGGCTTATAACTATTCAATCTAGGCCTTCACTTCTGCTTTCTCATAAACAAAACAACCGCCCTCCAACCTAGACTCTAGTCTCGTATAGACTCAAGGAGTCTAGTGACTGGATTTTAGATTCTAGTCCACAGTCGCGACAGACATTTTTTCTTACCTCCCCATAGTCCTATTTTTAACTGAGATGTATCCAAATTTTCAACAAATGTTCCAAGATATCTGTTGATTAGCTCAACTGCTATGGTTTCGAACACCATTTTGCTGTTTTGAATCTGAAAACTGCAAAAAGATTACATCTAACTGCATTAATCAGAAAATAGCAGGTTTACGAAAAGTATCCACCGGCGTTCGCCATATTGTTTTCGTCAATATGCTAATGAGGGTCACGAGTTGCAGTTCATGTTGTAAAAATGAATTTCGTATAGTTTGGCCTATTAATAAATGTACAATAAAATAGTGTAATATTTATGAGTGTTGCAGACTAGAGTTTAATACAACGCCACACATTAACTGAAGACGCAGTTATTATTTAATACAGTACATTTTATAGCCTACAGTTTTAAAATACAATTACACCGCGGTAAACTATTCCTTGCTGCCCATTCCGCGTAAAAGTTTACATGCTGATAAAGTTACAAAGAACTTGAATCTAGATCAGGGGTCTCCAAACTTTTCAGGCCGAGGGCCGCATTAACTATTAAATATCAGTTTGGGGGGCCAGAGTTTCTCACCCCCCCCCCCTCCCCCGAAGAACATTCTACCCCCCCCCCCCAACGAAATATAATTTATGTAGAAATATATACAAATTTCAAGCGCCCCCCCCCCTCCACCTCCGTTTAGCTCTAAGTGTGTGTGTGGGGTAGGGGGGGTTGATTGTGATTGATTCTAACGATCTGTTTTATTTCTATAGTTTTAATTCATAGAGGCTTCTTCAGATAGCGGGTTCAGTTTTTGGCCTCTTCAGATAGCGGGTTCAGTTTATGCTTCTTCAGATAGCGGGTTCAGTTTATGCTTCTTCAGATAGCGGGTTCAGTTTATGCTTCTTCAGATAGCGGGTTCAGTTTATGCTTCTTCAGATAGCGGTTCAGTTTATGCTTCTTCAGATAGCGGGTTCAGTTTTTGGCCTCTTCAGATAGCGGTTCAGTTTATGCTTCTTCAGATAGCGGTTCAGTTTATGCTTCTTCAGATAGCGGGTTCAGTTTTTGGCCTCTTCAGATAGCGGGTTCAGTTTATGCTTCTTCAGATAGCGGTTCAGTTTATGCTTCTTCAGATAGCGGTTCAGTTTATGCTTCTTCAGATAGCGGGTTCAGTTTTTGGCCTCTTCAGATAGCGGGTTCAGTTTATGCTTCTTCAGATAGCGGTTCAGTTTATGCTTCTTCAGATAGCAAGTTCAGTTTATGCTTCTTCAGATAGCGGGTTCAGTTTTTGGCCTCTTCAGATAGCGGGTTCAGTTTTTGGCCTCTTCAGATAGCGGGTTCAGTTTTGTTCGAGCCTGTTGCCGTTGGTGTTTGTTAGGCAGGCGGCAGGCAGCAGCAAGAATTCCACTTTTTGTTGAAGTTCCATTGGGTTCTTGTGTCGTTGTTTGTGGTTAGATAACCAGTGGCTCCCAGGAGCGCCCAGCTGTTCGTTATTTATTCTACAACATATTTTTTTTTGCTTCTAATAAACGTAACTATCAGTGTTTCTTTCAGACTTTTTTTTCTGGGGGAGGGCACTTGAATTTTTCGGGGACGGACTGAAATTTCAGAGAGGGGGCGGGGGGGGGGGGGGACACTGTTAAAAGTATATATTTTCTATATATATTCCATTTCGTACAGGGGTAGACTTTCTTCGGGGGGGGGGGGGGGGGCTCAGATGCCTGGAAGAAACTCTGGTGTAACTATATTTTAGGATATATGCTTCTAATTTAAACCATGAAAATAATTTTATATAAAAGCGTATGACACCCTCGTCTAAGCTGTACATGTTGTTACATTTCTTTTAAAAAAAATTTTTTTTAATTTCTAGCTCGATTGATGACACAATCTACTTTAATTAATATTTCTTCGAGCTACTATGAGCATTGTACCAACTGCAGCTTGCTTTGTTTTTAAATGAGCTATAAGATCACACGTCTCTTTCCAAAGATAATTTTAAAAAATAATTTTCAAACAGCGTCATATATTTCAAGGGCTCGATTTATTTACATAAACAGCTCGGGGGACGTGGGACATCGGGGCCCCTGGGTGTCTGTCCACCTTGGTCAGAGTTACTTCCAGGTATCTCTTCGGGGGGGGGGGGGGTGACGGAGTTCCCCAGACGAAATGGAATTTATATAGAAAACCTATACTTTTACCACTTTCCACCCCCCACCCCCCCCCTCGAGAAATAAGTCTGGAAGAAACACTGACCTTGGTTACAAGGTTGTTACGCCACCAGTGTTTCTTCCAGACTTTTTTCTCCGGGGGGGGGGGGGCACTTGAAATTTTCGGGGGGGGGGGGGGGTGGTAGACTTTCTTCGGAGGGGGGGGGCGGACACTGTTAAAAGTATATATTTTCTATATAAATTATATACATTTCATTTCGTTCGGGGGGGGGGGGGGGCGGTAAAAAAATTTCGGGGGGGGGGGCTTCGCCACCCCGAAGAGATGCCTGGAAGAAACACTGTTAGCCACTGCTTAAATTGGATGTCTGAAACAATTTCGTTTTCAGTTTTCACCCAGCTAAACAACCGTCCCATAAACTTTCTACTACTAGTATTCCATGGTCATCAATAATTTGCGTCATTATTATTAATTAATATCATTAATGCATTCGCCTAATTGAAAATGGCATATTTAGCCCCGACTGATTACGAGTGTAATTATATTTTTTTTTTTCTTCTAGCGTTTTGTGAGTCCATGTTCTAACTTAGCGTGTGTTGTTAATAAACCGTGCACAAGGGCAGTAACTCTCAGTTTTTTTTTCTTTCAATGTTCCGTATCGCTGAAACAAAAGTTTCAAGCTCCCCCTTCTCCCTGGAAGAAAAATATCTGAAAGAAACTCTGATCTTATATGGATTCGGCATAATGTCCCTTAAGTTTTGGTTGAATGATTACAAACCACATATCCGCTTTAAAAATCTTCGTTGTGGAAACGAATTCAGCTTGATAAAATCTGCACTGTATTTGTGAGCCCTTGAATAAGTGTCTTTGTTGCCATAAAGTCAGTGATGCGTATTCGTGTAAGGGCCGTCTATTAAAATGACGTCACACACATGAGGAGGAGAAGGTAGCTCTTTTATGTTAGATGACGAAAGGGGAGAGGGGGGGGGGGTGACAAATTTTTAAGGTGCTCGCTACAAATCCGCTAACAATTAAATGACGATTATAATTAGCTTTAAGTAAGCGTGCCATCATCATCATCACTCCTTTGTGGCCCCTGGGGAGCAAAGGGCTGCAACCACACGTCTCCAGCGGACTCGGTTTTGGGCTGCTCCTCTAATCTGTGCCCATGAGAGCCCAGCTGTTTTCGCCTCCTCCTCAACCGTTCTCTTCCATGTTTTCCATGGGCGGCCCACCCTCCTTTTCCTCTGGGGATTCCAGTCTAATGCATGTTTTGTGATGTTTTCTTTTTCTTTTCTTAACGTGTGTCCGATCCATCCCCATTTACGGGCCTTGATATCTTTTTCTATTGGCTGTTGTTTTAAGGTTTGCCACAGGTCTTTGTTTGATATTTTGTCCGGCCATCTTATTTTGAGTATATTTCGTAAGCATTTGTTTACGAACGCCTGTAGTCTATCAGTATTTGTCTTCGTAACCCTCCAGGTCTCCGAGCCAGAAGCGTAGCGACCCTTCCCGGCGCCCGGGGACATACTTTCAATTTGGCGCCCCCCTCGGGAGCAAATTTTCGATTTGCACCCCCCCCCTCGAACTTTTCATTTGCACCCCCCTCAAACTTTCGATTTGCACCCCCCCCCTCGAACTTTTCATTTGCACCGCCCTCAAACTTTCGATTTGCACCCCCCCTCGAACTTTTCATTTGCACACCCCCCCTCAAACTTTCAATTTGGCGCCCCCCCCCTAAGGTCGGCGCCCGGGGACATATGTCCCCACCACGCCCCCCCCCCCCCCCTCTGCTCCGAGCCATAGAGTAGCACTGCCTTAAACTGATGTTAATTAATTATGGCCTTTTAATGACCAACTTCCTACTGACTGATTGAATGTCGTCTGCCGATGATGAAGTGGAATATGCTGCTGGTGTTAGTGTTGGTGTTTACCAAACAATCATCTGGTTACTACTGTTGTAGGAAGGTCTCGACATTATACCAAGCCTTTCTTTCACTATAGGCGCGTTTTTATGTTGTAGCGATCAACGTTTTTGATAACTCACAATGTTACAACTGCGAAACATTATATTAGACAAGTAATTTACAATGTTTAATAGCAAAACATTATATTATACAAGTATGAATGATATAAATAAATAGGCTGCCTTGGACGTAATGATATTGGCTTCGAAATGGAAAGTTTGGGTTTTTAAAAATAACAGCCCAAATCTTTCACACATTTTCTTCTGTAATATAAGATGTCAGAACTCATATTACGAGACCCCCCCTCCCCACCTAGAAACATTGATCAATCCTGTTCACGCCATACTCAGTATAAATGCAAATATAATCGGCAGTGGGACTACTCAGTCATGATATTAATTCCACGTCAACGCTGTCCATTCTTGCTCACTCTCCTGTAGGGTTTCTTCCAGATATTTCTCCCCGGACGGGCGGGGTGGGGGTGGATATTTAAAACTTTCGAGGGGGGAGGGCTGCCAATTTATAACAATGGTTTAACTTAAATATCTAAATTTCGTATTTAAATTATATATATTTTTTACTATTTTACCCCAGGTGGAGAAGGGGCGGCACCCCCCACCACCCTCCCACAGAGGGATGCATGAAAGAAAGAAATACTTTGATCATAGTGTGTCAAGCCCATGGTGTTGCTAGATCCAAACCCAGCGAGCGTCGAGCCATGGAGGGAAAACATGTGTAAATAAACAACGGCTTCTGATCTGTTCGCGGTTTGTTAGAATTAAATGTCAACTCGGGGCATGCATCAAGGTTAGCAGATATAGTGGCAACTTGGGGCATGCATCAAGGTTAGCAGATATAGTGGCAACTCGGGGCATGCATCAAGGTTAGCAGGTACAGTGGCAACTTGGGGCATGCATCCATGTTAATAGGTATAGTGGAATAAATGGGTCCGTAGCAGTTATAAAATCGTCATGCGATATGATTCCCCCTCCCCACTCCTCACCCCACACCCAAAATTTAAGTTCTACTCGTCATATAAAAAATAATTTAAAAAACTAACCGAAATTGATACTTTAAAAAAATGCAACCTATGATCAAACACGTATTGTGAACCATTTGAACCTCGCCGATGTGCTTGGCGTCTTTTGCCTACTGTTTGTATTTTAAATTTTGAAGTGACTACTCAAATTTTTTTTTCCCCCAACGCAATCTGGCCGGCAAAAGATGCAAAACGCAATGATCTGAATATCCGCGCAATATGCTCAAATCGGACGCGTAGTGAGGGGGGGGGGGCGCCAAATTGAAAGTTTGAGGGGGGGGGGGTGCAAATCAAAAGTTTGAGGGGGGGGGGGGGAGGTGCAAATGAAAAATTCGCGGGGGGGGGGAGGGGGGGTCCAAATCGAAAGTTTGTCCCCGGGCGCCGGGAAGGGTCGCTACGCTCTGGCTCAATTTAAATACTATTAACTCTTTAACACCGTAACGACGCTCCCAGCGGTCTACAGGCCGGCCTGCCATGCCGTAACGGCGTTTTATATATGCCTATTCATTGGCTTAAAATATTTTTTGCGGGTTTTTTTTTTCTTCTAGTTCTGCTGCTACATCTGAAACGGTAGGAACAAAAATAAAGGGCCCCCACCATGTTTTTGAACTTCTCCCCCCTCCCCCTTCAGAATATTATAAGTTGTCGCCATAATAACGATTTAATCGTTATGGTATTGCCGGTAGATGTTGTTTTGTTTTGTCATCGCCAGCTGTTCGCTTATGTCGTTGTAATCGTTTAACTTTTTTTCACTTATCCTTAGGCTACTCCATTGTTAACATTAACAACATATCTAATCTTTGATTTTAAATTGCACAGTACAACAGTACAATTATAGCTCTTATCGATTGGACATAATACAAAGTGGTCTATTAAATAGGCCTATATTTTGGCATATTTGGGTGGTTTGTTGGTGTGTGTGTGGGGGGGGGGTGCAAGGTCAAAAGGCGCACTCTGGTTTTCGGAATAGAAGTGGTAGTGCACAATAAAATGGCTTATCGATACACCCCTTCCGATATATATATATATATATATATATATATATATATATATATATATATATATATATATATATATATATATATATATATATATATATAGGCTATATATAGGCGATGTATGCCTCAGGTCTCGTCCATAAACGATCGGAACTTTGTGATGTGTGATATCTATGCCTAATTAAAGGGCCCCATATCGTCAAATAAAGAATTTAAATAGGATATATTATAAAAAAAATAATGTAGCCTATATTCTATATTTATTAACGATTACAGGAATGTTATATTGTGGTTTTATGTGCAACCGTTTTTAAATTGAAAGTTACATGCGCGCGTCGTTGCTAATAAAATGAGATAAAAATAACTTAATGCGAGACAGGTGTCATTTTGGGAGATCGGAGGCTCCCCCCCCCCCCCCTCCTATGCCATTGCAAACATAAGCTCGCCCCCCTACAATGGGAAATTTACTCTTAATCTGATTGCTTTTGTTTCGGTTTCCACTGGACCATAAAATAAAGAAAAAAGCTTTTCCAAGTCAAGTTCAGACATGCGCAGATTTTAGTTTCAAACAAGGTACCCCAGTTTGTTTAGACATGGCGGCGCGCAGGCAGAAGTCAACTAAACAGGGTAGCGAATCTGTGTTTTGGGCATCACCGAGACCAGGTAGATCTAGCTTTACATCAGCCAAAAAGTAATAATACAAATAAAGTGCCAAAAAGTTTTGTTTAGACTAGGTCCATAATAGCATGTTTGATTTAGTTACAGGTAGTTAGGCAAACCTACCGCAGTCCACAAACTTGAAAATAGAAAACACAAGTTGAAAAGTTCAGGTTCTCGAAGTATAAACAGGGGGATCTAGATCTAGATCTAGAATCTAGATTCTAGCTACCTAAGGACTAGCAGGGCCCACTTTATTGGCTTATTAAAAGTTCATCATGTTTTTCTCTCAGTGTCTCTACAATAACATCTAGATCTAGATCTAGGTATAGCTAGGTCTCATAACGCGAGTTTGAATTACCTCCCCTGACCCGCTTTTTTATGGCCACTTTCTAGTTCGTTTTTTTCGATCGCGTCTCGGCACTGTTGCTAAAAATAGCATTCGCGCAATACCATACGGGTAAATCTGTTTGGTGTCTGCTACAACGTGATAGATCGTTGAATGGCCGACAAGCTGATATAAAAATTATTGCGACCGGATGCGATTTTCGTGGAAATTGAGCTAGATTTAGCAAAAGACAGCTATATTTGTGTAAAATTATTTATATTTTGATAACTGCAGTTCAGCCGTCCATTTTTCTTTTAAAATGTATCTTTAGAATTTCTGTACCTTTTGGCAATCGGTCAGGAGCATTTGCGCACTAAACCCACCCCCCTACGGCAGATCCGATTTTTTTTCCCAGTGAACTCGTACTGACCTCCCACATAGCTAAGATAGTACATTGATACTGATGGGAAAGCCTTTAAATCTGTATTCCTACTAGAGATCTAGAAATAAATCTAGATCGTGGAGTTTTTATAATGACTTTTAAATTGAATGTCTCCAGTTTAAGATATTTTTTTTTCAAAACTTTTTTCAAAACATAGCTACTTTTAGTACTATATTTAAGTATTTCAAACCCTTTTGGTAGTTTTTTCTTAAGCTTAGACCTAGATCTAGTGATTAGATATCTATATTTTGTACTTATAACTTGCAGGCCTATTAAAATAATAATAAAACAGTTTGCTTGATAACTTCATTAGGTCATTTCATAAACACAAATGTTATAAACATATAAAAATCACAAAACCATAGGTAATATCTGAATTCTGTAGCCTACCTTACATTTAGGCTAATACTGAATTAAAAAGAAATTACATTAAGGTTTGAAATTAATACAACTTGTAATTAAGAAAGAAAGCTTCAATTCTAAATACTACAAGATATAATAACAAACAATGAAACAAATTCAAAGCTTTTTTCAACCCATTTAGTCGAAAAGATTTTTATTTTTTCCGATAATGACCAAAATAAGTTTTTAAAGCTTAGGCCTACTGTTTTTACAAACATAACTCAATTTTATTAGGCCCCTTTAATCATTAATTAAGATTCCTCTGTAGACAAAGCAATCTATTTGGCAGATGAAGTAGAGTTCATGTTTCTTGACCTCGGCATATGAAGTGATTATCCGTGTGGTCAGCGATATTCACAGCCGCCTTTACTTTTTACCTTTAATTTCCCCAATGTATATCAGGTACCCATCAGAAATGGGTGGACTCTAATTGAATTTTATTAAACAAACATTTTGATAGAGGCCTAGATCTATAATCTATAACATTCCAAACAACATCTGTTCTGTAGAATTTACCTTTCTGCTTCCAAATGCGGTATTTTCCAATTGAAAATTCATCACAAAACATACAATAAATTATATAAATGGCATTTTATAAATTTATATAAACTATTTACTTTCACCTTGGTGTAAAAAAATGTAGGTATAAGCAAACTGATTTCAATAGTAAGAAAGAATCATGTCTTTTCTTGCTTACTAGCTTTAAAACAAGTGAATTTGACTTTTTACCTGCGTTTTTGGTCGCGTTTCTATATATTTTATTTGCGACACTAAAAAAATTATATTTAATCAACCGATTATGCTAAATTAATAAAATTGGTACTGTTGGATTGCATTTTTAAAGCTCTACAATTATATGCTATTCTTTTTATAATTTGAAGAAAATTGAATTTATATGAGACTAACTACTAGGTAGGACCTAGTTCTAGGTGCTAGAAGAGATCTAGGATCTAGATCTAAATTAAATTATTTTTTTATTAGGCCCTAACTAAGTGCCCTAACTGATATAATAGTAATAGAGCCTAGAAAAGATCCTAATCCAGATAGAATTCTAAGATGGCTATTAATAATATAAAATGTCTAGATCTATAGGCCTAAATATTAAGTTGAAAAAAAATCACTAGATCTATATTTTACAATTTACATAGACCTTATTTGGGGTTGGCGCGGTTGAGTCGGTAAAAGCTCACAGCTGCTAAGCCGAAAAGTTTTGACGTTGAACCCCCAGGCAGATTAGGCTTAATAGTGGGGGGGGGGGGGGGGGGGGGGGGGGGGGAGACAGCAACTCTTCTAGGAAAGACAACTCCAAAATCAAACAACTTCTGCCTTGTAGTTTGTTCTTGGTTGGACAAATCTAAAAAGAAAAGCTAATCCAAAAAGAAAAGCAAGCTGAAGCCTAGATCTAGATTTATATGGAGCATAACAAGTTGACACATAATACTTAACTGTGTTGGAGGAAATCCCTTCCAACATTACAATTAAGAACAAAGAAGAAGCAATCTAAAATATAACATTTTCTCTGCCTAAAGAGCAGGGGTGTGGGGAAATTGCGAGACGCGAAAAGCGAAATGGCGAGGCGGGAAAATGCGAGAACGTAATGCGAGACATACCTGCGGAATTAAGGGGAAATAGCGAGACACTTTTTGCGAAAAAAAAAAATTTCATGCTTTTTTCATCTTTATTTATTTAAATTATTTTTTGTTTTAAAATAAACAAGCATTTAGCCATTCCCTTTAACACGAGTGTTGTATGTTGTTATTTTTTATCTAGATTTTATTATTATCGTTATTTATTTAAATTATTTTTATTATTATAGATAGATACTCTCGTTAGCGAGAGGAAAATCCCGTCTCAGTCGGCATTAATTTTAAAAATCTAGTCCGCTCATGTTTATACAAACGTGAGCTGTGTCATTGTGAATTGGTATAATCTTGTCAGCAGGAGAGATATTCTGCAACATGTATTTATGGATTTTTGTGTAAAAGTATAATCAATTCTAAAAAGTGCAATTTATGTTTTTATTAAGTAATTTTAATTACGAACAAAATTTACAATAAAAATCTTCTGAAACAGTCCTCAAACACACCTCGTGACACCATCTTTCACACATAGTACACCCAACCCAGTTCATTAGACTCCCATTTATACATTTTTCTTTTGCTACTTCTTCCAATCCACATTCACAACATTTCACATTCTCCTCGTTCATCCCACAAACAACACTGGCACCCATGTTCTCATCATCATCATCCGCACGCTCAACATCTGTTTTCCGTTTTTTATCATTTGTATTTTTTATCATTTCGGTAATTTTTGCAATGTCTTGATCATTGTGGTCACCAGCCGGATCAACGTCAGCGGGGCGTGGACGTTTACGCCCTGAAGTTTTATCCTGGCGCTTCCTTGCAGCTTTTCTTAGTTGTGTTAGATTTATTGATTTCTTGTTGCTGACTGTTGATAATCCAACTGCCTGTCTGGCCGCCACGATGTGATAGCAATTACCAACGGCCGGACAGGAGCATGTTTCCCTTGGAAACAGGGTGACCACCCTGGGGTCTGTTGACCCTTTAATGGTGAATGTACCAAGTTTATTATTTAAACTTATCAGTTCATTGTCAATCACGAATTGTGTCCTTTCGGCAACAGTTGCACAAACAGGCAAACAGTCCTTCCCTAAGGGTGCAGTAACTAAAACTGCTTCTTGTAAATTCTCTCGAATTCTTTCCACTATCTCATCGGGGTTAACTGCAGGTGGAATGACTGTATGCTCCTCCCTATACAGATGAACAAGATCATCCTTAAGCAGCCAATTTCCTATTAGTCTTCTTCCTCTATACGTTTCTGTGACGTAGAACTGTCCAAGCCTGAAGAGGCTCAGGACTATTGCGTCAACGGGCGCTTCCTTCCAGTTATGCATTCTTTTAAGAACTGCATTGAACGATTCACTTTGGTTCGCTGATATTTCGGAAAGGCCGTAATCTGCTAAGACCCAAGAACCCAGTTTGTTCATTGATGGGTGAACATTTTTGCTGAAATACTCTGTAAAAGGTAAGCTCCATCTGGAAATAAGAGGTATGAAGTTATCCTTATATTCTTCTTCACTTGTTGCATGCAGAAGGGATCTTACACTGTCAATATAATAAGCCATTTCATCACATGACTGTACCCCATGGGACCTAAGCCATCGCTTGCAGTCCTGCAGTACATGGTTCCAACACAGAAAACGCTGCAGATTTGGAAAACTGCCCGGGATTGCATCAATTATAGATTTTTCCTGGTCTGTGACTATGACTTGCTTAGAGGTATTCAGCTCTGGGCAAACAGACTTGATGTGTTGCCAAAAAATTTCATGAGTCTTTGTTGTTTTCCTTTCATGAATCATGAAGGCAAGTGGTATAACTGGTTCACTCGTGAATTCCGTTTCACGAAACAAAAGCACTGAGACGTAAAAATCCCCTAGGCAGAATGTCGTGTCATACGACAACTGTTGGACGCAATTCGTTTTCTTTAAAGTGTCCCGAAATACTTGAATGGTCTCATCCATCCACATTACAAGAGTTAGGTCTGGGTGGGACGTGATGTGGCGTACAAAATTGGTATCCAAGGCAATTTCATGCAAATTATACAAGGCATCCCTTGATAGTTAATTTATATCTGTGCTAACACAGAACACGAATATGAACAGAATGAAAAAAAAAGTGCGTCTGTAGATAACTAACATGAATAAGGTCCGCTATCGAAAAAAATACCATTTAATAGCTAAAAGGGGTCATCTATAAATGATGTCACGCTTTTTTGACGATTTTTACCCCCCCCCCCACCTCCGTCACACATCATCACAAAAAACCAGACCCCCCCTCCCCCCCCCCCCCCCACTAAAATGACACCTCAGCCGACAACCCCTCTCAAAATTGCAGTTGAGTTTTTTTAAAACATCGATATTTTCCCACAATCTTGTCTAATTTCGGTCAAAATAGAGTATTTTACTCAATTCCTATTACAATGTATTATAACAGTTTTATAAAACGCGAAAAACGTCTAAAATTCTTTTTCCAACAGTGCTTTTTATAGTGTGACTTCACAACATCTAACCCCCTCCTCCCCCTACAGACCCCCCTCACCCCCCCTACGAGTGTGACGTCATTTATGGAAGACCCCCAAACACCACCACCAAAACCAAAAAATTCAGATAAGTTCAACTTGGTTTTAAAAAATATTTGAAGTAGGCCCATAGCTTAAGATATAGCACGAGCAACTAATAATATCGGTGACGTCACTTTTTCCCCCCAAACAGTAAGTAAGAGAAAAAAAAACTGGGACATTGAGAGTTCATAAAAGCTTAGGAATAAGCAACACATAAGGGAGGGTTAATCTAGTCCTCACCTTCACATAGGGCAGTAATCGCATACTTAATTTGAGGTTATTTTTTCTGACTTGTTTATGGAAATAATAAATAATAAATTTTTATATATATTTACAATAAATTAATAAATAATAATATAACATTTATGGGAAAATTCGGAAAAGTCACAACCGTGATATAAAATCTAATATAAATTAGTGTAAAGGAACATTGGAAGAGAAAACACACAGTAAGTAGTTCTTACCTCCAGAATAGTTGAATCCAAATGATGTAGGCATTTCCTTGAGCTTAGATTTATATGGTAAAAAAAGCTAGAAAAAATCGTAGGCGGCGCGGCGGCTATAATACAAAATTTCTATGCAACAATAGAAAATATGTTTGCGGCGGCAGCGGATCAGGGCACGGCGATCTTCAAAGACGGTGAATCAGGCGGCCTCGGCGTTCTACACAAAAGACAGAAGTTGATCTATCGTCGGCGGTATTTCCGTCGGTTTCGAACAAGGTGATAATCTAAGTCGACACAAAAGATGGGGGAGTCGACAAATCATCAGTATGTCTAGCGACGGAAAAGTCGGAAGTTTTAACAATGTAAACGAAACGTCTTTGGAGTCTGGACCAAATACCACTAAAAATCGGGTGCGGTAAATTTTTCGCAGAAATCTCCGCATTTCATCACCACCCAGCGTAAGTATCGGGTTGTGGGAAAATGCGAGACAAAAAAGTCACGTGACCGACCGTTTTCGCGCCCTTCTCGCATTTTCCCCGCCTCGCCATTTCGCTTTTCGCGTCTCGCAATTTCCCCACACCCAAAGAGCAGACTCTTCCTTTCTTCTCAGTTAGTATGGAAGCCCGGAAGGTCAAATTATTCTTGTTTTGGAAATATTTATTGAGGAAGAAGACTTAACTGTTCTATTTGAGCATGCTTTTTATAGTTCAATAAATAATCCTGACCATCTTAAAAAAAATGCAAATGTTTATGGCTTTACTGGTTATGCTACTCATGTCTGTAAAAAAATACCATTGTTTTTCTAATTTAGGACTGTACAACTCAGAATCTATTGTCCCAGGAGTTTCCGATGTTGGCAACATGCGTCCTAGAGTCAAAGGCGGGCGTACCAAAGAAATTAAGGCTTCTATTCCAGTTGTGCAACCTATTGTTCAAGTTCTTGATCCTGTTAGCCCAAAATTGTCAGTTGCTGTCTCTTCTGATGTTAGTACATGACAAACTTTTGTCAATTAATTTGTTTGTATCCATAAAAACTATTTTTTTAACATTAAGTAATTACACCTTGATGATGTCACAGTTAAAATTCAGCATGTAATCTTACTGGATATATTTTTAACCTTTCTTTTAACCTCTGTTTCTTATTAAGTTTCTAGTACTATATTGCTATTTTGAAGTGGTGTCCATATCAACTTGTTTTGACCAGAGAAAGCTGGGTATTGTGGTGGTGGCTGCAGTTATTTTGTTATTAAGTTTGTAAAATTTTTAGAGTAGTAGATTAAAATTAAAAATAGATGAACAATTGTTATTTTCTAAGAACATTTTTACTTTCTCGTATATACGAAGTATAGAGAAAGTCTTGTAAACGTGCAAAAAAAAAAAATCGAGATTTTTACAAATCTCGACGTTTCACACCTCACTGATACGGAAAAACATAATTTTGCAATCTTGTCCGTATGTCTGTGTGTCTGTCTGTGTGTCTGTCTGTGTGTCTGTCTGTCCGTGTGTAAACACGATAACTTGAGTACCGTTACAGCTAGGTTGATGAAATTTCATATATAAGTATTTAATCAAAATCGTAGATCCGTATCAACTTTTGAGCGATTTCCGATAACCGGAAGTGGTACTTTTTCTACTTTGAATTTTTCAAAAGCCTATAACTTGAGTACTATTTCAGATAGATAAATGAAATTTCATATGTAAGTAAAAGATCTAATTCTCTACCTTCTATTAAATTTTGAGTCATTTCCGTTGACTGGAAGTAGTACTTTACGCTACTTCCGATTTCTCAAAAAACGAATGTAAATTTTAAAAGTAATAATAATATTGCGCACTGTGAGGGTGGGGATTTTTATGAAGGCGGTAACGAATGAATCCAACAACACACAGTTCAAGTTCAACTATAATTGTTCTTTATTAAAATGATATATATGTTCAAGTTTCTACCTAACTGATCTACACTGTACTATTTACTATACTACTGACTGTTCATACCACATATTACCTACTACTACGCACTCCCATGACCAATCCTAACACTGACCAACTGTTCCGTAGCTCTGCAAATTACAACCATCTCTAACCACTACCTAACACCTTCTCTCCTCGCTAGCTAATCATCCTCTGCCGGCCTAACAGTCTACTGCCCCACGCCTCAGTGGTCAGCTGACCGTCCCACGTGACCGGTCAGCCCTGTGTGCCCATTGGCCTCTCTAACCAACCAACTAGGCCTATAGTCTGTTTCTGCTAACCTATATCTGCTAAACATGTCTGACGTAATCTTGCGTCATCACACGCACCATTATGCGCTTTTTTATTTGGCGTTCACTTGGTGTGCAATTAATTTGTCTACGAGATTTTATTCTATTTTTAAAACTTTAAGTATTTAAAATGGGTTAAAAATCATGTCTATAGCCCGAGTTCCCATCCCCTGTTATTTTATATAAGAATATTCGAGAAAGTTTAGGGGAGATCACTCCCGGTTTATTTAATACAATACTCTGTAATTGTAAATATATCCTACAAAATTTAGATGTCAACAACATTAGGGGAAAGTGATTTCACCTCAACAAGCATAAAATACAGCAAGCCTGTGTCACTTAAGGACCTTTGTGTTGAAGACAAGAAGCGAGTTGCCAATCTGATTAAAGAACTTGCAAGGTAAAGCTGAAACATTCATGTAAATTAAGCTATGTTACATAAAGTGTACTTAAAAAAGTGTTTTTGATGTGTTGTAGAAACATTTTCTTAATGCTAAAAAGTATTGAGTATTTTTCTATTGAAAAGCAAAACATTACAAATTTATGTTCTTATCAACTCTTTATGAAAGGTTCATTTTTTTCTGTAGAATATCTGAGGAGAAAGAGAATGCTGAAAAAAATTTGGAGCAGGAGAGAAAACATTACATTGAGCAGGTGATGAAGTTGGTGGAGCAACAAGAACAGCTGATGAAGGAAAGAGAAGGCAAGGATGTGTATTCTTCTTCTTTGCCTTTTTCAACTTCCAGTAGTAGTTCATAGGCCATTTACAAAATCCTTCCACGCTTTTCTGTCCTTTTTCCATTTATTTCTACTCTTTCCAATAATAATATCTTTTTCAATTTTCCTTCATCATGTCACTCTTTTTATTTATTCTTTAATGTTTGAACTATCAATTTTAACCTTTTTTCTGAGTTTCTTTGCTCTACTGGGATCTATCCTGTCCTTTCTCATACTGAACTGTTGTCTTAGACACCTGGCCAAAACCATGTATTGATGTAGGGGAGGTAATATAACAAAAACCTTCTTAAAAATAAAAAGTTTTTATTCCAATTACCAATTACACTACAGTAATATGAATATCATGTTATTGCACAGACATAGAATTAACTCAGTGTTACTCTCTCCAGATGTGGAAAGAAAGGTTCAAGAGTACCAGTCCTATTTCCTACAGCTACAGAAACAAGAAGAAACTCTACAGCAGCAAAAGGCCTCTGCGCAAGTAAGTCATCAGTTTTGTAGTCAGTGCCGGTGTCAGGTTATTTAGCGCCCTAGGCAAAACTTATTAAAACGCCCCCTTTCACACAAATTAATTACATATGTATAAGAGAAGAATTGTTTAAAAGTGACATATTACTTTATTATTATTGCATACACCTTATATTTACACATCAAAATCAAATTTTACTTGCCCACTTCGTCGCAAAAATTTGCACTAATTCCTTCAATTCCAGTTTGCAAACATAATCACATTCTATTGAAATTGTTGCTACGTCCACTAGTTTGCTTTGTTTGTTTACGACATAGCCCCCCCCCCCCCCCCCCCCAACCCCTAAGAGATAACAGTCTGGAAAAAAATGGAACTTACCTGCTTTAAGCTTGGCTGTCTTTAAGTATAATTGTAAAATGTCTATATTGTGTGATTATGTAACATTTTTTTTTTGTTTTTGAAAAATTAACGGTTATAAATGTTATAGATTCCAGCCTACAATTGTTATAAATGAATCCTTTAGGAGAGGGTGAAAAATATGAAAAAGACGCTTAATAAATTATATGATTAATTTGCGACTAAGATGATTTTAGACACATTTGTTGCACCATCTCATACTGTACATCTACTAACATTAAGTATTGCAATCTACAACGGCTACTGATGTATTTGTTTTTTAACTTGATAATGCTAAAAAAAACCTACCAAACTATTTTGTTTAGACTGCTGCTCTATATAATTTTTACAATAGCAAATAATATCTTAAAGTTGTATTTATAGGTAAGCGGTCAACCTAAGGTGCAGGAATTTGAAATGAATGTAAATTTAAGCAATGAATTATCTCCCATTTGGAAATCCAATACCAATATTTTATCCAAGGGAAATAACTTTTACAAGAATAGCTAAATCAACCAAGTGTAACTAAGACATGCTTGAAAAACACAATAAAACTCTCTAAATTTCATTACATAATAATTCTAACAAATCTTTTATATTAGCAAGGTAACCGTGTCAAAATAATAAATTTTACTTATTGACTATTTAACTGTATGTTTTGTTTGAAAGTCTAAACACGGTAGCTTTATTGTAACATACTTCTAGTCAATTTAGATGACATACAATTATCAGGCCAGCGTCATTTATGAAGTTTCCAATATTTTGGATCCCTTTTAATTAAGGGGACACCTTTAAAAAAAATCAAATACCAGGTAACTGTTAAGACCAGGGGTCGGCAACCTGCGGCTCTTTTGATATCAAGATGCGGCTCTCCATCTCCTTGAACAAATACTAATAATCTTAATAAAAAACTAAAATATTTGAAATAAAATAATGCTAGTGGCTCTTTAAAACCAGGGAAATTTTGAAAATTGTAACTTTTGGCTCTTCCGCTTCAAAAGGTTGCCGACCCCTGTTAAGACATTGCTATAATGGAGGCCACTGAGTTGACATAAAAATTAAAACTTAAGCCTAAAAATAAATCAGAAATTTAATATTTTTAGAATCAATGTTATAAAAGTTGCAAATCCAGAGAACTTGAAAATAATTTGTTGAGTTTAAGGCTTCATTTTTATTTATTTTCATCAAGCCTAAATTATAAGCTGATGTTTCACTTTCGTAAGACAAACATTGATTAGCTGTACAGGAACTCCGTGATCGAATTCTTACAGCCCCACATCATAGTTTTTTTGTTTACACTCGACCACTCGATATACTCTACTACATTCACAACACATATCAAACTTTGATACCTAAACATAACTAGACTCGATGCTCCAGAACTACGACACCAACTGGCTTAACTTCACCAAGCTCTACAATCGATACTCCCAATAAATAACGATTTCACTGACCTACTACTACACTTTAGCAGTCTACACAATTTGATACTTCAATACCGCAAGGCTCGATACTCCCGGACTCCAGAACTACGATACCTCATCACCCACATTCTCATTTCTCTACTACCAATCAGATTCCACTAGACCTTCAACTAAACAACAGCCAAATAAAAAATAGGACACTTTAATACTTCGATACTTTATACCTACGAAACCATATCAGCAACAGCCTTCCGCGTTACTCCCAAATGATTTATCGAAACTTACCAAACTAGTACAATATTCTGAACACCCCGTCATTACAAAACTCTATACCCCAGAACAGATTTCTAAGTCAGAGAAAATGAGACATACAAGCCTTACTAAAAACCAAAATTGCACGTGTTTTGGAACACCCCCTTATGCGCTGGAGTGATAACTAAATCAACATTAAAATAAGATCATCGTTTGAAATTTAAATTGCCAACTTATTTAATCGTTTTTCTACAAAAGGCAAAGTGAATGGTAAAAAGCACCCAGACATTTCCAAATTAGGGAGGTGCGGGTGCATTTTCACCATCGCAAATAAATATAGGCCTATATATGCCTAATTTTGGGGTGGGGATGTAAAATTGATAGTTTGAAATAGATCGCTATATTACCATCTATAGTTTATAAAAGATAAAGTTATTTATTATTAGGTACTTTTTGAGAGATTAAACCTTTTTGTGCCTCCCTAGGGATGGCGCCATAGGCGACGGCCTAGTTCGCCTTATAGGTAGCGCCGGCCCTGGTTGTAGTCAACTTAAAAAAAAAATTAAGGGTTTAATATTACTTTGAGGCTTATATATATATATATATATAATATATATATATATATATATATATATATATATATATATATATATATATATATATATATATATATATATATATATATATATATATATATATATATATATATATATATATATATATATATATATATATATGTATGTATACATATGTATATATACATATATATATATATATCACAAAAGAACCCTTTGTAAATAATTATTTTAAAAAGATTATTTGTTAACTAGATATAAGTTTAAAATGATCATGTATTTGCAATAATTACCAGTCTTTCTTGAACATTAAAAAACAGTTTAACCCTTTTAGACCTGGTGGTTGTGATAGTGTATTAGATAGCTTGTTTTGAACCAGTTTTTTTTTTAAATACATCAAGAAATCTGGATGCAAGTTATTAAACCTATGAATGTTATCTGGCAGATACAGCAAGTACTGGTGAACAACAGAGCTGTGTTGAGGCCAGCTGGAGATGCTGGCAACACACACTGTCTGACATGTCATGCTCCTGTCAGTGACAGCACCCACTGTCGGACATGTCATGCTCCTATCAGTGACAGAACACACTGTGTGAAATCTCAAGTGCTTGGCAGTCCAAGAGTCCAATCAAGAACAGGTAAATTTCAGTTCCATTTTTAAGAATGTTTTTTTTTTCTGCAGAATTTAAGATCTTTTTGGAATAAATTAAACTATTTTAGTCTCGATGTCTTTAAGTCATCTAGTGTAGTATTTTGGACTGGGGTATTGCTAACCCAAATCCTCAGTATATTTCTCTTAAGTCTTTAGGACGTGCCTGAGGTTACCAAAATTCTGAAACTAAGGGTAACTGTGTTTTATCTTTAACATATAATTCTTTAATGTGATAAGGTATTAGATATTGATGAACTCTACTTCATCTGTTCATAAGGAGTGTAACGTTAACCTATCTATCAGCTAAATAGAAGGAGAACGTCCCCGGATTCTTTTTTCGGGGTCATATGCAAATGCCTTACGGCCAAAGTGGATGAACACTTAACACAACGACCCACTAGGGCTCGAATTTAATGTCTAGGGGAGCTAGTGATACTATTGTAATTAACACTCATCCAATCTACATACGACCTTTTAATCAGCGAACTCAATTGTGGCAGAAAACAAAGATGAACTAGATAAAATATTTAATGTATAAAATATCAAAACCCAACTTACGCAATGTAGGAAAAAACACTATCACAGATTTCTACACGGTCTAAAGAACAGCTGCAGGCCACACAACACTGCTGTAGCTTCTAGACTTACTTAGCGACAAGTAATATTAAACTAGAAGACTAAATCAACTGAAGAAAGCAAGGCACACACAGGTCTTAAGTACTCTCACGTTCAAATGGTCAGAGTCTATAGCCGGACAATATGGACGGCTGCCTGAACAAGGTAAAACGGCCTCGTAGACTGCCAGGTCAAGATAAACTGCCACGTGTTGCGAGTGTGCAGTGCAATTAAAGACTTCTGTGACAGGGGAGGTTATCCTCAACTCATGTCGCCATTGGTTGGGATAATCATCTGATCAGAATCATTCAATCAGATTTTAATGGAAAATTTTTATGTCTCAAACACCTTAATAAGTCAATGGAAAAACCCCAGGTGTTACACCATCATTCCATATAAGGAATTATACAATGTCAAAATAAAAATGACTCGACCTAAGTAGGTCACATCCCCTCCCTTTTTGGAAGTGACAGATAGGTTCCACAAAAACATACATAAGGAACCAATCTGGCAATGAAATAACAAAATTGTTTTACAAATGTAGGCAATCAAAATCATAACACCAGATGAAAATATCCCTGAACATAAAAGGGAAGTAACTCCAACTTTTACAATTGGTGAAAGGGGAGTAACCCTTCAAAAAGTAATTATACATCAAAATCCCTCAAAAAAGGGTATTACAATATTCCCATGTGGATATTAAAAGTGGTAAACCCGCCAGGGTATGACCTTTATTTCAATGACTAGCTACAATATCAATTGAGTCATATGAGACATATTATTATAAAAAATTACATATAATCAAAAACCACCTTTAATTAAGGTTCACCTGAAAATAAACAAAATATTCAACAGGATTGGAATTTTGAAAAATTCTAACTCACACCACTCATTTTCATATGAGTGACACTCAAACAAAACCTGTTTATGGTCCTAATGAACCACAAAGCGTGTCACATGATCAATGTGTACAACAAGATTTTACATCCTTGACAAACAATCAGCCACAACATTATCACTACCCTTAATGTGTGAAATTTCCAGATTAAAATTTTGGAAATATAAGCACCATCTCAATATTCTTTGATTTGTCTGTCCTAACTTAGAGGTAAATTTCAGGGGATCATGGTCAGAAAACACTCTGACTGGATTGGTTGAAGAAGAGACATAGACCTCAAAATGTTGTAATGATAAAACCAAAGCTAAAGCTTCTTTTTCAATAGTAGAATAATTCTTTTGGTTCTCATTTAACTTCCTGGAAAAAAAGGCAATGGGATGGTCAATTCCCATGTTGTCTTCTTGGAATAGGACTGGGCCAATGGCTAAGTTGCTAGCATCAATGGCAAGTTTAAAGGGCTTGCTGAAATTTGGTGCAGCCATAACAGGAGCATTAGATAGAAATGACTTAATAGTTAAAAAAACTTCTTGACATTTATCTGACCATTCAAACTCAACACCCTTTTTCAATAATGCAGTAAGAGGTTCAGCAATAGCTGAAAAGTTTTGACAGAACCGTCTATAGTAACCAGCCATCCCAAGGAACTTTTTGATATCTTTACAATTTTTGGGAGGTGGTAACCTTACAATAGCATCTACTTTAGCTTCAATGGGCCGAACTTGGTTCGTTCCCACTTGGTAACCCAAATAGGTAATTGAAGCTTTACAGAAATCACTTTTATGTAAGTTTACAGTAAAATTAACTTCAGACAATTTTCTAAAAAGGTTAGTCAATTGAACAATATGTTCTTCAAAAGTATTAGAAAATACAACTATATCACCTATGTAGGCCTCACATTGGTCTATGTCAGCAATGACAGAGTTAATGACCCTCTGGAAAGTTTGACCAGCATTTCGCATACCAAAGGGCATACGTTTGTATCTATAAAAACCATTAGGGGTTACAAAAGCAGATATTTCTTTTGCACGGTCAGATAAGGGGATTTGCCAGTATCCTGAAAGTAAATCAATTTTGGAAATTATCTTAGCCTGACCAACTTTATCAATAACGTCTTCTATCCGAGGTAAGGGATAGGAATCAGCTTTGGTGAGCGCATTCACCTTCCTAAAGTCGGTCACAAACCTGAAAGATCCACCGTCTTTCGGGACTAGGAGACATGGGGAACTCCAGTTGCTGAAACTGGGCTCAATGATATCATTCTTGAGCATATAATCAATTTCATCTTTTATCAAAGCAGCTTTTTCCGGGTTAACTCTATAGGGGTGTTGTTTAATGGGTTTTGCGTCACCAACGTCTACATCATGAGGTGGAACCTTCGCTTCTTTGGGGACATCCCCAAAAATAGAGGGAAATGTCTCAAATAACTGAGACAACATATGGCTTTCCTCTGTGGACAAATGCATAAGGTGGACATTCAAATTATCTAAAAAGGAAGAATTTACCAATTTTGGGGGTTTCAATTTATCATGTATCACATCATCAGAAACATTTGAACATACAGGTAAAGTAGTTTTAGCTGTGGATTGAAAATTGTTACAATTATCATAATATTTTTTCAGTGAGTTGACATGATACACTGTCTGTTTCTTTCTTCTGTCGGGCGTATTGACAACATAGTTCAAATCACTTAATTTTGAATGCACAGTAAAGGGTCCACAATATCTCAAGGATAACGCATTGTTCAGATTAGGTACTAGCACAAGAACTTTGTCGCCTGGATTGAATGTTCGTTTACAAGAACTCTTATCATACTGTTCTTTCATTCTAACTTGGGCCTTTCTTAAGTTTTTGTGAGCCATTTCGCACACGGCTTTCAGTCGAACGTGAAAATCGTCGAAGTTTTCCACTGGATGATCACTGGTACCTGTCCAACGTTCATGTATCAGCTTCAGGGGGCCACGGACAGAATGTCCAAACACAAGTTGAAAAGGCGAGTAGCCTAAAGAGTCCTGGACACAGTCCCTCGCGGCGAAAATAATCCAAGGAACAGACTCATCCCATTGGGTGTTACTATTAGCGAATGTCCTTAGCATGGTTTTGAGGGTTTGGTGGAACCTCTCAAGTACGCCTTGAGACTGAGGGTGGTAGGCTGAGCTGGTGATGTGGGTAACGCCTAGCTTGGCTAGCGCTTCCTGAAAATGGTGACTGGTGAAGTTGCTGCCTTGATCTGTTTGCACGATTCTAGGTAATCCAAAGGTAGTGAAGAACCGGGTCATGGCTCTGACTACAGTCTTTGCCTTAATGTTCCGTAAGGGAATCGCCTCGGGAAAACGGGTACTTGAACACATAAAGGTAAGTAGGTACTCGTTGCCCGCCTTGGTTTTAGGCAAGGGACCTACACAGTCCATGACGATTTTAGAAAAGGGTTCTTCTAATACAGGAATCGGACTCAAAGGGGCCTTAGGAATTGTCTGGTTTGGCTTTCCGGCCAACTGACAGTTCGTGCAACTTCTACAGTAACGCGACACATCTTTTCTCATTTTGGGCCAAAAGAACAGTTCTTTGATCTTCGCCGTCGTTTTAGTGACACCTGGGTGCGCTGACATTGGATGGTCATGTGCCAGCTTAAGTATTTCATGCCGATAAGGTGGAGGGATCCACAGCTGGTTTTTACCCAACCATGGTTCGGCTGGTGAGGCATTCACCGGTATAGCGCGACGAAAGAAGAGGCCGTTCTCGGAGAAATATTCTCCATCGTCAGATGATAGAGATTTTTCGACCGTTGCTTGGAGTTCCGCGTCGACTTGTTGAGCTTTAATGATGTATTCCTGAGATATCCTCAGGGGTAAGCCCAGACTTGTGTTTTCTGGAAGCATAGACTCCAGTTTGGGAGTCGAATTTCTTGACGATGATGGTAGATGTGGTTCAGACGTTGTGTCAGCCAATTGTTTGGTCTGGCTTCTTGTCACCGCACATGCAGGATACAGTTCATAATCATTATCTGGAACTGTTGACAAAGGGTCTGAAACCGTACAGGGGTATACTTTGCTTCCCGCAAGGTCATTCCCTAGAAGTAGGTGTACTCCTGGGACAGGAATACTATCTATCACACCTAAAATGACCTCACCTTCGACGAGATGATGTTTCAGGGCAAACTTGTGTAGAGGGACGACAGTAGATTTTGTCCCCACTCCCTGGATAATGGAAATCTTTCCGGTGTTCGTCTCTGGTGTAATGTCCATTGAACTTTTCAAAAGGAGTGATTGTGACGCTCCTGTGTCTCTTAGAACGGTGATATTCCGCTGAGACAACGGATCACCTGGTTTGCTAATGATGGCTTCGGCAATAAAAGATGAAAAGTCAACTTTTCTCGATCCCTCGAGATCGGTAGACTCGGAAGAAACTGGATGGTGGCGAGAACAGTCAAAATGTGACTGCACATAATGTGTGGAGACTTGACTACCTTCTTGCGGACACTTAGGGTTAGAGTCCTTTAGAATTCTAGAGTTCATAGTTGAACTGGCTGCTTGAGGGGATAGAGCATAGTGCGCAGAAGTACGCACCACCTCTCTGTTATATTGACGACGTTTGTAACAGTCCTTGACAAGATGACCAGGCCTTTTGCAGAACTGGCATACTGCTCGACGATTGAGAGTTGATCTTGGTTTCTCTCTGGACTGTAATGCCTTCACGTGTTGGCCAACAGGAGGATTGCTGCCAAAAAGGGGAAGCACGGGGTTGAGGCGGTTTCCTGACACTGGTGGTTTCTTATGCACCAACATATATGTGTCAGCCGACTCAGCAGCCTTCTGGATGTCAGTTATCTTGTTATCCAGTATGTGTAGTCGTATCTCTTCAGGCAGGGACGATAGGAATTCTTCCCTTAGGATAAGTGACCTGAGTTTCTCAAACTCAGAAACTTCCTCAGAGTGTAGCCACCTTGAGAATATTTTCTCCTTTTCAAAGAGAAATTCCACATATGATTGTGTGGGTAACTTGCGGAGTGTTCGGAATTTTGTCCGATAGGCCTCGGGCGTCAGTGCGTAGGCCTTTAAAATGGCAGTCTTGACCAAACTATAGTTATTTTGAACGTCGTGAGAGAGTGCCTGGTATGTTTTTGCAGCTTTCCTAGTAAGGACAGAGCTCAATAAAGCAGTAATGGAAGTTTCGGGCCATTCACATGTCTTCGCTAAACTCTCAAACGAGTTAAAGAAAACGACCAAATCTGTTTCATCAAATTTCGGAACTAATTTCCCAAATTTGGCAATCACTTGCCCTACCGACAACTTTTTTGGATCTACCGGAGAAGTGACATCACTAACTTGGCCAAACTCTAATTCCAACCTCCTCTTATCTAAAGCAATTTTAGCCTCTAACTCCTGTTTCTCTAGAGCACTTCTAGTTTCAAACTCCTTTTCTTTTAATAGAAGCTCCCTCTCTTCTATAGATTTCTCCTCGCGGAGCAACACACTAGCTAACAAACTTTCGTCAAATACTCCTTCATTAATGAAATGAACAACAATTTTATCTCTCAACACCTCTGACTTCTGCGTAACAGAATAATCCAATTTCAATTCCTTAACAACACTAACCAAAACTTTTCTACTCAACTTTTCTACATCTTCAACAGTAGGATTAGCCAAAAACGACTCCATAACACTACTTGAAAATCACAACAAGCCTAGATTCTTTAAATTAATACACAGCGTTGGACCGTGTACTTGACCTCTAAATGTAGGACGTGACACGTCTGCTTATTTGACCTAGATACTCTAGCCTGAGCGCGCGTTGTAAGAACACTGCGCTACTGGATATAAAAACAACTAAATCCAACTAACCTTAGTATTCAACTGATATAACCAACAACTGGAACGACAGATTAAATCCCGGCTTGGCCCCCACTTTGTAACGTTAACCTATCTATCAGCTAAATAGAAGGAGAACGTCCCCGGATTCTTTTTTCGGGGTCATATGCAAATGCCTTACGGCCAAAGTGGATGAACACTTAACACAACGACCCACTAGGGCTCGAATTTAATGTCTAGGGGAGCTAGTGATACTATTGTAATTAACACTCATCCAATCTACATACGACCTTTTAATCAGCGAACTCAATTGTGGCAGAAAACAAAGATGAACTAGATAAAATATTTAATGTATAAAATATCAAAACCCAACTTACGCAATGTAGGAAAAAACACTATCACAGATTTCTACACGGTCTAAAGAACAGCTGCAGGCCACACAACACTGCTGTAGCTTCTAGACTTACTTAGCGACAAGTAATATTAAACTAGAAGACTAAATCAACTGAAGAAAGCAAGGCACACACAGGTCTTAAGTACTCTCACGTTCAAATGGTCAGAGTCTATAGCCGGACAATATGGACGGCTGCCTGAACAAGGTAAAACGGCCTCGTAGACTGCCAGGTCAAGATAAACTGCCACGTGTTGCGAGTGTGCAGTGCAATTAAAGACTTCTGTGACAGGGGAGGTTATCCTCAACTCATGTCGCCATTGGTTGGGATAATCATCTGATCAGAATCATTCAATCAGATTTTAATGGAAAATTTTTATGTCTCAAACACCTTAATAAGTCAATGGAAAAACCCCAGGTGTTACACCATCATTCCATATAAGGAATTATACAATGTCAAAATAAAAATGACTCGACCTAAGTAGGTCACCAGGTCTGAGAGTGTTTTACTGCAAGATGAAAGCAGATTTCAGCTCTATCATGTTTAAGTTTGTGGTACCCATAGCATTAGTAAGAAACATATTACAATGACTACTGGATTGATGGTTTTCAGATGTTGAACAGCCCTCTGAGAATCTGTACATGAATGAAACAGAGAACTTGTCCACAGAAGCCCAGCCTTCAGCCTCGTACACGGAGAGGCCTTTCACAGCCATGATCAACCAGGAGATAGCCAACCAACAGCAGATTCTGGCCCTGAGTCTCAAGTCCCCTGGACCCACTCACCACAGCACACACAAAATGAACCCTCAGTCTAAAAACTTGAGCAGTCAAATTTCTCCTCAGGAAGATAGAAAAAGCAATGAAAATTTCCTTGATACTCAAGCAAGCAGCCATAGAAGTAAACAGCCTAACATGGATACATATGGCAACACTGAATCACTGAAACCCGAGAAGTTTGGTAACTCTGATTTACTGACTCCAGAGAAGAACGAGCTCATTAGCAGGTTCATTGAAAGCCAGGCTGAAGTTTTAAAAACAAAACTTGATTCCAACCAAATGAATGGTAACATCATGGAAAGAGCAGGTTCCGAACCCCACCACACCAAGCTTGTGCGTGAGAAGAAGAAGCGCCGCAAGCCTCCAGTGACTAGCCACGGGCCATTGCTTGCCCCCATCATGTCCAGCACACAGAAGAGCTCTGAAATTGGAGACTTTGTCGACTCGACCTTTGACCTGCATGAGAATGATGGCATTATTGAATATGATGAGATGGAGGATTTGAACAGCAACAACAACAACAATGACGGGGAGGAGAGTGACAAGAATTCTGGGGGTAAAGCCCAGAAAAATGGTAGGGACTCTAGGATAAAGCTGGGCAGGGTGACATCCAAACATGCAGACATTGGCAAGCTGGAGGATGCCGGAGTGAACCAGGAGTTCTTAAGGAAATATAAAAAGGTAGGTTTTCTGATCTTTATTTCACATGGATATAGTATAGCAAGTCAACTATTTTATTTCACATGGATATAGTATAGCAAGGTAACCATTTAATATCACATGGATATAATATAGCAAGTTAAACATTTAATATCACATGGATATAGTATAGCAAGTTAACCATTTAATATCACATGGATATAATATAGCAAGTTAAACATTTAATATCACATGGATATAATATAGCAAGTTAAACATTTAATATCACATGGATATAGTATAGCAAGGTAACCATTTAATATCACATGAATATAGTATAGCAAGTTAAACATTTAATTTCACATAGATAGAGTATAGCAAGTTAACTATTTAATTTCACATGGATATAGTATAGCAAGTTAACTATTTAAATTCATATGGATATAGTATAGTATTGCTGTAGTAAAAATTCTAAAGGAAATATAAAAACGTAAGTTTCCTTAGGACTGGTTTGCCAACAGTTTTTTCAGAATGTAAGTCAGCTGGAAAGGTTTTATACAGTTAATACAATGCCACTTCTCACTTCTCTTACTGCACCCTTTTATGCTTGCATTGAATCCCTCAGTTAACCTTTGTTGGCAAATATTGATCTTGTTAATCCATGTGAAATTGCTTTGACCCCTGTTAACCTGTGTTGACCCATGTTAACCTGTGTTGACCCCTATTAACCTGTGTTGACCCCTGTTAACCTGTGCTGACCCATGTTAACCTGTGCTGACCCATGTTAACCTGTGCTGACCCCTGTTAACCTGTGCTGACCCATGTTAACCTGTGCTGACCCATGTTAACCTGTGTTGACCCATGTTAACCTGTGCTGACCCATGTTAACCTGTGTTGACCCCTGTTAACCTGTGCTGACCCCTGTTAACCTGTGTTGACCCCTGTTAACCTGTGCTGACCCATGTTAACCTGTGTTGACCCCTGTTAACCTGTGCTGACCCATGTTAACCTGTGCTGACCCCTGTTAACCTGTGCTGACCCATGTTAACCTGTGTTGACCCCTGTTAACCTGTGCTGACCCATGTTAACCTGTGTTGACCCCTGTTAAACCATGTTCCATCTACTGCCAGATGTCAGCCAGTGAGAGAAAACAAGAACTTCTAAGACAAAGAACTTTACTCTTAGAGGAACAAAATAGGCTGAGACTTTTGTTGGCGACACAGGAGACACAGCTCAAGGTAACTAAGAAAATCTGGGATTGATGCAAAAGCTGTAATGATATGGTTTTGGAGTTGTTTAGAAACAATATGATTGCAGCTTTTACTGATCAGCTATCCAACTATTAAGTTTTCAATACAATTTCATTGATTTGCCAATATTTTACTGAACATAATCATGAACTATTTTCTTTTGATTATGTCACTAATTTGGTGCTAAGATGAAAACTATTTATAAGAGCGTGTATGAAATTAACTATATTAAGCAGTATTCTTATAATATATAATGCATACATAATTTTATGCTTTTCTACAGTTGAAGCAAATGGAAGCTCTCACTAAAATGGAAGAAATGGAGAGCTCAACAGAACAAGATGAGGTAGGAATGGTGATAATTTGGTCTATTTGATATAGTTTTAGGTGTTCACTCAAACAACACACTAATCTAACAGTGGCAGAACTTATGGTCAATTTGATATTATGTATTTGTTACTTCTGCTACTAAAAAAATATTTGACCATTGTTTAGATTCTACGCAACTCCTTGAAAGGAAAAGAAGATCACGTGGAAGCAAAGAAACTAGAAGCACACAAAGAGAAAAGGATAGCACATGGCCTGGGTCATAAGGAATTATTAGCTCAGAAAGAGCTTGGTCAGAAGACTGGCCACAGTGTGAGGCCAACAAAAGAGTTAGATGGTGCTGATGTGGCTGAGAGACATGTGGTGAAAAAGTTGGATTATTCTTTTCATTCTGACTCTGGTAAGGATTAGTCTTTACATTCTGACTCTGGTAAGGATTAGTCTTTACATTCTGACTCTGGTAAGGATTATTCTTTACATTATGACTCTGGTAAGGACTATTCTTTACATTCTGACTCTGGTAAGGATTAGTCTTTACATTCTGACTCTGGTAAGGATTATTCTTTACATTCTGACTCTGGTAAGGATTAGTCTTTACATTCTGACTCTGGTAAGGATTATTCTTTACATTATGACTCTGGTAAGGATTAGTCTTTACATTCTGACTCTGGTAAGGATTATTCTTTACATTCTGACTCTGGTAAGGATTAGTCTTTACATTCTGACTCTGGTAAGGATTAGTCTTTACATTCTGACTCTGGTAAGGATTATTCTTTACATTATGACTCTGGTAAGGACTATTCTTTACATTCTGACTCTGGTAAGGATTAGTCTTTACATTCTGACTCTGGTAAGGATTAGTCTTTACATTCTGACTCTGGTAAGGATTAGTCTTTACATTCTGACTCTGGTAAGGATTATTCTTTACATTCTTACTCTGGTAAGGATTATTCTTTACATTCTGACTCTGGTAAGGATTATTCTTTACATTCTGACTCTGGTAAGGATTATTCTTTACATTCTGACTCTGGTAAGGATTATTCTTTACATTCTGATTCAGCTAAGGATTATTTATTACAATAATGCATTCTGATTCTGGTAAAAATTATTCCACATTCTGATTCTAGTAATGGTCATTTTAATTTTTTTTGTTTTGTGTTTAGGGATGGTCACAAATAAACAATGATTTGGATTTGGTGGAATGCTCTGTTAATTTTTTATAAATTCTTGTTAAAACAAGCTGGACATGTTCAAGACATTTTTTTTTTGTTTATATCGCTATTCTAGTCCTAATCCTGACTAGTCAAATACTAAATAGCAATTAAGCTAGGTAAAAACTTGATACTTTTTTCTTTCTTACAAGAACATAAGTTTCTCTTAAGCAGTGCTTAATTTTGATAAGCATAAGCAATGCTATTAAGGCTGACTGGGTGAAGAACAGTGCAATTCTCTTACCTATGTTACTAGCTGCTAGATTTTACGCTTGGTTTGCATATAGGGCAGTTTGGATAGGAGACGACTTATATGTCATCAAGCCTGCATTCTACCCCAAGACCTCAATATCCCCATTATACTATACATTACTATCCAGCTGTTTTATTTCAAGTAGTGACTGAATATTAATGCTATTGTTGTTTACATATTAACACCATTGCACTGAAACTGTTTTTTCAGAAGGTGAACTATCCAGCAGTACACTTTCTGCTCAGTCGTCTAAACAAAAACCTGCTCAGGTGTCCGCTCAGGTCCCTGTCCCAAAGGAGACAAACCACACCAGTGATGTCACGCCTCAGAAATCTCACAGAGTTGATGTCAGCACCAACATCTCCTATGTCCACCTACCACGGTAGTTATCTTTTTTCAATACATGAATGTTTTCATCCTATGGTCAATTCACTAACATTTATTTAATGTAAAAAATAACAAAAGTGCTGACAATTGTATAACCATTGTATAACAATAAATAAACATTGATATTCTGAATCTGTAAAAACTACCATTTAATACACAAAATAGCCCTAAAAAAAATCGGTTGCAAAAATAGATCCTTCTAGAAGAAAATAAAATTCCCTTTTCTATGGTACCTAGGAGTTCAATAGCTGCACAGGGGCAGACAGAATATGGAAGTGCTTTTTAATATTTAATACAGTGCAATCTAATCAATTATTTCATCATCTAATTGTAATTTACTATCAGCGTAAAGTAGATGTGGCAGGAAGTTAATGGCTGCACATTCCCTTCCAGAAATTTCCCAGAGTTGTCCAAAGGTAGGGACACCAAGGTGTCTGAGAGTGGCTCACCAACACCCAGCACTGGAGCTCAGCCGAGATCTATTGAGACCAAAACTATGGCCTGCCAGGCTACACTGTAAGGTTCTTTTAGTCCGGTTATGGTTAAAGTAGTAAAGTTTCCCTTTCAGACCTGACGGTCTGTGGGGCAAGTGAAGTAGAGTTCACTTGTTTCTGTGACATTGGCGAATGAAGAGATAGTGTGGTCAGCACTATGCCCAGCTGCCTTTACTTTCCCTAACGTGAGTTAGGTACCTATCAGAGTTGGGTGGACTCAGGGACGTTCTACTGACTTGAACCCGGATTTGAACTCGAGACTTACGGGTTAGCAGACCAGCTCTCTACTGCTAGACCACTCTGTCCTTGAGGTTATGGTTAGGCTCCTGTATAGTTAGGTCAGAGCTTTTATCTCTCCATGCTAAAGTCATGTGCCAGTAATGAACCCCAACAAGTTTGGTGAGGTCATGGTTAGGCTTCTCTATAGTTAGGTCAGAGCTTTTGTCTCTCCATGCTTAAGTCATGTGCCAGTAATGAACCCCAACAGGGTTGGTGAGGTTATGGTTAGGCTTCTCAGCAGAAGGTCAGACCTTTTGTCTGTTCATGCGAAACAAATCTGTCGCCAATAATTGTAGGTCTTGTTTGTAACTGTAATCCATATTCATGAGCACCTGCACTATACTAAACTTCTCATACATATTGAGAATTTAAACATCACATCTGAACTTGATTAGTATTAAGGTCTGAATTATTAGATATTTTAATGTAAGTCCTCTCATTGTTGCTAACATTAGTGATAAGCCAAATAAATCTCTCAGGTGTTATGTTGTGCTCTCACAAAAACCTGCCGATTAAGCGTTTTTTTTAAAAAATAAATTGTGAATGTTAAACTACTTATTTTGGAATTAAATGGATTGTCTACTTTGCAAATGAAATTTAATTACACATTTTCTTGCATCTAATTTGAAGAATATTTTTCCCAAAACCATTTCAGTGCTGATGCTCTCTCTATTGTTGATGTAATCTCGTCAATGGACGATGGGTTGTCTCCCCTTGCACTACCTCCCCCAGACAGACGCAGAAAGTCCACAGCCAGCTACTGCAGCTCCAGCCATTCCTCGCCCTCTGACCAGCGGCACCCTGACCTCTACCCCAAACCTGATTCACAAACTATTCCCAGAAGGGAGACTTTGAACTCTGGGAGGTTGTACTCCCCGACGACCTCTGACCTCGACCCCAACCTGGGTTTGTTTGTGTTGGAAAGGAACTTGATAGACTCTCCCCTGGTGAGCAGCTCTGCCCAGAGGAACAAACACCCAGGGCATGAAGACACGGCTATTGAGGACGTGGTGAACATTCTATATCAGGACGATGGTAGAGTTAAAAAGTCGGATAACAATAACTTTTTTAAAAAACCCACAAAACAAAATAAGAAAATTAATAATCAGAAAAGTTATTTGCTGGAAGCGGAGAATGATGAAACAAACTCTGATTTAGAAGAAAGCCAAATATTAGAGGAGGTTTTCTTTATCTAACCTGAATATAGGATGTTTTAGTATTTAGAATAACTATTTTCCAACAAAGCAGCTATGATAAGTTAAGCTTGTCTTCAGACTAGATTAGTGGACACATTGGGTAGGATAGACAACTTAATGGAGTCAACAGTGTACAACAGAGTAGCGGCTCCTTAACACACACCAGATCTTTATCAACCATTCTACTGTAGCCAACGTGAGGTTAATGGACATGAGCACACAAAACAAGGCTGAACATTTCATGTTGCCGCTTGTCCTTCCGTCTTGAATGTTGCATATCCGCAGATCTATTTCCTACTGGATATTTGAACTAATCTATTTTCTTGTTATAAAAAAAGGTGTTTATCTTATATTCCGCACTTCATACTTTTCCTAAACTTTTTACCTCTGAAGCAACACCACCTATATCACTATAAACTTGTAGTGTGATCAGAGGTTGATTGTTGGGGTGTTTTACCTGAAACTTGTAATATCATCATGTCCAATGAGGTACATTCCATGATATGCTGTTACTGCTGATTTGAGACTGCTTATTTGCACACAAGGACTATCCAATTATTAGGATAGATTTTCTTGCAATTAGGCCACATACAAAATTTTGTTTTTTATAATAAAATATATAGAGAAGATTGAAATACGGTTTATTTTATTATTATATGTTCATCATAATACAGTTGTGTAAGTGTAATGAGGAAAGACTCTGCAACGAAGTTGTTGTGACTCCAGCCTCTAATATTTTTGTTGATAAAGATTTTAGTGGTGGCATCCAGCATTGTTAATTAATGTACTCAGGAACAGTGTGGTCAAATGGTAGAGCTTGCACCTGCTAACGTGAAAGTCTCAAGCTCATATCCTGGGCTCAAGTGTCTGTCGTACGTCCCTGAGTCAACACAGCTGTAATGGGTACCTGATTCATGTTGGGGAAACTAAGGTGGCTTTGCTTGACTGCAGTATCCCTTCTTCTGTCGGGGTTGTTGAAACAGATTAACTCTACTTCATCTGCCCCATGTCTCTTGGGGAAAAAAGATGAGATGAAGATGAAGTAATGTATTCAGGTCCATTACCACTTTTTAAAGACAAACTGACAAGAATAATTTATTTTGTGTCATGTTACCATTATTTTCTATCATTACAATGTTTACGAAATATTATTTTTTTTTTTTTTTTGCAGTGCTCTTTGCAGCATAGGCCATTCACAACATACTTCTATGCTTTTCTTTCTTTTTTTTTTTGCTATTTTTTGCTATTTCTTTCCAAATCTTCCCAATAATTTTCATGTCTATTTCAATCTCTCTACGCCAAGTATTTTTAGGTCTCCTTCTTGTACTTGATCCTTGCTGATTCCATGATTTGCTTTGTTTGGTAATACTAGTTGCAGATTTCCCCAAATGGACTATCCATCTGTGCCTTCCTGAATTTTTAGCTCTGTTAGGAGTAGTCTTTCCCTTACTGTTGTAAAACAATTGTTAATCCCCATTAATGATAGCAAAATGAACCTTTCAGTACTTTCATGCAAGATACCAATTACCAAAAACATTTATTTCAATACAATTTATTCTGATAAAAAACTCCACCACTTAATTTCTAAAATTAAAAACTAATGGAGAACCTTGTCAATTATAAAGTAAAGACTAATGGATAATCTTGTAAACAAAGTAAGAAAATTAATATCAGAACTTGTTTTACCACAACTTAAGTATCTACATTTGATCTTTTTACATGAAATTGAAAAGGAAAATCTAAAAAAATTATAGTAAGCTTGACAAGTACAACTACGTTAAAAAGATAGAAACATGGCACTTATATAGGGCTGGTAAGTAGGTCACCAACCATCTCTACGGCTCAATAAAACCTGCATGAGCCATAGAACTGGTTGGTGACCTACTTACCAGCCCTATTGGGTACAGTTGAATGTCAGATACCCAGATGTTTGTATTTTCTACTGGTAGGCTATAGCAGTTGCAGTTCTGATTAGGGTCTGAGTTAGGCTTTTGGTAAATTAAGGTCCTGCCTTGGACGTCACATTTTAAAAATATTTTACCCTCCCCCTCCCCATCTTCTCACTTCACTAAAGCACCTCCCTAAAATGACATCACACCCCAGTCTACCCTTCCCCCCCCCTATTTGGCTTTAAAAACTGCAATTTTTTTTTCTTAAAAATTTACTATGCACGGTTAACATTGAGTAGGTCCCGTCAATTTTAAAATTCATACAGTCCATTCAAAACTAGGAATAAAGACAAATTCAATTCCAAACAATATTTTTTAAACTGCAAAGATGCCAAGTTGTTGTTACACATTCCGGCCCCAAGCCCCCCCACCACACACACAATAAATGTCCAAATCACCCCCTTCCTCTATAAATGTGACATCGTTTATGGACGACCTCTCAGCCAAGCTTAAGGTCCAAATGGGGCCTGCATTATCTGAGCCAGTCGGAACCTTGTCTCGAATTTGATTCATTCCTGCCTGTTATTTATAAGATAAGTGCCAGAATTTCCATCTTAATGAGTACACCATTTTGACAAGAAAATTCAAAACGTCTACAATTTATTGCTATTATTACACAACACCTATTTCCTTTTGTACTAATGGGTAATCTAAACTTAACAATACAGACATAAAATGTAGTATTAACATAAGCAAAGTCATTAAGACAAAGATTGGAAATGTGAAACAGGGGGACTTATTCATACACATTCCAGGCTTTCATTGACGAGAGTGCCTTCCCCTAATGGCCACGCCCACACGCGACATAAAAATATGGAATTGTTGTAGACTTCACCTGAGACAGGTCATGGAACAAATAGTTTATTCTGGTACATTTGTGGTGTCCACACAGTAGTACCACGTTATATGAAAGTGGAGGTAATACATAGTGACATACAGCAATACCCAGAGGCTTAAGGGTTATAACATGATGAACCCCCAAAATTATGACAGTTTCTCTCTCTCTCTCACACACACACACACACATTCATAATATATACATAGACTATGTATAAGATAAACACACACACACATATATATATATATATATTATATATATATATATATATATATATATATATATATATATATATATATATATATATATATAGGCGAAGAGATTGAACCATTATAACCAGTGTTTCTTTCAGGCATTTTTTCCACGGGTGGGGGGACGACTTAAAATTCCAGGGGTAGTCATCGGACACTGGTTGAAGTATATATTTTGCCAGAAGAGATGCCTGAAAAGAAACTCTGCTTATATGAAAATCCTGCCTATATTAGTAATATCAATGCAGGTGATATCAACAGAGTAATATTAAATTCTATATCAGCATGGTGATACTACCCTCATAATACATTCATGGTACCAATTGAGTTAATATCACATTAATGGCATATCAGCGGTTATTAATACAGTAGTATTCATGGTATAATGGTCATATTGATACAATAGGCTTAATATCTTGTTTTACATGAGTGACATTAGATCAATAATACCATTTAGGTACAATTATGATATTAATTAATACAAGAATGTGATCATAACATTCACTCAAATAAGTTACTACAATAATACTATCAGTTTAATAAATTAATAAAATAATTTAATACGATAATTTGAAACAGTGATCGATAATGTACTAATACTTGTTTCATCAGAATTAGTGAAATACATTTCAATACAAACAACTTGTAAGTAAAATGGGTTATTAATAAAACAACAAATCTAACCGACACAATAGTTGTATAATTTAATACAATACAATCATGACTGCCTTTTAAAAATGGAAGCTATATTCACATCTAAAATTACATTTCAAGGATTTTTATCAACACGACATTATATGCAGAAAATATTCTTAACAAGCATTCGCTAATTTGGACCATAATAATAATGGCCAAAAAATATGATAAACTGGAAGATCATGGACTTCACCAACCAGCAGTGATGAAAGGACTCGGAAGTTTTGAAGCTTGTTGCTATGTTACGCTCTGCTACAACATAGGAGATCATCACTAGCTGCGAGTTTTATTAATAGCCTGGTTTTGTTGACAGGCAGAGGCGTAGCGAGGGGGGGGGGGGTACATATGTCCCTGGGCGCCGACCTCAGGGGGCGCCAAAATGGGTTGGAGAAACAAAGTGAAAGTTTGAGAGGGGGGGGGGGGTGCAAATTGAAAGTTTGAGGGGGTGCAAATTGAAAGTTTGAGGGTGGGGGGTGTGCAAATTGAAAATTGAAAGGTTGTTCCCGAGGGGGCGCCAAATTGAAAGTTTGTCCACGGGCGCCGGGAAGGGTCGCTACGCCTCTGTTGGCAGGTTAGAGCTTTTGCGTTGTAACAGCTACAACTGAATTGAATCGCAACACCATCCTCAGTTCTTGGGTAATATTTACAACTAAGACCCCAGATAAAATGTTGCAATGACAAACTCTGATGTAGTTGTTGTTTCAACGATAGTTGCAACTTAACCGCGTATATATGCATGGTCGGTCGCACAATGTTGCAACAACAACCACAGTTTAGTTGCAACTACAAAGTACAACTTTAAATACAAGGAACTCAATTTCACATTGGAAATGGAAACAAACACATAAGCCTTCTTGATTGTAGACAATAAATTACTACTTGAGAAAATAAATACTGTATTTCTGAAGCTTATTATAAGCTAATTATGAAAAACAATCGGCCATCTGGTTGACTTTCAAAGCTGATGAAATACAAAAACAGATTCATTATCACAAAATATATCCATGTCTCTTATACGGGCTCATATAAATGACGTCACGTCGATTTTTGCTACATTTCCCTATCTTTACATATTATCCCCCCTCCCCTCCGCATCCCCCAACCCACGAGATGTGGAAAAATGCCAAAGGAAACCCCTCACAATAATTCTAATTCTAATGAAAAATAATATCCCCATAAATGTATTATCCATAAACAGTGTTTTTTTCAAGCATCGCTTACGGGTTGGGGGGGGGGGGGGGGGGGAGAGCAATGCCACAATTCTTGTGTGCCACCAATTATGACACGTAAACCATCCACATTACCCACACCAACCATTCACGTGTACCATTAATTATGTCACAAACCGTTAAACCATCCACAACAATTCTTGTGTACCATTAATTATGTCACATAAACTATCCACATTTCCCACATCCACAATTCTTGTGTACCATTAATTATGTCACATAAACTATCCACATTAGCCATATCCACAATTCTTGTGTACCATGAATTATGTCACATAAACCATCTACAATATCCACATCAACAATTCTTGTTTGCCATTAATCATGTCACATGTTATCCACAATTCTTGTGTACCACAAAACACAACCATTAAACCATCCCCATTAACCACTAAACACACCTACACCAACAATTCTTGTGTACCACAAAACACAACCATTAAACCATCCCCATTAACCACTAAACACACCCACACCAACAACTCTTGTGTACCACAAAACACAACCATTAAACCATCCCGATTAACCACTAAACACACCCACACCAACAATTCTTGTGTACCACAAAACACAACCATTAAACCATCCCGATTAACCACTAAACACACCCACACCAACAATTCTTGTGTACCACAAAACACAACCATTAAACCATCCCCATTAACCACTAAACACACCCACACCAACAATTCTTGTGTACCACAAAACACAACCATTAAACCATCCCGATTAACCACTAAACACACCCACACCAACAATTCTTGTGTACCACAAAAAACAACCATTAAACCATCCCCATTAAGCCATAAACACTACGAGGTTTTTCTCTTTTCTAATTAGCCAATGAAAACACGTGCAGGCAAGACAAAGGGCTACCAGTAGTGACAAAAGCGTGCTGTCAGTTTCGTGTCATGGCAAACATACGAGATGTCATAACAGTTGTCTCAGCTGTCAGTTAACCAACGTTTTGAAATCTCGGGTCTAAATATACAAGTGACATGCGCACATGATAAACGTTGAAAGGGAATATCACTTTTTAAAACGTAGTTTTGAATTAATTAGAAAAAAAATTAGGTTAAAAATAAACCTCATTATTGACACAAAAATATGAAGCAAATCCAATGGATTACGTTTATGTATGGACACTGAGCTTACAGCTTAGAGCAAGATATTTATTTTTAAGGTCATGGAGAACAATGACCTATTTTAGCGTTCGAATTATTCTTAGAATAGGTGGAAACAGAGGCGTAGCAACCCTTCCCGGCGCCCGGGGACAAACTTTTCGATTTGCACCCCCCCCTCAAACTTTCGATTTGCATCCCCCCCCTCGAAATTTCGATTTGCACGCCCCCCCCCCCCCCCCCTTAAACTTTCGATTTGTACCCCCCTCGAGATTTCGATTTGCAGCCCCCCCCCTCAAACTTTCGATTTGCGCCCCCTAAGGTCGGCGCCCGGGGACATATGTCCCCCCTCGCTCCAAAAATGACGTCATGCTATTTCAGTCAATACCCCCCCCCCCTCCCCCACTATCGTCACATAATGAAACAGAATCCGGTCCCCTCTATAATACAGTCACGTAGGCGCCCCCACCCCCTCTCCTCCCCCCCCCCCCCCCTTACACACAAGACAAAACCATACGATGAATGGTATTTAACAGAACTTCGTCATTTCCCGCTCTAGCAATACAAAATTCATTCTACGGCACGTCTTGAATTTATGCGTCTTCCTGTCACACAGCGTCGCAAAAGTATCCACCAGAAGGTATGTGCAGTGTTTCTTCCAGGCTTTTTTCTCCGAAGAGGGGGGGGGGGGCACTTGAAATTTTCGGGGGGGGGGGGCGGTAGACTTTCTTCGCGGGGGGGGGGGGGGGCGGACACTGTTAAAAGTATATATTTTCTACATAAATTATATAAATTTCATTTCGTTCGGGGGGGGGGGGGGGGGCGGTAAAAAAATTTCGGGGGGGGGGGGGGGGATGCCTGGAAGAAACTCTGGGTATGTGACGTCATTTATGGACTCCATCTTAAAAATAAACGAAAAACTAACAAGAATATTTAGCCCTTTTAAAACAACCTGCCATAAACATAAACTCCATGTAAAGAAAACGAGCATTCAGCCATATTTTTTAAAAAATGACTTGTTTTTGTGTAAAATGTATCGCGGGTCTTTTTGTTAGATATAACTAGGGAAGCTAAGCAGCGGATCTTGTAAGGCCCGCCTGAGTTGAACTTACGATCGATCAATGGGGCACAGTGGTGTAGCATTAAGTATCAACTGAAAAAAAAACATACGTGCTATATATTAAAATGAGAAACACTATACAATTGGTCTGCGTGATATCCTAATCTTTTGTCTTCAATTCTATACCCATCGCAACATTTTTTAACAGTAGCATACTCAATTTTTTCAGCATAGAAAATTTTCAGTAGCATACTACATTTGTATACATTGCAATATTTCAACACTATCAGTAGCTTACTAGCTTTTTATAACATCGCAACACTTTTTTAACTTAATCAATATAATATTATTATTTAAAAAAAACAAGCAAAAAAAAATTTTAAGAAATTTAAAAAAAAAAAAAAAAAAAAAAAAAAAAAAAAAACCACTTAACCACTGTCATAAATAATTGCCCCTGATGACAAATGGTTTTTTTAAAAAACAACCCATCAGCCTATTTTATCCAGCACACAGCAGTTAAAACTATAACGATATGTGATCTTCCATTTAAAAAAAAAATGTCAGTCAGCATCCGTGTATGAAATGATATATAAACAATTTTTTTGCAAAAAAAATCTTGTAAATAAATTAGATTACTTTATTTAGCTTTAATTAATAGTCACATTGAAAGGTCTTTGATGAAGGACGCTATGGGAAGGATGGGAATGGGATCGGCGGGGGGGGGGGGGGGGGGGGGAAGTGGGTCAGATTTTTTTGCATTGATGTGCTAGGTGGGAGGGGGGGGGGATATATTTGACAAGAAATAAGACGTAGGCAGCTTACACTTTGTGCTTCCTGCGAATAGGAGGCTGTAGAATGGGTGGCACTCTCCCGTCAGAATCAGGGGTCGGGGGGGGGGGGGGGGGGGAATCACATTAAACTTCCGGAGAACATTCTTGAATATTCCGTGAGGCGAGGTTGGTGGAATATATTTTCTGTATAAATTAGTGGACGTGCTCGTTTTTGGTTTTCTAAGTATAAGAAAAACAAATAACGCGATTTTCCAAGCTACTTTAAGGGTGTATGTAGTAAAGTTCCCTTTCAAACCTGACGGTCTATGGGGCAAGTGAAGTAGAGTTCTGTGAAGTGTTTCTGTGACCTCGGCATATGAAGAGATAGTGTGGTCAGCACTATGCCCAGCCGCATTTACTTCCATAACGTGAGTTAGGTACCCAACAGAGCTGGGTGGACTCAGGGACGGTCTACTAACTTGAACCCGGATTCTAACTCGAAATTTACGGGTTAGCAGTCCAGCTCTCTGCCCCTAGACCACTCCGTTCCCGACTTCTTAAATATTTTAGCAGGAACAATGCTTAACCTGTCTCCATATCCAAACCGGTTGCCGCCCCTGCCCTAGACTAACACAAGTCTCCGTCCTGTAAAGTGTTAAGGGACAGACATTTGTCGGTCATGGTATTTATTGTAAGCCTTTCCAACTAAATTTCTTTCAAATTTTTTTTCTCGGAGGGGTGTGGTGGGGGAAAGGTGGGAGGGGGGCACTTGAAACTTCCGGGGGAGGGGGGGGGCACATAAAATTTCCGCTGGTTAAAGTAGGTCTATAGACAATCTATTTAAATTATATAAATTTTTCTTTTCGTCCAGAGGTGTGGGATGGGTGGGGGGGGGGGGGGGGGGGGAGGGGAAGCAGCGGCGAGATACATGAATGAGACTACTTTCCAAGCCAACAAGTCATGTCGTATTTTTTGAAAAAAAAATGAATACACATCAAAATTGAACAAAAAAATTAAACATTGAAAACATTAAATAAATTATTTTTCTGTCGGAATGGTTTGACGATCTCCTCGCTGAATATAAAGTCAGGGCGAGTGTCATACTCGAACAACTGAAAATCTGGCCGGAACATTTCCACCAGTTTCTTCAAATCCTCCTGTTTAATCCGGCTGAACGCTTCAATGACAACCTCCTTTCTCTGCTTCTTAAGTTTTGTTTTGTCGGTTTGTGCATGCAGTTTTTTAACTCGGTCTGTAAACATCCGGATGGTCACAGACCTTTCACTGAAATCTCGCGACCATGGGAATTTTTCCTCCATCGATATAATCCCCCGAATTTGAATTTTCCGCCAAATCCGTTTCAAGCCCTCGTACCAAGACATGCACTTCCTGACCATGCTTCGCCAGCCGAACGGGCTGACGATTGAGTCTAGAATAGCGTCGTGTGTCGCGTCGTTCGACCATTGGCTGAGTTTTTCTTTACTCACGTTGAAGCCGAGTTGGGCGAGTGTGTAGGATACGTCCGTCTGGAAAGTTTCCATCTTCCCCACCACGGTGTAGTTCAGGTGACAAGGTTTGCACTGGTCGTACGCGGGGGTAAAATGCGCGTCACGGTGCGAGCTGTTGGTCAGCTCCCCGTCTATCAAATAACTTATGAACTCTTCAAACGTGACGTCACTTCCGCAAACCAGGTCTTTTCTTTTCGCTTCCGGGCGAAATTTTGACACGACGTATTTTCCAATCTGCGACCAAAAATACGGATTCGGGGCGAATAATTTATCCACATATCCAGATAATATTCTAGAAAAAGGTTCCCGAACGAATATAATGGATGTTGCGTTATTCAGGAAAGCGGTTGTTTCAGGTGAAGTAAGAGGTAGAATTTGGGTCAATACGTTTCTTTTAGCGGCTAAGGCCTTGTTGATGGGGACGAGGTAGGGGTTGACTAGTCGCCGCCCCTGCCGCATCGTGTAGAAGACCCGCCTGAAGAAGGTGGAGCCGACCTTGAGGAGGGGGCAGTACAGGTAGTGCTGGGTGTGATCCACCTCGATACGACCGTAGGCCCAGTCCTCGCTGGACAGGCCGCGCGTCGTGTTGTGCAGCAGGTCGCACTGGGCGTGCAGGTGCTGCGTGCGCGTCTGCTGCTCCTCCCGCAGGCGGTCAAGGTCGTGGTAGGTGGCGTTGATGACGTCGTCGAAGTTGAGGGAGTTCCTAGACTGGTGCCGTTGCTGGGAAGAATCAAATCATATTTAAAAAAAAATATTTCTTGATATAATCGACGATGGGTAAAAAATCAAACAACGAATAACTACCAAAAGATAATTTAATCGAGATAACAGGATAAAAAAACAAAAGGGGAAAAACTCTTTAGATGGTAACTATAGGGCTGGTAAGTAGGTCACCAACCAGTTCTATGGCTCAACAAAACCTGCATGAGCCATTTAACTGGTTGGTGACCTACTTACCAGCCCTATAGCCCAAAATACCAACAGGGTCAAGATGCAAAATACGTTAATGGGCGTTGAAAAATGATGTTGATGCGAGTGAAGATGATGATGGTTTTGATGATGGTAGCGATGATAATGATGATGATGGTTAATGACGATGGTTATGTCGGTGGTTATGATGATGTTTGTATGACAGTTCTACGCCACCAACCTGTATATGATCGTGAACAGCTTCCATCTCTTGGCCAGGCATATCGCTGACACCTGGGAATAGGCGAGACTCATGAAAAATGCAATCCTTCGTTAATTAAAAGACAAACCTTAATTAACCAGACCAGACGTAACAAAGAAGCGTCATCCGTCAGAATACTGACCAAAATTATATTTGGACCGGATCACCGCGAACGTGATGCAGAGCAGGATAATCCCTCCGATCAGGCACCGTGACGTCACCTTTCTCTTGATGTGGCGGCAGAAACACACCAGACACCCCAACATCATCTTGTGGCTATCTGACAAAAACAAAGAACACATTTAGAAACCACATCCTAACATCATCTTGTGGCTATCTGACAAAAACAAAGAACACATTTAGAAACCACATCCCAACATCATCTTGTGGCTGTCTGACAAAAAGAAAGGACAACACATTTAGAAACCGGGAACAGGGCTTTTTACCCCCTGTCAATTACCCCCCGGATATTCCCCCCCCCCCCGACATTACCCCCCAGAGTAATTACCCCCCCTGTCAATTACCCCCCTGTCAACTACCCCCCGCCCAGTAGGACATTACCCCCCCCCCCCCCGGACAGGGTTAGAGTTAGGGTTAGGGCTAGGTTTAAGGTTAGGTTTAGGGCTAGGGCTAGGGCTAGGGCTAGGGCTAGGGCTAGGGCTAGGGCTAGGGCTAGGGCTAGGGCTAGGGCTAGGGTTAGGGTTAGGGTTAGGGTTAGGGTTAGGGTTAGGGTTAGGGTTAGGGTTAGGGTTAGGGTTAGGGTTAGGGTTAGGGTTAGGGTTAGGGTTAGGGTTAGGGTTAGGGTTAGGGCTAGGGCTAGGGCTAGGGTTAGGGTTAGGGTTAGGGTTAGGGTTAGGGTTAGGGTTAGGGTTAGGGTTAGGGTTAGGGTTAGGGTTAGGGTTAGGGTTAGGGTTAGGGTTAGGGCTAGGGTTAGGGCTAGGGCTAGGGTTATGGCTAGGGTTAGGGTTAGGGTTAGGGTTAGGGTTAGGGTTAGGATTAGGGTTAGGGTTTGGGTTTGGGTCTGCCGTTTTCTAGATCTGACAAAAAGAAAGGTATATCTCTATGGACAGGTAGGTAACTCAAGGAAATATTAATGCGTGCACCACTCTTATCAGAAACATTCAATTGCTCAAAAATATTATCTGATCTAATGCGTGATAGTACAGAGAGGAACTTAACCCTAACGAATTAAAATTTAAAAAGCTCAATGTAAATCAAAACTGTTGAAAGCAAGGGCATCAAGGGAGGGACGCAGTATAAAGGAATATCAATTATTTCACGAATGGAATATTTTGTTTCATACAAAAAGCCTGCAGATCACCTAAACCAGAAAGCTACAAAACCTGTGCACTGTTGAATGTTTTCGCTTCATATAAAATTTATCGACCAAGTTGCGTTTCATTTTTCGTAACTAGACACTACTATTATACTCAGTGCTTGTTTTAAAATCGATTTTAGTCAAATGATTAATATGGCATCATAATCTCGCAGGAGAATGCGTTAACTTTACCGAGATACATATCTCTAATAAGGATTTCAGGCATTTTTAAATTGTACGCACCGTTAACTCAACCCCAGATTAAAATTTGCTATTTTTTTTTTAAAAATTCAGTAAACATGTGCTACGTAGTTTTCTAAATGGTTCTGTATGTCTTAACATCCTTATTTATAATTGGGGAGGAAGAAAAGCAATATATATATATATATATATATATATATATATATATATATATATATATATATATATATATATATATATATATATATCGAGAGAGAGAGAGAGAGCAAGAGAGACAGAGAGAGATGGAGAGAGCCTATACTTTATCAGTAGTTTTACACACAATGAGCTAATTCACTAGAGTGATTTAGCCTTACCGTGGGTTTTGCTAAAATGAATTGCTCTCACAAAAATAGCGCAAGTAGAAGGCTCGCTGTTATTTTTTTGTTCTTGTTTTTTTTTTTTTTTTTTTTACAAAAGGGAAGTCCTAACGTTCCATCTTCTCGGATCGATTTGTAATTCCCCACCCCCACACCCACCCCCACCCCCACTTAAAAACTGTGCAGACGCCCTCCATAGATCACTTCTGCTCAAGCCTTCTAGGAAGGCGCTCACAATTTGTTTTTAAATTTTTTTTAGCGCTCATGTTCATCATTTAGCAGGCATCTTTCTTTCCATGAAGTTTCTTGGAGTAAGTTTTTAAATACAAATTTGTCTAAATAACGCAGGGTGGTTTTAAAATTCACTAACTTAAGATAAATGAGAGGGGAAAAAATAATATCAAAATTTCGTTTAAAAAGCCGTAAGATTCACATTTTTTACAACAGTTTCTAGATGTATAATAAGAAAACATAATTTAAATTGCATCCTAGTGTGGTTTATATTATAGCTGGAGGGCTAGACTGGCAGTTTCATGACACGATGGATGGCCCAGGATTGATGCAGATTTAGAGTTCCTTCTTAAAGCCGAGATGTTGGATTAGGATTAGATCAAAAGTGAATGCGTTATAGAAACATTCGGTTAAAAACACGCAGGGTTCTAAAGTACGAAGGGACAGAACAGTTAATTGGGCAAATACAAACAGTGCAGGTTTTAAGTTAAATTAATGGCTAGGTTAAGGGCTAAGTTAAAGTAATGGGTAGGTTAAGGACTAAGTTAAAGTAATGGCTAGGTTAAAAACTAAGTTTAAATAATGGCTTGGTTAAGGGTTAAGTTAAAGTAATGGCTTGGTTAAAGACTAAGTTAAAGTAATGGTTAGGTTAAGGCAGGGGTTCCCAACCTTTTTTACTCTAGAGCACATTCTAAAATATCAGTAGGGTGGCGGGCACCACCTATATTAAATCGACAAACTCCTACCAGAGGCGTAGCGATCCTTCCCGTCACCCGGGAACAAAACTTTCGATTTGCACCCCCCCCCTCAAACTTTCGATTTCTTTCGATTTGCACCCCCCCCCCCCCCCCCTCTCAAACTTTCGATTTCCATCCCCTTCAACCTTTCAATAATGTTTATGAAAAAAATTCTGTCTCTGTCGAATAGTGAGAGGCGGGCACATACGAATCGTTCGGCGGGCGCCATGGCGCCCGCGGGCACGGGGCTGGGAACCCCTGGGTTAAGGCTAAGTTAAAGTAATGGCTAGGTTAAGGACTAAGTTAAAGTAATGGTTAGGTTAAGGCTAAGTTAAAGTAATGGTTAGGTTAAGGCTAAGTTAAAGTAATGGTTAGGTTAAGGCTAAGTTAAAGTAATGGCTAGGTTAAGTACTAAGAGTGTCTCAAAATGTTGCTAACAAACAAGGAATACCGATATTCTTTGGGCCCAATATATATATATATATATATATATATATATATATATATATATATATATATATATATATATATATATATATATATATATATATATGTATAAAGCTACACCAACATAAATTTTACACGCCACGTAAAATACAATTCGCCCTACCTGTATTCGCCATTGCTGAAGCAGCAAGAAAATGCAACACCGTGGAAGAACGCACACAGTAAACACAACGCAACAGCTGCTCGCAGTGAGTACACCACGCCCAACTCTTTTAACAACTTTAAAACGCGGCGCACGTGACAGAAACCATTGTTGCAGTCTGCATGAGCTGGGCAGCTGGCTCAAGACATTTGCATAATGCTGCACCACTTGATAGGGGTCTCTGCCTTCCCGCCTGTATGTGAGTCTGATTCACATCACTGTCCCATCGCTTCCATTTTTCATCGCTTCATTTTCTAGTCGTTTCACTTTCTTATAACTTCACTTTCTTATAACTTCATTTTCTCGTAACTTCACTTTCTCATAACTTCACTTTCTCATAACTTTACTTCCCCATAACTTCACTTTCCCATAACTACACTTTCTCATAACTTCATTTTCCTATAACTTCACTTTCTCATAACTTCATTTTCCTATAACTTCACTTTCTCATAACTTCATTTTCCTATAACTATAATAGCTCAATAACTTCACTTTCCTATCCTGCATCCAGTGATGTTGATCATACATCGACACGACTATCCAGCTATTGTATTACTAACCCAAACTTTGACCCGAAACCTAGCTTTGACTTTAACCCTAATCGTTACTACTGACCCCAATTCGAGTGGCGACCGCTGACACCCCCCCCCCACCAACCCTATAGTAAGAGAAAAATATTGAATAAATTTTCCCTTAATTAAAATATCCTGTCATATTCAATGGTTACAACATAATCCCCGTCATAATAATATTCTGTCATGTTCATACAAGGTTACAGCAAGTGAGTGATTTCCCTTACATAAAAAAGTAATGTTTTCCATGATGCTGAGATCGCAGCGATGTAACGCTGCCATAATGACTGACATTTATAGAAAGCCCGCCTTCTAGCGGATGTAAAACTTGCCCCTGATTCGGCCTGACACACGAGCTGACACCACGTGACACCCGCACAACCACGTGACATTAAATAGATGAATATTTGATGGACTCGGACATAGAGAACAGCCGAACGAAATACTACATTTCAAACACGTCGGCGGGTAGGGTGTGTGTTTGTGTGTGTGTGTGTGGGGGGGGGGGGCAGTAGCGTAGCGAGGGGGGGGGGGGGCGGGGGGGGGGGAAACATATGTTCCCGGGCGCCGACCTTAGGGGGCGCCAAAATGGGTTGGAAAAATAAATTGAAAGGTTGAGGGGGGTGCAAATCGAAAGTTTGAGGGGGGGGGGTGCAAATGGAAAACTCAAGGGGGGGGGGTGCAAATCGAAAGTTTGAGGGGGTGCAAATGGAAATCTCAAGGGGGTGGGGGTGCAAATCGAAATCTTGAAGGGGGGGGGGTGCAAATCGAAAAGTTTGTCCCCGGGCGCCGGGAAGGGTCGCTACGGCTCTGGGGAGGGGGGCGTCTGATGTATTCAATTGTTAAAGTGAAGTTTGATGGTCGCTCTTAACATTTTTAGTGTTTTCAGTATATAATATAATATACAGCCCCACGCTTTTATTTATAGCTATTAATTATATCTCTTTAATATTTGGATAAAGTAATTTTTATTTCTTTTACTTTTAATGCTGATTTCTATATACACACTTGTTATTATAATTTATAAACGTTTTTAAAAACACTTAATTGTTCAAAATACTTTTATAATTGAATCGAAGACTTGAGTGCCATATGAATTCACCTAATAGTATTAGAGCGATAAGATTAGTACTTTATATTATAGCAATCATTGGTTAATGTTTTTAAATAATCAAAATTTCTAATTGTCAAAATGTATGTTACATTGCTTAAT